ACCCCAGCTTCGCTGATGTGATCCAAAAGAGAGCAGAGCAATATATTTGGCACCACCTTGGCTGCAGGAGTTGCTGGAAGGAGGCGTACAAGATGCCATCTAACCATGTTAGGGGCTCCACTTTGGCTTTGTGTAAAGTTTGCTCCTTAGTCATATCTTCTCCCAAAGTTGTCCCACAAGGCAGCAGGTATGTATTTTTTCTCAAGATTTATTCCTGAAGCCTTTTTCACAAATGAATTTAGCTGCAAGGCAGTGGAGGTTTAGGATCAGTATTCCTTCTCCTTCCCAGGTTGATGAGCCCCATCTGCCCCTCATTTCCCTCTACAGCTTGTGCTTCTTGAGCCTTGGACCCACTATTTGCCTCATCTGCTCAATCGTCAGAGCCTGTATTTGCATGTAGGGGAAGTCCCAAACTCACTGAAGACTTGAGACCCAGCAGCCACCCTCAGCTGGTTTTAGTCCACCAGTCAAAACCGTTTCCTGAGTGTGGCCACTGATGCATGCTGACAACTTCTAGGAGCCACAGGTGAGAGCTGAGTGCAGGGTGGGGTGGACTAACTACCCTATCTAGTCCAGCATCCTGTTCACACAGTGGCCAGCCAGATGCCAGCCAGATAACATGAATGTAATAGTACTTTCCTTACTTGTATTCCTTGGCAACTGGCATTCAGAGACGCACCACCTCCGACAATTGAGGGCGTGCATAGCCATCATCACTGGCAGCAATTGACAGCCTTGTCCTCCATGTCTATGAGAATCCTGGATATGAGAAGCAGTGTTGAAAGATTAAGAAAGAACATTCAGATAGTCACATAACTTCTGTCACTGTTAAAACTCAGTGTCATGGTACTTGAGACAATTCAGGCCTACCCACACACCTGTCACTCAATGAAATGTTTTCGAGTGACTGTCCACATTTGCCAAGAGGAAATGTCATACTGGCAGCAGATTCCAGAGTAGGCATCACATAATCAGTTTATTAACACTGTGCAGAAAGTGGGTTTCCTGGAGTCTCATGACAGAATTAAGAGAGGCATGCATGCTTTTTTATTTATGCCAGGTGGCTTTCAGCCATACACATAGCAGAACTTGCTCATCCTTCTCAAAGTCTGCAACTGAAGGGGGGGTGAGCAGCTTCCACCACCAGAAAGATAAAAAGGAAAGCATCTGGTGGGGTGATTTATTTGCTTCCACTAGGTCTCTGACCGGGACATGGGGAAGGAAAGCTCCAGCTACCCAAAACTGGCTGGAGGAACCAAGAGTTAGAGATTCTTCATTATGAAGTAAACAACATCTGACCCAGCCCTTAAGACTCTTTATGCATTTGAAGGGGTTCTACACGATCAAGCGGGAGTGGGATTATGCCACTGGCTGCACCTTTTAGGGTCACATTGATTGGCCCCTCCAGTGATATCCAAATATTAGACATGAATGTCTTTTATTTGGGGTCTGTGGGGAGCCTATACACATAGATTTCTAGGATTCCTTCACTGCAGACGTCCATGCTTAATTCATTAGTGCCATAGGTGGAGCTACACAATATTGAGAGTGGGGCAAGCATTGCAGCACCACTGCCTCTTAATCATGTGGAGAGCATTGGTCTTTGTAGAATTTTTAAAAATCTTCCTTCCATTCATTTTTCCCCTTGGCAAAGGCAGAAGAAGCCAGTCTGTTTCTCCCAAAACTTTTCCTTCACATGCCTCTTCAATTTTTACCTTCTCTTGCCACTAACAAGTCTCTCCACCTCATTAAGTGCCTCTGGGTGGGACTTAATTGGTCACCTAGGGTACAGGACCCCAGGCTGTCACCAGTTAAGAATTTTTAAGCTACAGGTACACCACATATGCCAGGAGCTGCTGAAAAGACATTGGTTACACAGAACTAATCATGTAGAACTTCACAAAATGGTACTTTACTTGACTTCAGTAGACAGTGGAATAACTGGCCAGAGATTTCTTGCAGTATAATTGGCATATGACTGACCTTTGGAAATACACAGAACATAACTTTAAATAAACATCTAGAAGTATCCAATGAAAGTATAATGGAACAAAGATTGTTCCAGCCAGTCAGACATTACACACACACAAACACGAGATTGCAGAGAGCCAGAATTTCTGTCTTTGCATTTGTCTTCACTGCACAGTAGATTCCTGTGCCTGGACTAACTTTCTCAGGAAGGCAGTATGAGGAACAGAAGCAAGAACTCAGATGTGAAATTGCTGATCTGTTTCTTGGGAAACAGAAATTTAGTCCTCCTGTTTTGATTCATTGAAGGCTGAAAGAAAGGCATGAGAGTTTTTTATATAGAATTGCTAGAGAGAAAGCAGAGGAGCAGAACCATTTCTGTTTGTTTAGGTATGGATATCAGCAACTATTTCAAAAAGCAGAAGACAGCAACTGAGACCTGGACACATTCTGGAGATACTGCTTCATCAGACATTGTGTAAGTAGCACCTAATGTGTCTGCCTCAAAAAACACAAAAATGTCCAGAGTCAGGGCATAAGAACATCTTAACTGAAATTACTGAGGCAGTTACAGGGACAGTACAACTTGGATGACAGGAAAAGCTGGATATAGAGAACTACGTTATCAAGGGCAAATACTCTTATCAGTGTGTTAAATTTGAGGGGCTGGCACAATACTGGACCTACACAGAAATTTATGATTTCAGGCACAATAGGATGGGCCCAAGAGCATTTCACCATGCACGACTTATAAAATATTTTCCTTGGCTAACATGCTGTGCTGTTTTGGAAAGACCAGTACATCATTATTGCACTTTGTTTCTGCAGCCAGTGGTTTGAGGGGCACAGGGCACACACATTAGCAAAGTCTGTACCAAGCACAAAGACTTCTATGAAAGTGCAAGAGAGCACTCACAAAGTAGATGGCATAATGGGTCACATGACAATACAGAACATGTCCATTGTACAGCAAGCACGAGAGAGGAAAATAAACAGAAGCTATACTCTATAATATCAAACATTGTGTACTGTGGGTTGCACGACCTTGCTCTTCATTGTAAAATTGCTACTGCAGATAAAAAAGATAGACGTTTTATAGTTGCATGTCGAGGCAATGTATTAATTTTTAAAAACTGAAACTGGGGTAGACCATTCTAAGTACTTTAATATCACATAGGGACATTCATCAAATCAAGCTCCTCCCCCTCCATTGCATCTGCAGATTGGAGAAAAAACATCAGCTGCCAAATTTCTTCTTGTCACATAGCTGTTAAAGGCACGTACAGGAGCAGTTGACGACACTACTGCAGAAATGGGTAGAGACAAAATTCGATTAGGTTTGTTATTCTTCATTGAAGGGCATGGCACCATTTTATGTCAAACCATTGTATTCTGAATTATAAAAAAAACACACTATTTCCCAGCTGAGACACATACCTTTATTATCTTATGATACTGTAAAGAGAAAATAATATGATGTCAACAATAATGCAAGGGGTAAGCTGTACACACAGGGGAAGATCTGCATTAGCCTCCATGTCCCCCTTTGCCTCTTGTTAGAAGATAAGAGCCCTAGTGGAGGAAGCCAAAGGCTCATCTTGCCCAGCATCCTTTTCTCTCAATGTCTAGTCAGATACCTATGGGAAGCTGGCAAATAGAACCTGAGCACAGCAGCACTTGTCCTCCCTCCATAGCTCTCTTTTTTATACACTGGTTACTTAGAGGCATAAGCACTTTGCAGGCCCGTCACCTGGAGAAGAAAGTGGGCTTCTTGTTGCAAACAATGGTTAGTGCACACATGGCAGAAGGCAAGTTTGAGACAGAAGAGGTTCTCATTGAGCCTTATGCTCATACGTCTCTGGTGTGTGTAGCTATGGTACTTCTGCAGGGGATGGTTCATCCCAAAGCATAGAATTGCTTCCTACTGATTTTCTATTCTTGGTTATGTGGCTAAGAGAATGTAACTTGACTGCTGCAAATATAGAATAGGAGACAATATATTTTACATAAGGAGGCCAAAGAATGTGGATTTATCATTTGTGATGCGGCTACCAGTGACAGTGTGCTTTTTGATAAGTTAGTTTACCTTTCTGATTTATGATAATTGTTCTGCTCACGATTGGCAGAGGCCTTCCTCTGCTCACCAGATGCACTCACCGATCCGCTCTTTCTCAGGGTCTTGTGTTTGCAAGTGGTCACTGTCACAGGGGTCTGGAGAGAATTGTGCTGCTGTATGTTTGTAGACTGGGACGTGGGTGGCACTGTGGTCTAAACCACAGAGCCTAGGGCTTGCCGATCAGAAGGTCAACAGTTCAAATCCCCGCGACAGGGTGAGCTCCTGTTGCTCCTGCTCCTGCCAACCTAGCAGTTCGAAAGCACCTCAAGTGCAAGTAGATAAATAGGTACCGCTCCGGTGGGAAGGTAAACGCCGTTTCTGTGCGATGCTCTGGTTCGTCAGAAGTGGGTTTGTCATGCTGGCCACATGACCTGCAAAAACTGTCTGCGGACAAACGTCAGCTCCCTCGGCCAGTAAAGCAGGATGAACGCCGCAACCCCAGAGTTGTCCACGACTGGACTTAACTGTCAGGGGTCCTTTACCTTTACCTTTACCTTTACCTATGTTTGTAGACAAAGCTCAGGAAAGTTTCAGCTTACCGTGAATGGCTGAAATATTGCTGTATCCCTAACGTGGTAAAGGAACAGCCAGAAGGGACCAGGATGCTGGGAGTGTGTTATAAATGCATATTGCAGCAAAGCTTACACCACGCTCTTGGCATATAGAAGGGAAACTCATAATAGCCAGATTGAGTGGTCTTGACCTCAGCTAAAATGTAGGCAAGATTGGCTGCAAGATTTATGCCAAACATGCCTCTAAATAGTATTTAACTAACCACTTTACCCACTCAGACACATATTTCTTTAGCGATTTTCTCCAACTTCTCATCTAAATTGGATTTTAAACTGCAGCTTCCTGTTTTAGAAGACAACAGTGTTCAGAAAATATTAAGCTTTCAGTATGCTAAAACATTGTTGCACAGGCCTGTATTGAAACACAGATGTTTGTTTATTTACCCAAACAAAAACAGAGGAATTTTTCCCAGCCCTCTTTTTTAAAAAATTTCATTTAAATTTGTGAACTCAAAGTCCACAACTTAAAAGAAAGATTTGTGTATTTAGATATCTCCAAAACACTCATTTCAATAGGCTTTTTCACATTGATATTCACCAACAGTATCACAAAAGTTGTTTTTTTAAAACATAACTGTAAGCAACAGTAATTCTAGAAACACTAAAGGGGAAAAAGCATAGCAATGTCCACAGTTACAAGAAAAAGTGCACATTACTTTGTCACAATCACAGTCATTACTTGAAAAACTATATGTAACAAGTAGATAGAAAATATCACTGATGCCTTAAACTCATTGTCAAAAACCAAATTACATAAAAATTGTACACAAAATAAGGCAAATTCAGGAATGCACAAGGAACTTGTTATTTAACAAAAACTAAACATCAGAACAGATATTACAATAAGCAAGAACTAAAATACTTCTCTCTAAATACATAAAAAATAAGCTTTCCTTAGCGCACAACAAAAACACAATTGATGTGTATTTGACATCATAAAATAAGAAATTAGGGGTTGGGGAAATCAGGAGAAGGGGACTTTGCTTAAGTGGCAGCTGCATCCTTTACAATTTTTGTACAGTTTTTAGTTCAGTGTTAACATTATAAAATCACATCAGAAGTGTCAATGGCCCTTTTCAGTTATGTATTCATTTAAAAAGAAATAAAGAAATAAATACACACAAGAGTGCAAATTTTCCGATTGTCACTTGCAACCTCTTCACATTCAATCATCTACATCCACTCACTACTAGAAGGACTTGTACAAGACAGCAGCAGCAGCAATCCTGGAGTTAAGTGAGCTAGCTTGTAGGAAACCACTTTTAAAAAAGAAATTTTAAAAAAATGATATGTCTTTTTAAAAACAACCCTCACATCTTTATTAATTGCTAATAAAGCTGCAACTCATTATGAAATGGAGGCAAAAATGGTTTAAGTTCAGGAAATGTCTACTTCCTTTGGAAGTCACTCCAGAGATATTTACGTATATTGGGATCCACCAGGGAATGGGCTGCCCAGCACAAAAAGGTACTCGCTGTGGAACAGATGTGGATTGGAGAGGGGGACAGAGATTTCAGAGAAGAGGACTTAACAATAACTCCTCAAAACATTATTTGAAAAATCAGTGAAAAATTTACCAAAGTAAAAATGATCAATTTAGAATGAGAACCAACATTTTTGTCTTGTTTTTTTTCTATAAAAATTACATTTTCTTTAAAATACAAGATCCTTTTCATTGCAATTGCATCCTGTTAACAACAGGGCGTTTGGCAACATTTTGCCATATAATGCAGCTTTGAGTCCACTGAGTCAATAGCACATTCCACTAATATTGCACTTGGATTTTGGACCAATTTTGAACCCCCAGCATCTTCTACTTCCATCCGTGTTAGAACGAGTTTAGCATTTCTAGCCACTTTTTGCTGTTGATGCTGATACACAAAAACAAACAAACATAAAGCAATAGGCTGGATATATTAAAAATACCTCAGAGATATCAGAGGTCCAAGTTCACTTGAAGAACCTTAACACACCAAGAACATCAAGAACAATGTGGCATTATGGTAATCGACTCGTCAACAAGACTGTGCAGTAATTGAAAGATCTGCTCTGGGAGATCAAAATGTCATTAGTGGAAATTCTGTGATAAAACTAGGTCAGCAGGATGCTGATGTCTCAGTTCTGCTGCAAAATAAGGTTTTCCAGTTCATCTGCAGAACGCAATAAAAATGCAGCTGATTCTCTGTATCCCGCAACCAGTTGCCGTACTGCATTAATTTCAGTTGGACTCAGCTGAGGTCTGGAGCTGCTACTGCTGGAAGATCCAGAAGTGGTTGCTAACTGTCTTTTCATACTGAGATCAGTTGGACCTGCAATTGACAAATGGAATCTGGTGAAACATCAGGCAATCCTAATTGTGACTTGCTACTTACTAGACACATCTTGCTACTTGCTAGACAAATCACAACCTAGACAGCATCTTAAAAAGCAGAGACATCACCTTCCCAACAAAGGTCCGTATAGTTAAAGCTATGGTTTCCCCAGTAGTGATGTATGGAAGTGAGAGCTGGACCATAAAGAAGGCTGATCGCCGAAGAATTGATGCTTTTGAACTATGGTGCTGGAGGAGACTCTTGAGAGTCCCATGGACTGCAAGAAGATCATACCTATCCATTCTTACGGAAATCAGCCCTGAGTGCTCACTGGAAGGACAGATCGTGAAGCTGAGGCTCCAATACTTTGGCCACCTCATGAGAAGAGAAGACTTCCTGGAAAAGACCCTGCTGTTGGGAAAGATGGAGGGCACAAGGAGAAGAGGACGATAGAGGATGAGATGGTTGGACAGTGTTCTTGAAGCTACAAACATGAATGTGACCAAACTGCGGGAGGCAGTGGAAGACAGGAGTGCCTGGCATGCTCTGGTCCATGGGGTCACGAAGAGTCGGATACGACTAAACAACTAAACAACAGACACGCCTCAGTAAGAGACCAAATGTACAAGCAAAAAGGGACAAACATGGCTTATGGTGCAGTTGTGTACATGCGTGCTAAGAGACAATTTGACAAAGGACTGAAGGTTAAAATTAGTGACTGCTTGATTGGCACATTTATTGTGCTAACTTATTCCATAATAAATTTATTAGTTTTAAAGATGCATCAACACTTTTGCTCATTTTGTTGCAGTGAACTAGCATGGCTACTCCTCTGTAAATGGCAGTTGGTGACTTCATATTAGTTCATATATTACTTTATTTAGCCTTTACATGAATACCCAACCTTACCGTTACAATTCTGTTATCAAAGTGATGATGCTAATGTGCTTGTGTACAAAATGGTCTTCTAGTTCCAGAAGTCTCAATGTTTAAACCATAAATAGATGGCAACAAAGCAAGCGTGCATGTGTGCAGGGGGGTTCTTGTCTGGAGGGGGTATCGTCATGCTCAAGAACAAACTTAAGTAATGCACCCCTCATCATTGCTACTGCTCTTACTGCTTACATAGCACCAAAGTAAATGGCAGTCTATAGAGAGACACTTGCTCCCCTCCACCCTTAGCCCACACTCACCCACTGTATTCTGAGCCAGAGGACGTATGATGCCGCATTTATAAAGACAATGGGGTCTCAGCCTGACGAGTGCCTATATAGAAGAATGCCTGGAAACCCTATATAAACTATTTAGAGCTTTCCATAGGCACAGTGGGATATGATGTGAATCATCATAATAACAAAGGCAATGTCAAATAGATAGCATCCAGAGGATTGGTACAGGGTTCCCAGTTTCATCAAGCAGTAAATTTCTGGGCCAGCCTCAGGGAATGCAGTTTCCTGGAGTCTTACAAAATAGCCCCACGTGGCTTCTAGTATAGCTGCCTGTGATTTGTGTTTTGAGAATGTAAAGCAGTTTTTATTTTTGCATGGTTTGCATTTATTGTTTTTTATTTTAAAAATACTCCCCTCTCAAATGCGAGTTTTGACACAAAAGTAGAAATATGGGCCACCTGCAAAATCTGGGGAGTCTTCCTACCCTTCGGTGCAAATTTTGAGGGTGCACGCACAGACAGCATTGGATACAACTCATAGTAATTTGCCTCTGCCTTACTTTCTTGGTGTTTGTGTGTGTGTGTGTGGTCGCTGGCCTTGAGATCATATAAGTCAATAATGATGACGCGTAGCTCTCAATGGCACTTGAATTTATTTTCCCTTGCTATTTGGTACATGTGTATGGGTGTGCAGGCAGAGAACTTTGTTGTAGCTGGCGGCATGGGGTAAAAAATCTGTAGCTCTATCAGCTCCAAAAGTCACCAGCTGCCAGTGTTTGTTGCACATTTTTGTGAGTCAGCATTGCTTGCTCTCTCATGCGTACAGAAGTACAGTTTCTTCTAGAGCAGAAAATTAAACCTGATGTTAAAAAATCTTCCCTGTCACATCATTTCCAATGCTCACTGGATATCATTTCTCTAGCCATCAGTGAGGTGACTCAGTCAGTCATTTATTTTGTAACTTGTAACTGACTATGGTTTATGGATTCATTTAAGTTGCATAGACATCACATATTTTTGGAAGCTAAGTAGTTCTTGTTTTAACTAAATCATTCAAAATGCTACAAGCACTGCGAATCTCCTCCAAGAGCTAGACGTTCATTTATCATATTAGCTGCTGAGTAAATCTGACATTAAATACACTGCTGGACAAATGACTTGCAAGATTTAACATGAGGTAGTTATTGCCTCATAAATTACTCATTGGCAGCATCAATTACTTAGAATTCTAAAATGCAGGTCAGATATATGATACGGCAGCTTATTTCACTGATCAAAGCACTGATGGCTCATGAGTGGCAAAGCCATATGTGAGTTATTTCTGCAATAACCCACCTCAGCTCCTAGAATGGGACACCCAGTTGGATACTTAATAGTCTGTTGGAGACAATAGGCCCTGGTAAATCCAACCATTACCTTTAAGTTGATCATTAATATTATAGACAATAATTTATAACAGCAATAGATAATTCTAAAAGGTGCAAGGCTGTCTAGACACTGAGATAAGATGTAAAATAACTTTTTGGTTCTGGGAATTAACTGTGGCCAGAATCCAAAGAACCATGAAACTAGATTCATAAACTAGGGTCCATTTACACCTTTCTTTAAAACAAGGGGGGAAAGCAGACCCCTATTTGTTGCACGGAATACTCTTTCTGAAATGGAGAAGTCTTTCCGAAACAGTCTATGAGCAGGGGCTCAGCTTGGAAAGGGAAGAATATTAAAAGGTTTTGTATCCAGAAGCCCCTTGCAGAAGCCTAAGTAGATATTTGTTTAAATTTTTGTTGTCTGTGATACAGTTTGGGAGATGAAGGCGCCACCTTGTTATTGAAAAAGGTGCATGTTGCTTATGTGTGCTACTTTCAGCTGAAAATGTTAGACAAGCAGGTGTTTGGGTTCACCTCCTGTCAGATGCTTTCAGGATGCTTTGGGAATCGCAACCACCACCTTTCACTGTGTCTATGGAGAAGAATACTGGAAGATTCCACTCACTGCATTGCTGTTAATATCTTTACAGGCCTGGCCAGGCTAGGAAGAACTGTAATAAAACTGGCACATTTCTTCCTCTTCTCAGCAGGGGCTGGGTTAAGGAGCTCCTACCACACCTCCACTTAAAACCACAGTGTCCTGAGCTGCTTTTCATTAAAATTTGCGTAGTATGTATACTTTGTGTTTTCTTTTTAATCAGTTTCTCAATTAATGGAAATAAGAATATCTATTATAGTCAGTAAAGCTGCAAAAATGATTTTTAAACTCTGTGCTTTTATTTTGAAATCAGCGTAATTACCTATAGTTTAAGAATACTAACAGTTACAGTATCCATTATCAAATTACACTGCCACTCCTTTGTAATCCTTAGAGATGAAATTTTATTAATAAGTGTTGCCTTAGTGTTATAGTTGTTTTTACCAGTTGAAACAATGGTCTAATACATTTGTCTTTCTCCATTAGGACTGCAGTGCTAAGCATAATTGATGGGAAGGAAGTTACATTAAACTAACTGCTCACTTCTGAATAAACATGTATGAGGATCAGGATGAAATGCAGCAGTGATTCCAATATGTTGCTGCTTCAACTATCAGACTAGCGCCTGGGAGACCAGGGTTCAAATCCCCATTCAGCTATGAAGCTCACTGGCTGACCTCAGGCAAGTAACTCTCGGCCTAACCTATTTCAGAGGGTTGGTGTGGGGATTAAACGAGGAGAGGAAGAACCATGTATGCTACATTGAGCTCCTTGGAGAAAAAAGTGGGCTATAATGCAAATCACCACCACCAAGGGGATTATAATCATTTATATTTGCTCCTGTGCCAATCAGGCCTACGTCTTCATGAGGCTCTCTGTGTGTGAAGTATTAATGAAAGCATACAAACAAGCCCTTTAAGGTGACTGTTCTCCGTAAGTGGAACTCCCTGCTCCATGAGTTCCGAAAGAATCGAAACATCTTCTGGGAGCAATGCTTATCCTTTTCAATTTGATGTGAGTGAGCAGTGCATTCTTTTATGTGCATGCTTATTCTAAATACTGGTATATCCAATATCTTTAAGCTAGTATTCTCCATACTGTATTATATAGAGATAGGTTTTTTCTCTCAGAGAAGGAATGGCTGGTTAAAATCATCTGAAGTAATTTGTGCCCATTAAGACTGTATTAGCACAGGAGTACTTAAGTCCACAGATATGGAATATATTGGATAATTTATAGTCTGTAACAAAAACATGCAATGTTTTTCATCTTAAACACTGCCAGGATTGGGCGGGGGGGGGGAGAGAGAGATTCATTCATGCAAATATAAATGCAGAAATCTGGTAAAAAATAATAATAAAACTCACCGCTGGTAGAAGCATCGCTGAGATTTAGCAAACCTCCTCCTAACCCTCTGTAACTATGGTAACTGTAGGTCCCATTTCCATTTATGTACAACACCTCCTGTGTGCTGGAAACAGCTGATGTTGAGTAAGTGACCTGGGTTGGTTCCTGTTTATATGGTTTGTCAGCTGGAGCAGTCTCATCCTGCAAGAACAATGGTTCAGCGGACAGTGTCAAATCACTGCTGCATTTTTCTCCTTGAATGAAGAAGACATTATATTGTTATTCAATAGACTTTCCTTGCACTACTTTGAAAACAGGTTAGAGGAAATGTGAAACAAGCACATACAAGTTTTTTAACTGACACTTTTATCTGTCGGAAAGAAAACATGAGAACTCTGGCAGGTTATGGATGTCTTGTAGCAGAAATTGTCATTTACGGGTGTAGCTACAGTATAGTCAGCTCTATTCAGCCTATCAATACCCACAATCTTTGCTCTAAAAAGCAACATTGGAGAATCTCTGGCTTGTGGGCCTAATTGAACCCAGCAGGATTCCTAATTTGGCCTGCAAGGCTGTTTTCCACAAGCCCCACCTGCCTGCCCTGTACCTGATAAGTCATATGATATGGTTCTATGTTGAAAGTGGGCTTTGCAGACATTAACCAGTGGCACTTTGCCCATGTGGTTTGATATCAAACTGAACAGGTAAAGGAAGGTTTGCAGGCATCACCAATCAGCTGATTGTTGGTGCCTGCAAAGCACTGTGCATTTGTCCGTGCAAACTGATTTCAAAACTACATAGGTAAAGGAAAATGCTTCACCTGGTGATGTAGGGTGGCTGACATGGGGTAGACTCACCCCCGCCCCCCGCCCCGTCAAATTGGCCTGTAGGAATAATTCTGGGGAGATCAGAATTCAGCCCACCAATCCAGTTCCCCACTCCTGCTCTATGTTTTGTGTCATGGGAAACTCAGCTCTAAATGCAGGTATAAGTGATAGGCAAAGAAAATATATATATTATATTAGTTTTTGCTGGAAGAATCATTTGAGATTCTTTCAATAAGCAAAAATTACTTTGGCAGCTAGAGAATTCATCTCCATGGGTGCTAGGAAGTGGTAGAAAATAATAGTAGGAAAGTCATCATAGAATCATGGGTCTGTAAGGAACTTGAAATGATCTGGCTCTCATGCCCTGTGACACACCAATTTGCTATCAGGGTTCATTTAATTTGTGAAGGGACTATGTGGGCTGGATCACACCTCCTTGCCCCCCACATTCAGCTGTATATTTTCTGTGCCTGACAAAGGGCAAGAGTTTCCATCTCACTAAGGGCAATTCTCTGCATTCTCCTTCTCCCTCTTCCACATGTTCATTGAATGTAGAAAGGCCCATAGAGATGGACCTCATGGTTCCATATGTCATAAACATAAAGCTGGAGTGAATATAATCCACCATGTCTTAAAAGCTTTGTACTTTAAGACTTCTTAAGGAGTGCTTCCTGTATAAACCCACTCACCAGTTGGTCTTGTTAGCAGGCCTTACTGTCTGTGACATCTTTGAGGCAGTTTTGGACAGTAGTAGCTCAAAATTGGGCTCTTTCAGCAACCACCCTATATTTTTCTCTTCCCTAAGGAGGTGGGTAACCAACCTCTGATGGTTTTTTGAAAGCGGAGTAAAGGCTTCTGACAAGTTTTGGTAAACAATAATGCCATCAGTATTGTTTTCTACAGTGGGTTATAGTCTGATATTGTTGCGTTACAGTTGCATCCCATTGGCAGGTAACCTTGTTGGTGGTGCCACTACTGGGGGCTGCCTGGTTGGCACTGACCTGTGACAGGGCCTTTTAGGTGGTGTCTCCCTAGTTGTATAATGCCCTCCTTAGTGAGGTGCACCTGTCTCTATCATTATTAGCTTTCAGGAGGATTTAGAAAGCATTCCTGTTTACTCAGATATTTGGTTGCTGAAGTATTGTTTTTGGCAACTCTGAGATCACTGCATGTGCTAAATTATACAGTAGTAATAATATGCTCCCTTTTTCATATTTTTACAGTAATCTGCAAACAATGCAACTTACATAAGTATTATTTTTATTGAGATTTGGGTTCCCTGTAAGGGGAAGGCTGATGACATCTGTTTCTGCTTCCTGAACTAAGACTATGCAGGCAACACATATCAACTATCATTGCCATCATTCAAATTTCTCTTCATACATATATGCATATTTTTACTTTGTTAAAAGGAACTATTTCCTCCCTCATGAAAACAGCATAACACCACAAGAGAATAGCTCCTAATGGCATAACAGCTACACTGATTTCCAGATGTGACCTGAGGCTTTTTTTGAATTTACAGTTTGATATTTTTAATACACAGGGGTGTGAATCTATTATCTCCATAGCAAAATTCCAATATGCTTACAACTACACCATCCTTTGTAAGTTCACCATTCTGACTGTCAGCTGATCATAATAAATTATGCACTTGCATGTGTTTGTGTGAATGTGCATTTGTGGATCAACACGCCTGCCTGTATTTTTGGACTTTCATTGGGAGCATGGCTATGAACTCTCCTTGCACATATGGCTATGGGGTTCCTGCACTTAAAAAACTACCACTAAATCACAGGGAGTCATAGAAATGTGGAATAGACAAAATGCACCATCAAGTCCAACTTCCTGCCTAAACCTAACCTTATCAAAGATCACTCACCCAATTTTTTTATACCCTTGAATATGTGGCAGGAAGGATATGTGGTAACATTTAAGAGGTCTTCCATCAATTCTGTGGCCACAGTGAGTGCATACACCATCCTAAGCTAATTGCATCAATAACAGTCTAACCTGCTCTAAAAGATCTAAAGTGATTTATTACATAGTTTAATTTTGAATCTGTTCTATTAACAGCTGAATGAAATCTTTTAGATTCTATTTTAGATTCCAGAATAGACTCCCCACTCAATATCATTAGAGGAAGTGCGGTGTATTGTTTTGGAAAGTCAAAAAGAGACACTGTATTTAGGAATTCTAAAGAAAGCACATCTGGTGCAAGAATCGAACTGGAAGGATGCATTTTTCATGTAGGTGGGAATGCATATCCTCTTCCAGTTCCATCAATTATTGCATGTTACTAGCTGTGTATAACTGGGCCAGGATTGGGGTATTCTGTTTAGTGTTCCCAGTCTCATTGGACGGGGTCATTTTTTGCACATAGACTAGTAAAAATATATTGACACAATCTTGTGTTTTTCATTAGTTTTAATTCTTCTGGGCTTGACCTAGTTTAAATTTTATGAGCAATAAACTTGAAAGCTCAAAGTACGGAATAGTGTTTGGGCATATCATAGTGCCCAAGAATTCCTTTCAATTTCAATAAGGTTATAGAGTTGATGTGATCAGTAGAGATAGAAATTTTTATTTCTAAACAGGGACTAGATGCTGTTTGGCTCTTGTTTTGGTTCATTAAACCCCATTAACACTAAGTGTTCTGAGATCATTATCTGCTCCCAGAATAAAAATGCATTAACCCCACAGTATCATGAGGCAGTTAAACTGAATAACTCAGTATATTTTGACCCATGTAAAATCTGCCCCACCCCCTCTTTTTTTCGAGGAGCCAACATATATTGAGTTTGCTACATACCCTAAGTGAATAGATGGAATAGTTTTCCAGGCAAAATCATACTTGTTCTGGTTGCAGTGCAAACTTTATCTCAGGCAATTAGCCCACTTGTACTCATAAGTTTGGAGGTCTAGTGGTTTTCCCTTCTCATTTTCTATCAAACTAGAAGTAGGTAGGGGTGGTGCCATAGTCCTGGCCTCATGGCAGCATACCAGGTCTCCTGCAAACCAGGTGAATGCAGTGGCAGGGCTGGGGTGCTGTGAGTGCACCAGTAGCAACATTATATCTCCTCCAGTGCCACCCCTCCTCACTGGCTGCTGCTATATCAAGCATAGCATGATTTACTAAGGCATATTCAAACAGGTGTTAGACTGCGTTGTAATGGCACCCTGATTGTGTGTCAGCACCCTCAAGCCAACCCCCCCCCCATTAGAATAAAGAAATTCACACAGACACAGATTTTTTGTTTAAGGTTATTGGGCAAATTTTGGCCACAACTTTACTGATTACAGGAAATGTGAGCGGTACTGGCTTAGGCATTGGCAAAAGACTATATCAGACTCCTGCCCCCTTTGCAGGAAGTCTGTAAGGGTAAACCACCCAAAGGGGAGCTGCTTCGGGGGAACCCGCCTGCATCTCCCCCAGTATTCCCAGAGGCCTGACATGGCCCTAGCCTCTCAAGTGGACTTCACACAGGATCCAGGCCCCAGATTCCTTTAACGGAATACCCTTGGACAATGGAGGGGCAGGCGATGGCCGACCTCCCCTCTCCCACTCAACAATAAGCCAATGCCTAACCGCCAAACCTTACAAAGTTGTGACAATTGCTAAGAGGTAGGCGAAAACCAAGTGGCCAGTGCCAATTTGCCAAATGGAAAAAAATCCTATCCGGTCCCCGTCCCAAGGTTTATGTCTGGGATGCTGAATTGTTTAATAGCACAATTCTATGCATGTCTACCTGGAAGTAAGTCCCACTGCTTTAAATGGCATTTATTTGCAGGAAAATGTTTTAAGACTGCAATTTAAATGTGATAAATAATAATATTCTTGCTATCCTTCCAAATGGCTAAGAGTTGGTCTACTTAGAAAAAAGCAATGTAGTAACCCACGGCACATGTAAAAATACATATAATGAGTTGGATCTAGACTGGTCAGTCTGTGAACAGCTTTTTCTGTTTGTGGAAGTGACTAAGGAGGCTCCCTATTGTAGAAAGGAGGGAGGTGATATTCATCCTTTCCTGCTACTTCCTCATACAGTGGTACCTCTGGATGCGAACGGGATCTGTTCCGGAGCCCTGTTCGCATCCTGAAGCGAACGCAACCCGCCTCCGCGCATCTGTGCGTGTCACGATTCACCGCTTCTGTGCATGCACGTGATGTCATTTTGAGCGTCTGTGCATGCGCAAGCAGCGAAACCCAGAAGTAACACGTTCCGTTATTTCTGGGTCACTGCGGAGCGTAACCTGAAAACACTCAACCCGAAGCTACTTCAACCCGAGGTATGACTGTACACTACTTCTCATGTTACTCAAGAAGGCCATATTCCTTCAGAAAAGAGGGAACTGGGGGAAAATAGTCCCCCATGCTTTTGGACACGAACAGAACTCTGTCAATCACAAGACTGGGTCTAACTCATTATGAATTATGTAATTTTGAGGGAAAAGGGATTTAAGATACAGTATAGCTGGAAATATCCTTGCACTGTTCTAAACAGAAATAGCTCTTTAGAATTACTGGATTGCTGCAATTGCAAAAATACAAATGCACATTTGAGAGTTTTATTCTTAATAATGCTGTACATTATTATTATTGCTATATTATATTTGCCCACTATGTGAGTTTGTGATTATTTTATGTAATTAACAAAAAATATATACCTGTTTGTAAGAAAACCTCTAAGAGGTTTACAAACATATAAAACAAAACATTAAAATTCTTGATGAAAACAGTTAAAAACTGGTATTTATAAACATCAAAAGATGAACATTATAAAATGAATACAAATTTATCTTAATTAACATTATTCTACCTTTTTTATAAACTATGATCAGTATGAAGGCTGGAGGCAGATCTGATATAAAGAAGAGCTCACAGCATGTTCTTCAGCCATGCTACACGTTGGCATTCACAATTAAACTGACAGCTGAGCATGCCAGAAAACAAACATTTTGAAGCCCATCTGCCTTGCTACCACTTTCTGCTCTCTCTGCAGCCGCTATGGAGAACCTCTTATCTCTCCACAGAACACATTTTACAAAGTCTGTGATTATTGCTTGATCAGTCCACTGAGTCCTGGGTATGGATCATGAGTCTTTCACTCCCCACGCCCATACCTGCTGTCGATCCAAGCGCATTCGTTTCGCAGCATTTCTGCTTTCGCTTTCACAGGCTGAAGCCAGGATACTCTCTGCTACAGCTGAAGTAAGGTGTGAGGGAATAGGCCGTGACTATGAAAGAGAGAGAGAGAGAAAGAGAAAGAAAGAAAGAAAGAGAGAAAGAGAATAAGAATTACAAGGATCATCGCCAGGTCAACAACAGTGCTTACAAGCAGCACATAGACTGGAGAGTTGGTTCATTGAAATGTATTTTGTTTCAACAGAAAGTGGAAATGGAGGTTATCAAGATGAAAAATGAAAACTAGTTAGAAACTAAAGCTGCAGTTCAGCCACTGATCCTCAACTACATCCTTCCACCAATATTGTACGTGGGTATTCGTAAGCGGGGGTGGTTAACCCCGTTTGGGCGGCCTTCCAGCCCTACTCAACAAAGTTTCCTATTTTCCCAACACCTCACTGATTTTGGCAGCAGCCAGGAAAGCAGGGAATTCAAGCAGACACAGTGCTGAGGTAGCTGCATATGGCCTTGGGGCCAAAAGAGGTTTAGCCATCCTTGCTCTTAAGGATGCATTTTGAAGAAACACTAGTATATTCCCATGACAGACAAGATCTGGTGTAATATAGTGGATATGAGACTGAGCTATGAATTTGGGAGCCCCTGGTTAAAATTTCACCTCTGCCATGAACTCACCAGGTGGCCTTTGGTAAGTTATTCCCTCTTAGCCTCAGCCACCCACCCTCTGGATTATGGGTGGTGCAACTACTGACTTACCTTTCAGTCTGGTTGTAAGCATTACAGCTAGATGATGAATGTGAAGTGAACACTTGTAAGTGCTATGGAAGCATTGGGCAGGATTCACCTAACCAGCGGCAGAAGCCCTGCGCCAGGACTTCCAGTTGCGAAACAGGGCTTTCTTTTCCCCTTCTTCTTCCCTCACATGTCCCCTGAAATTGCCTTGGTATGTGTGTGTGTCATGAGAACCCCCAGAGTGGTGTGCCAGGGGAGGAGAGATGGTGTGTTTTCATCTGGCAAGCTGGAATGCTTGCAACAGACGGAACGACTGGAAGAGCACAATGCTGGATTTGGCCTATTATAGGAACATGCCTGATTTGAGTCTTATTTCATAATCATATTGGCATTGAAAAGCATGCTGTCCTTTTTACTTGAATGCATAGCAAAGCATTCTCACATATTCTTTGTATGTATTTTACCTGGAGAGTTGTAATGATTGACAGCCTTAGTGTTTAAGCAGTATGTAATGTTTGTTCACCCACTTGACTGTGAATTTCCCCATCTTCAAAAGAATTAACCCCCCCCCCCAAATTAAGGGTGTGCATTAGTACTAGTCATCTTTATTATAATTCCACTATTGACTTGACTGATATACTTGACTAATAATCTACATAGCCTGCTTTTACTTCTAAAAATGATCTATGCAATCTACACATTCTCTGTTGTTTTATTTATTTATTTAAAGTGTACTTTTTGATTTTTGTTCAGTTAGCAACCCTGCAAACATAAACCTATGCTGAACATACAGGATATAAATTAAGTAAAGAAATACAAAATCAGAGTAAATATTCTTAGATAAATACTCTTTTTTTGTTTATTCGTGCAATTATATTTGGTTTGACAATACTTATATTTTGTACAGTTGATCTTCAGTCACCCCTAAGCCATCCAGTGAAATACTCAATGTAGACCCATTGCCTCACAAATGACACTGTCTTATATCTGCTACTTGCCCTTCACGAAAGAGTCAGTTTTCACATTAAAATGTAAATAACTGATCCAAAGGGCACTGAAATGTGTCTGAACCATTCCATTCACTTAAGTAGTGTTTAAATTATCTGTTGGACATAAATGATGGTAAATCAATGATCAAAATTACACTTAACTATTGAAACATGATGTAGAAATAATATCTTTAATAATAATAATAATAATAATAATAATAATAATAATAATAGAAGACCCAATTGGTAATAAGATGGAGCTGTTGGAAGTGTACAATCACGACTGCTTATCAAAGTTTGGGACAGTTTATACTGTAAATAGAGGAAATTGGTTTCACAAATACCATATGTGAGATAAGAATCAGTCCAAATTAAATACTCTTAAGGCCCTTTGAGGTTAGCATGTAGTTAACATACTCATTTAAACTGAAGCTTAATCTGCTTTGGGCTGGATTGTGTGCTAAATAATTCTATATTTTAAATACAAATATTGCACTATATTGCAATATGGTGAGGACTCATGGTGAAGTGCAGGTAAGAAATCTGATGTAGTAGTAGTATTGGTAGCTACCCTTTTATTTCTGCTTTAAATTTAAACAGGACAGATGAGTTTTCAATTTTATTCTATAACTTTGAAATATTTTTGTTTTTTAAAATTAGAGCAGATGTTTCAGAGGGAAAGTCCATGTATTCCCCTGTAAAAATCTATCAATTTTATAGCATCTGTTGAAATGTTGTGCATATAGGGAAACATACAGTTGTACTCTCTACTTTAGTTCATTACTTTCATTTAAAATGAAGATGGTCAATAACAGTTCAGTCTTATATGTTCAACATGCTCCCAGGTTTGTATGTATGGGAGTGTAGCCTATAGTAGATTTGAGCATCCTCATGGCACCCTCCAGCTTCTTACTGTCAATGTACATCACAAATATCAGCCTTGAGCATTGTAGACTGACGCTGGAATCCAGTCTCAAAGAACATATGACTCTGGTGGCTGATCACGATTTTACTGTGTTTTATTTTCTGATATTACATTATGGTGGCCGCACAGTAAATCATGTGTTGCACCCTTCAAATGATGTTGTTTCATGCTGAGTCCACTAAACAGTATTTTTAATTTTTTAAAAAACCCAAATAATACTATAAGAAAGCTGATACTTTGATTCATCCAAAGACATCTATTTGCATCACAGGGTCATTAAATAATATACCGAAAGTAACACATATGAAACAAACAGTTATAGCCAATTTGGCAGAAGGTCACTCAAGAATCTAAGTAGAATGGCACACATACAAAATTATAAAAAGGCTGTAAACTGGGTATTTGTATCAGGGAATTTCCTGCTCCCCCTAAAAAGAATCAATATTGCCTGGTGTTGTAGGTTCAGTCTGAGCTTCTGAATCTGTTCATTTGACAGTGGTAATTACTTCGTAGTAAAAATACTTGAGATTGGGGTGTAAGAATTTTTTATAGAATAGTCTCTCAAGTGGCAGCCAGGGAAACTTCTATAAAACATTTTCTTATTTCCAAAGGCATAAGGGAAAATACATAGATACAACTGACCTTAGATTGCAATAAAATAATTACATATAGGGCAACCATTGGTTGATGTGCTGCACATCAGACGCTAGTTTTAATAGTGAAACCTATATGGCATGTGTTACCTCATTTGCTTGAATGTATAAAATCATCAGCAAATTTCTACAAGTAATACTAAGCATTTCTTTTTCAGTTCTATATGTAAATGTGCTTGTGTCCAAACAGCACCATCCACTTCAAAGCATTTCTACCACATGTATATTTGGGATCTAAACCTTCTTTCAAACCGCCAACATGTTCTTCAAAGGAACATTTTGTCCTTAAAATACAGATATTTAGTGATTCTAGTTATGGAATACACAGTGGATCTTCTGTTTTATGCATAACAAGTACAACTTCAAAGGTCTAATAAAATATTTTGTCAATGAAACCAGAATACCTCAAGCAGAACATGAATATACTCACCAACATCTTGTTACAGAATTAAGACTGAAAAAGGATTCTTGAGAATAGAGGCATATTAAAACACTCTCTAATATTGTAAAGCATGCAGTGTAAAGTAGCACGATGTGCATGTTTGAGCAACATTCTGCATTACAAACTGAAGAACAGCACTGCACTCTGTTGGATGTCCTGATATTGTTCTAATGTAATAAGCTTTCATATCCCCAGTAAATATATAAAAGGATTTGTCATTTTAAGACTTGCAGCAGCACTGCATTTTGACATCAGCTGTAATGCTTTTCATTTATTCTTGTCTGAGAATAAATGGAAGAAGCAAAATTTCAGTAACTGTTGGCAAAACTAGCCAGGGAATGGAGGGATGGATGAAGAACAATAGGTCATAGCATTATTTTGGTGGAGGACCTACAACGCAAATTAATTAGAGAATACATGTTTAATTTTTAAAAAGAGAAATTCAGTTTAATGCACAATCCACTTTGCTTACAATTCTAATGTTCTCATTCCAGACAGTATTCTACTTATAATAGACAAAAGGGGGGTGTCTATTTGCCGCAGACACCATGTTTAGCACAATTATCTAGGCTCTATATGACTGTACAGCAGCAATAATTGCCCAAGATTACCATACAGCCAAAAAATGTAGTTACAGAAGGAAAAGAGGCAACAAACACATGTAGACCAATTAGTAATCTCTTTCCTGCTGCTGTGCATGTACATAATGCCAAATCCTGTCCCAATATATTCTTGCCTCAGTGAAATGAGTAGGGTGACGTGTAAAAGTAAAGACATACACAATCTGACAGGGCAAGGGCTGGGTAATATGCCAGGTATATCTCCTGAGATTTGTGCTTTAGGATTTCATAATACGTTGATGTGATCTTTTCATGAGACAGATGTTCAGACAAGGCTGGTGGTTTGTAAAGGCAGGGAAGTGTGAAGAAGGGCTTGGCAAGCAGCCATCGTCAACAGGTAAATGAATGCAGAATACTGTATGTGTGGAGGAGGTTTGTATTTTAACTGAGTCTTCCCAAGGCAAGCCAGAAGTCACATGTTCCTCATGGTTTCATTAAGTTAAATGAGACTTAGATACAGCCTTGGGTATAAGTGTGTGAGCGCATGCATGTGCTCTCTCTCTCTCTCACACACACACAAACACAAATGCACAGTTTGAAGTGAGTATGAATTTACATTATTTTCCTCATCTCCGGAACAGCTCTGTCAAACTGTTGTGTTTCTGTAGAAAGATCTACTGAGATGTTTGCCTTTCATTACCCAACATATAGGACACCTGTAGCTGTACTGAGGCTGTGTTCTTTGTTGACTTTGTGTGAAACTATTTCAAGGTGGTATGGAAGCCCTTATCTCAGAAATTAGTTAACTCCTAGTATTGCCTACAGTTTCTATATTATCAATACTAGTGTGTTTTTTCTTAGAAGAGATTCATATAGATGATGGTCATCAGATATAAATGTGTGAACATGACATTTTTTTTTAGGCAGGAAATTATAGCAGCAACAAAACTTTAAAGATACTTAGAGCAGATGTCATCCAAAAGGCACATTTTTTGTCATTTCCCCCATCAACTGCCTTAATTATTTCCTGTGAGATGGGCAGATACTAATGAGAAAGAAGGCCTTTAGTTAAGAACTCTCTTCCAGATGTCCCCCTGCAGGGGAAGAATAATGAGGCTATTATCTGAAGGCCAGATCTTATTTACCAGTTCAGAATAAGTTGCAGAATCCCCTCTTTTTTAGTATTACAAAATAATTTCTCCCTGGTGACCTGAAGATTTCAGGATCATTCTTTGACAGAGAATGTTTGAACTCTAGGCTGCTTTTTGAAATGTGCTTTTGAAGAAAGAGTGAAAGGTTGCATTATTTGTTTTGAATTCTATTCCTGAGACAGAACAGGAACAGATGAACACATTTTCTTTCTCAGGGCAACCATATATTTATCACCAATATCTGAATGGATATGGTAGCAAGATATTTCAGGCACAGAAACTGCAATTCCTTAGTAACTATTAGAAGCATGATAAATAAAACTCTGCTAGGAATCTTTGACCAAAATAGTCTGATTAATATGTTAATGTAGGTTGCCTCTTCTTAAAAAGAAAAAAAAATGTTTGGACATATAAAACTCAACCTTCCAAGGCTGCAACAACCAGGCCTTTGTCTAATGAAACAATTTATGGCCTTTTAAACTGGAGCGGGGGGGGGGGGGGGACTGTTTTTGTTTGATTCAGTTATGTATTTTTGTGTTTTTATATTATAAACTGCCCTGTGATCCCTGGATGGACGGTATAGAAATTTAATTAATTATAATTATAATAATGAGAAAGCCATGCACACTATAGCCAGTACTAGCCCCAATATTTGGTCCATTATGGAACTTGCTACTAAAATTTCTGCTTACCAAAGGAGTGGCTAACCCCCAGTTTGGAGCACTGATCAATTCCCCAAACAACCACAGCCAAATTTGGCAGAAGCAACAAAAAGTATAAAAGTAAAGACAGTAGAGCCCAGTGCACTAATGGGAGTGCAAGTTGCCCCCTGCCTGGTCATTAGATTAATAGTTTGCTGAATGGTGAGGGAACTATACGTCCTTTCATCTCAGCCGATCTGCATGGGTCAACTGAGGAAGGAACTATCGCTGGTCTACCATGATGATCTGAAACCTGTGCTTTGACAAATGCTTCTGCAGAAGTTTGTTTCATTTCTTCAGATAGTTTTTGCATCCATTTTCATTGTGATCCTAATGGTGCCATTCAAAATAAAAGCAATATGATAACCTGTTGCTGTGTTATATACATTGACACCCAAAGAAATTGCTTCAGAATTTATATTATTTTATCCCTATTGTATTTCATAAACTAAAAGAAAGATGTATATTTTTCTACTACACTTGGTATACATGATATGGTTTGAGGTAGATCAGAGCAAGACACACCTTCCACTAATTAATCTATTTACATCTTCCAGAGCATCAAGTCCTGGTGGTTGTTCCATAATTACACCTGAAATGCTACATGTCCTATAAACAATTTTAATTGTTCTGGCATTTTCAGAAAGATTTATCAACTGAATCATGTGAAAAGTTGAATTTATGCCCAGACCTCTGTAGAAATTTCACTGTAACGCCTTACCACCATAATGATACAGTGATATAGTCACCATTCCTGTATTTTAAGTGATATTAAATAAGCAGTCAGTTAAACAACTTTGCTCCTTGTATTCTAATTACCTTTCAGTTATGTCATTACAGTGAAACAAAATTAGATTACAATCTAGATAGCACCAGACATTTCAAAATGATATGTTTTACAAGCATGGAGGCCATTTAATTCTTTATTTCTTCATATTGACAAATATTAATCATCAGGATTCGAAACAAGCTTTAGCTGATGAAATGTAATAGCGAGTGAAAAGAAATACTATTCCCGTTTGTCTTTGCAGCACTGCCAAATCTATCAAATTGAAACTGACCTATGCAGAGGGTTTGTGTAGTACCCTTCAAATAATAAGCCCCTCAAGCAAACCACCAAAAAGTCTTTATGAAACCTAGAGAGGCTATGGAGGCCATGTTCACATATCACGCCAAGACATAAACTTCCACAGCATGGAGGAGAGGAGCAAAGTTACCCAATCAGCTTATAAGCCATGGTATAGGGCTTACTGAACATGGTCTCTCTGACAGCAAATGCCTCAGGATGCAGCGAATGTGTGTTCAAACTAGGTTTCACTACCATTTAGAATGTCTGCCCGTGACCATTCACATTCTATTCCACTAGTCTATCTTAAGGGAAGGACCATATTTCAATGCATCTTGCTTATTGAAGGTGCCAAATTCAATCCCTACCATCTCCGGTCAAAAGAGCTTCAGACAATATGATCATGAAAAACCTCTGTGAAGCTTCATGGAGAGCCACTGCCAATCAGAGTAGATGATTCCAAGCTAGATAAACCAAAGGTCTAACTCTGGTTTCTCATACAGTCTCCACTGTTGAGGATCTTGTCTCTCAGCCTCATTGGCAACTGCTACTGTTATGCAATGATGTTGCTGAAATAAGGAACGTAAGACAGGGAGGTGTACACTCTTGCTCAGGAGAAGACTTTGCTTGCTTTCACTCAACTATGGCAACAGCTTTTGGACACAGCTACTGAGGAGATTTCACCCCTCCCATATCCAAGAATCTCCTGAGGAGTCTGCTGATTCTCCAGAGAGGAGGAGGCGTGTTCTGCTCTCTACTTATTCTGCTCCAGCACCGAGTCAGTCAGTCAGTGTCGGAGAGAGAGAGAGAGACTGAGTGTTAGAGATCATGTGTAGAGATAAGGTTGCTGCTAAGAGCAGCTGCAGACACTCAGTGCAGTGCAGCATTCATTTATGCTTAGGCTCATTAAGCTCTGTATATAGTTTGTATAGTTGTAGATAGAATAAAGAAGATATTCTACAGAGCTGCTCTCCGAGTTGTTTATATACTCTGCTAGAGTCTGCTGTACTCTGCTGTGCGACGACTGTCTTCTTGTGGAAGTGAATCTGGTGCTCACAACTCTAAGCTGTGAGTCCACAGCACTTTGACCTGTTCCTGTGCAGAAGGTGGTCTCTGGAAGTGCTACCCAGCTCGCCTAGCCCAGTCGGGGCTGAAGTGGATGAGTCCAGTTGGTGGCACTGGCTCAAGGGCGATGCTGACAGCTACTTCCACATGCATGAGGGAAGAAGATTAGTTCTGTGTTTTCATGGGCAACAGCAGACCTGAAAAACTTAGAATCATAGAATCATAGAGTTGGAAGAGACCACAAGGGCCATCGAGTCCAACCCCCTGCCAAGCAGGAAACACCATCAGAGCACTCCTGACATATGGTTGTCAAGCCTCTGCTTAAAGACCTCCAAAGAAGGAGACTCCACCACACTCCTTGGCAGCAAATTCCACTGTCGAACAGCTCTTACTGTCAGGAAGTTCTTCCTAATGTTTAGGTGGAATCTTCTTTCTTGTAGTTTGGATCCATTGCTCTGTGTCTGCTTCTCTGGAGCAGCAGAAAACAACCTTTCTCCCTCCTCTAGGTGACATCCTTTTATATATTTGAACATGGCTATCATATCACCCCTTAACCTCCTCTTCTCCAGGCTAAACATGCCCAGCTCTCTTAGCCGTTCCTCATAAGGCATCGTTTCCAGGCCTTTGACCATTTTGGTTGCCCTCCTCTGGACACGTTCCAGTTTCTCAATGTCCTTCTTGAACTGTGGTGCCCGGAACTGGACACAGTACTCCAGGTGAGGTCTGACCAGAGCAGAATACAGTGGCACTATTACTTCCCTTGATCTAGATGCTATACTCCTATTGATGCAGCCCAGAATTGCATTGGCTTTTTTAGCTGCCGCGTCACACTGTTGGCTCATGTCAAGTTTGTGGCCAACCAAGACTCCTAGATCCTTTTCACATGTACTGCTCTCAAGCCAGGTGTCCCCCACTTGCTACCCCTACATGCTTTTTTATTTGGACAGTAATGTAGAGATATAAACAAGCACTTTTTGAGATCATTCATGTTTGCAATTGTTCAGTGATGTGAACATGTGTATGAAATTTGGTCATATAAGACAGGAAATATATTACTTCTTTGTAAATATATATATATATTACACTCCATATTAGAGCAGTGTACAAAGTCGTGAGATAAAATTAATCAAAGTTATCAAGATCAGACAGTTGCACAAAGACTTTTCATTTTATAAATAACTTAATTCAAACAAAACAAATGTAAAACTACACTATTTACTAGACTTCAATAATATATTGCCCGTCAAATATTTCAAAACACAATATAACTCAACAATCAGATTTTCACATCTGATTCTCTGCTCCCTTTCAATCTATAGTTCCCTTGTCTTGCATCAATTGTACAAATACGACTTCCTGCATTTTTACTTTTGTCCTAAGCTAGTGATTTCAGCAGATGTGGCAATTGGTTTTGAACACAGTCATTTAAGGTTTTGGAACAATGAATGGACATCAGAAGGAAGGAAGGAAAGGAGGAAGGAAGGAAAGAAGGAAGGAAGGAAGGAAGGAAGGAAGGAGCGACAAAATATAGACTGATTTTATTGCTTTTATATAAAATACGTTTTTTTGGATGTATTTCTTAAAATGATATTTAAAAGGTAGATGATGTTTGAAAGTTATGAAAGGAAGGGTCTGAGGTTTGTTTTAGGACTTTTTATGGAAATGCTGAGATAATTTTCAAAGGAGTTCTTCTTTTCTACTATAATGGGAAAGGATGCATGTGGTGTGGTATTTTAACATTTAGTTGGTGTTCGATCATGGCAGCCAAAAAAATGGTGTGCTTTTTTCATTTCTCACTTTCTTTGAGAAATTAGAAAGGTTAAAAAAGCTCCCCATGATATTAATGTTGCAATTAAGAAATGATCCCTAAAAATCTTAATCCTATACAGCAAAACCTTATTTAGTAAATTTATACCCCGTCTTTCCTCCCAAAGGAGCCCAGGGTGACAAACAATGAGTAATTTTAAACAATTTTGAAAATGCTGAAAGCATATTAATTTGATCCTAAGTGTTTTTCTATAGTCTTTTTCTATAGTCTTACATTGCTTAGGCTACATTGATTTGGTAAAATGCCAAATGTATGTGTGATTGTAGCATAAGCACCATTAAAAGCAGTTTTCATGTCTCTGACAAATGTTGTGGTAATTATGACAACAGGGCAACAATTAATATGCCCATTCCAAAATATAGAAAGATTCCCCTGCTATATTGACTCACCCACCACTAATGGCTGGACCCATGATTCTCACAGCTGCATCATGAAATATGTGCAGATCCCTGACGACATGATCAGATCTGTCAGCTTGGAATGTGTATATCATATGCTTGGGAGGAAGGCCTAGATTGACTAGATTGACATTCCATCCTAAAGAGAATCAGTAGGTAGCCATGTGTACATGGCATGTCCAGTTTCACATATGCATCCCACTACTACCAACATGTACCTGTAGGTTCAGGCCACTATATCATCTCTACAGGAGTCAGAATGATGACCCTGCAAAAACAAACAAGCCTTATTTCTCTTTTGCTTGTTCCTTTACATCTTGAGGAGCTCTTCATTTTTTAAAATGAATTTCTATTTGAAATAACTGCAAACTGCATTTTTGAAGGCATTTCAAATGCACTGGAGAAAGGGAGGGGGGATCCAGGTAATATGAAAGGAGGAAGAATAACCTCTGACCTGACATTACCAAAAATACAAATAAAAAGAGACACTAAGATGAAAACAAAATAGTGTCATGGATTTACATATGGGGTTTTTGATGGAAACTAGGGCTGGGGTTTTTTTTTAGATCAAAACTCACCATCTCAAAACCACTCCTTTTCATCCGCCTGCAGGACTTGAGGTAAGTACGTATACGCTTTCTGGCACGCTCTTGATACTCAGGGAATTGTCGCCTGCATGAGTCAATGATAGCCTGGATCTTTTCTTTGGGCTGCTTAGAGATTGGGACCATTCGGTCCAAGTTTTCATCTACAAACAGCCTGACAAACATCTGTTGGCAAGAGGGAGACAGAGGAGAAGGATTTGGAGGGGTGGTGTTCTCTTCTCTTTCTAAGCTTCCTGGCTCAGTTACAGAGAGGAAGACATTTCCTTTATTTTTATTTTTATTTATTTACACAGTGAAGAGCTTTGTAATGGAAAGTCAGAAATGCTAAGCAAGCAAGGATTTTGTTTTAGGACTGACAAAAAAAAAGACAAGAAAAGATTAGGCTGTAGTGTATAGAAATTGTGAGGGAAATAAAACACAGATTGTGAAAATAGGCACTGTTTTCATGTCTGTTATTAACAATGCAGTAGGATGCCTACATTGTTATACTGAACTGTGTCTCTTACTCTTCCCCTGCTGTGAGCAATTTTTGCGTACGTTGTCATGCAAAATTATATAAATCTGGAAAATAATAGAAAATAGCTGGCCGCTGGAATACACTCCTGGAACTACACTGCAGCCCTCTAGTCCCTACTGCTGCTGTCCACTGAGCAAACATGCACACACACACAAAACACACAACTGAGGTAAATATACGTTAAACCTCTAAATCTGGTGAACTGGTGTCTGTTTCCAAGAGTTTTAATGTGTGCGGAGGGAGGGAGGTCCCCCTTCTAATAAAGTTAGTGTACCTCTTTTACTGCCACATATACCCATAATAAATGCCACAAATAAGAAAATGAAATTCTGAAGGGCATAAAGCTCCATGTAACTCACATTAAAAGCTTTCAGGCGCTCCGCTTCTACGCCATCCGACTCATTGGCCTTCTCAGCATCTTCGTGTTCATCATGATCATCCTCGTCCTCTTCTCCACGGTTCAGGGAGAGGTCTTCTGCACCTCTGTCCATGCTTTCATTCTTGCCAGAATCATAGCTTGAATAGCTATGAGCAGGTGACTAGGAATAAAGGAAGCCATTTTGTAAAACATGTCTGAGGAAATCACCTGCTTCAACCTCAACAAATCCTTGCCTTCTCTACATACTAACAGATTCCCCAAATGGACTTTTCTGAATAGTAATTGTGTTCAAGAACTTGTATGGGGCTTTAGAGTAAGGCAGCATGTAATTGTACAGTTCATGAGTAATAATTTTTTTTTTTTAAAAAAAGCACAATTTAGCCATAACATTCACTTCAGAAGTTGGGAAGAAGAGAGCCGATGTGATCCAATGGACAGGATGATTAATTTGGACTTGTTAAGAACTAAGTTTAATATTCCAGTTCTGCCATGGAATCAGAGTCCAGCCTAAGGTAAAACAGTATCTGGGAATTCTTCTTATAGCCAGTTGCTCTTATTGTTGTTTGAGGGATTTACCTTCAAAATATAGTCAAAATTTATACATGCCTGTGCTCTTCATAACTGGCATGATACACCTGTGTTTCATGTTCATGAAAGGGGTCCTTATTACAACACATACTATAAAAATGGCATTCCAGTTACATTTAGTGCTCTCTCTCTCTTTCCCCTCCTATATAATAAAAGTGAAAAGTGCCTCAGATGTCTTCATCTCAGCTGCAATTTCCTCTACATGACTGCAAAGTTTAGAGTTAATATTTCATTTTCTGCAAAGTTAAATAGTTTTCATGTTGAACAAACATTCTTTTTCTTAAACAGGTGTGTGTAAAACAAAGAGAAATCTTTTCATAAGTAACTTCCCATTATGTACAGTTAACCAACTATAACATGGAAAAAACTGACTTATAAGTAGTATGTTTATGCTAATCCAATTTCAAAAGGTGTTCTCTTTTAGTATATAGAATAGTTTGTTTTGATAGCTTTCCCAGAATACTAATAGGTGTGTGTGTGTACCAATTACATACATGAAAAAAACAAGGCAGAAAGAAGAGAAGCCATTCAGTATTTCAGTTGCTAATGACAATGCACACTTATTTAAGTTTCGCTAAACTACATTTAATTCTGGAAATTGTAACATGCAGATTGATCCTTTCATTTTACCGACTGTATACTAGAAGTTTTGTCACCTTCAAATTGCCAACAGTGTATATTTGTGTAACACTTGTAGTTGTTTAAGTTAACTCTTTCCCGCACAAATGTATTTTTATATACAAAGCAATATAGAAATATCCTTAATGAAACAAATGTTTAAAGCTGTGAGAGAGAAAAAGTAAAACATTTTGTTTTCTCTGCAAAGCTTTTCATTCATCAGGATTAATAATTTCCTCTAGGATGGAATCAATAGCTTGCTGGATAAATCACACGTGTCCATTTCATTAAACAATTACTCACTCAGAGTGCCCAAAACTTGGCAACTACCAACAGAATCAGATACTACAATTTTCCCCTAACAGATTTAGATTTTGGATGGAACTCTTTCTGTATATTTTGCACAGCAACCCAATACAAGCCAAAACACACATTCAGTTCTTTCAATATAGCTAAAAGATGCATATGTACCAATTGATGTGTTTAGAGAACATATAAAGTGGCTGCATCTCTGCCAGTTTATGAGATATGAACATCAGCGTGGGTAAGTTGCGATGATGTACAACCAAGATGGAGGATCTCCACTGCAGATCTGTGATTTGGGAATGGAACCACCTCTGGAAGGCTGTGCTGGAGTCTCTAATTTGTATTGGGCCTATTTGTATTGTACAGTACTGCGCCATTCCTTTAGCTGGAGGTATGATGCATCTTCTCAGCCCTCCTCCCACTTCCTGCTGCTCAAAGGCAAGAATAGGAGGCACAGAAATGATTAAGTAAAGAGAATTTTTTTTAAAAGCAGAGAATACTTGGCATCTGGAAATGAGGAGTCTCTAAGTGCTCAGAATGGGATGGGTAGACAGGTTGTGGGTGGAGAGAAACAGGCCATAAAAACCATTCAGTTCTTTTCTTTTTTTGCCTCTTTGCATTTCAATTTTTTAACCCTCTTTCTCACAGAATCATAGAATTGTCCAAGGTGGGGCTCAAACTCACAACCCTAAGATTAAAAGTCTCATGCTTAACTGACTAAACTATCATGTTTTCCTTCTGGTCCAATTTCTAGCCTTTGACCAGTTATCAGCATTGTGTCTGCTCTGCATTCTCCTCCTGAATAGCAGAAAGTGAACTATGCAGAATCAGAATAACAGCAGGCAGTTCTAATTTTGTTTACACTATAACATAAATGGATATGGGGAGCCTGGAGGAATGTGAGATTTTACTTGCTTACACCCGCCTAAGACTAGTAACTGGAAGCACTATTTTGTTTGTTAAACTTCAGTACTCAGTCGGACTCCATACAGGTGCTGGTAATGCAACAGGTTTATTAAACAGGCTGACCAGATGGAAGTGAGGCCAGCAAACCTACAGGTGTACCTTATTATAATGCAATCCATATCTGCTCATATGGCCTCTTCTACACAACTATTAAAGGTAAAGGTTCTCTGGCCTCTTTGGCTTCAAGCCACCTTAAGGGTAATATACAATTGCCTGTCACAGCTTGAAATAAACAAGCAGGATTTTGCCTAGTCAAAGGGAAAAGTAGGGAGGAGTCCAGAGGCTTAAAGAGTGCTGCACAGTCAAAAGAGGATCATTAAACAGATCTTATATAATATACAATGAACAGTTTGGATTTTACAATTGATTACAGTGTAATCCTTGAGGGTTTAGATTAGTTGGCCTTTTGGCCAATTCCATTTGTATATTCTTGGGTAAACAGTATCTGCTGACAGCAAAAGACAACATTTCTTTGATAATATCTTGGTATATATTTACTGTCAAAATAAATTCACGGGGAGAGGTTTTGTATGAAATATACTGAAATGCTTATTTATCTACTATCTACTTCTATATACTATTGACTTGTACTGCCTTCTGCTACTTCTACTTCTGCTACATGTTTTGGAAAGTGGTTTGTTCGTTTGTCTCTCTGTTCTGTATGCATGACTGTTCCTGAGGTGGAAGAGATAGCTTTTGCCTACATTTGGGAGCCATCAGGCACCATTTTGAACCAAGGTGGCAGGCTTAAGTGTTCCACACTACACCAATTTGGTTGTGTTCGGAGATTTTGATGCTCGGTTTGTTCTGACAGCTCCCAAGATTGAGAATCAGGGTTTGGTCTATGCTTGGATACCATTGTGAGCCATTCTGTAGGCATCCCAAGATGCAGGTCCAAGCCAAGGTGGCCTCTGGCCTCTTAAGCAGACCTCAGCTTTTGTGGTTGGAGTCTGGGTTGTGGGGCCAGTGTGTTCTTGCATGGTGAGTACCAGAACCTTTCCCCCCTAAGTTTTTAATAAGGTTTTTTAAAACCCTAATTAAACATTAACCCCAAACCCAAATTGATTAGGGGCCAGCTATGGTCTGGTGTTATTGGGTCAGTTTGGGACCCTGGGGCAGGGGCAAGACTACACATAGCCCTGAGAGTAACATATTACACCATCCATTCATAAATCTCAATAATTTTTGGTTTCTTAATTTTCCTAGGCAATACCAGACACTTTCAGCTTGTATTAATATAAATTACCGTACTCTGAAAATGTGACCCTTTATTTTTCCAGAAATGTCTGATAATGCAATTTTTTTTTTGAGTGTCTTCTCATTTTTATGCAGAGCACAATATAACACAGGACTGAAGCATAATCTTTCCATATTTATTTAATATAATTTCACTTCACAGCTTGATCGAAGGCCAGAAAAGCTAAAGTGATGGTTATATAAAATTTGTTCAAGGCATGAAATAACTCTTTCATGAAACTGATTTGATAGGGGGATTTTTTTAAAAAAAGACTCTTTTTGACTAACACAGATCCTCTAGGAAAAGCAATATGACTGCATTTGAGTGTGTTTTCATCAAGGCCAACAGGTATCCAGAGCTTCCTTGCATGTCTAGTCATGTGATATGAGAAGCAACCAGGATTTTTAATTACACACAATTCTCTAGTGAAGAACAATGGGTGACTACTAATTTAATCCTTGTCCCTTTCACATTGGATGGCCAGTGTTCAAATCTGTACTCTGTGTGATACAAGATAATAGCTGGCTACAACATTATCTCATACTATAAACACGTGTATACATATTTCAGTTTAAAATTTCTACCAATTATATTTTACATAAAGACCTTTTCACGGAACTCATTGAGGCAATTTCCAGGGAGTATCCATCTGCAATGGCGAGTGTTATTATTTGCGCTTACAGCAAAGTGAATGGCCCTATACCAACCAGTATGGCCGCAAAGCACCTTTCTTCTTTCTGAATACAGAAGGGATATATTAGGTTTGCAGAAAAATACTAGAATTGCACATGGAGCAGTGCAGTGCAGAGTGCAAGCACAGTCCCCTCTCCAGCGACAGAACATGGAATCTCCAAGCAGCTGCCAAAGTCCCAGCTCCCTAGTAGGCACACCAGTGCTGACACTTGTGTTGAGCACAGCGAAAACGTTATTTTAGCTGCAAGTTCTCTGCTGCTTGCTTCTCAGCGATACTATTTCAAGTGTTTTACTGTATTTGCATACCCTCCAACTGTCCTGAAATTGCTGGGACCATCATGAAAACCCTTGAGGAATCACGGGTTCTTATTTTGTCATTAGAGTTCAGATTTAAGCTGGTCTTAAAGGGGCAATGGACTTGCAGCTAGCTTTAATTGCCCCTTTAAGAGTAGCTTGGCTCCCCATCTTGTATCCACACCCATTGATACGTTTTGCATCAGGGAATTTTGCAGCCCAGGTGTGAGTGCAAACATCGGTGTTGTAGGGTGTGTGAGAGTGAAGGTGTTTCCATAGCCAACAGCACCTAGCAGGAGAAGAGAAGAGCTTCTCCACAGATCCCTCACCTAATTAGAAAATTTTGGTTCTAATCTTAGTATTTGCCTTACATCAACTGTTTTATTATTCTTTCAAAACCTTGCTGCCCCAGTTCCAAGTAATACATTTTGTAAATTCTTGCAGATTCTGAAATGTTAGCCTCAGACTCCTTTTCAGTTATGCTTTACCAACTGCTTCTTTCTCCTTTGCTTATGAATTTTAAAAACCGCTACAATTTTTTTTCTTCCATAGTTATACACAGACTAAACCAAAACCTGACTGCAAGAAAGCCCAAAGCAAATCTCTCAGTGACATCAGTGGGAATAACAGAAGACCCCATTAGTCTCATGCACCAGCAAAGTAAATAATTCTCATTTCATTCTGCTTTTTTACTCTTCATACAAAACTCTTTTACATTAAAAAGAAGACATGAAACAAATGGCTCCAGGGTCACATATTTGTCCTCAGGCCATTTTATGCAAAACTAATGAATTTTTGTTTCTGTACATTTTTGCCATTGGCTAAAATGTTCCTTTTTAAATAGGGGTGGGGGAAGCTTTTTGGTTGACACATAATTCATTGCAACTGCCAATTACTGATGGGTACCGGAAAAAATGTTATGTTAACAGACAAATTTGTATAATCTCCTAAAAGACACAGTCTCTGTATAGTAATATGCAGCACAATTTTAAGAGCATGTTTACTCTGAAGCAAGTCCCTCTGAGCTCAATGGGATTTACTGCAGACTTCATCTCTCAAATATATCACCAAGGGCTATGAATCATTTTTATCTTGCTGCTCTATTAATTTTGTGATTTGTTTTAATTGGAATATGGTCCTTAACAGTTTGGAAAACTGTCTTTATAGGGGGTGTGGGTAGCTTAACTCCTTCCATAAGAAAAGCCAGGAAAGAAAATATATGTCCACTCTCAGTTAAATAATTCAATCGGTAGTTTAACAAATATATGAGAATGTATGCATAGGTTTGGAATTCTCCCAGTACTAATTTGAACACAAATTAATAAGGGAAATTAGACAAATAAAGCAATGCTCAAATCATATTTTAACTGAGATTAATGTTTAGACTGCTCCCTGTAAAATCCACAATGACATAGTGGTGGACCTTGACGTCTCAAATTTCAGTGGTGCCATGTGTGATGCTAAAATCCAGTGCCACCCCCCATCTTCTGTTGTATGTCATAGTTGTGGTGCCTCCTCAGATGCCCCAGAAGTTCTGTGCCCGGTGTGACCACACTAGTTGCATTCCCCTAGATCCACCTTTGCAATCCCAACAAGTTTATGTATTCAGGTTGGTCAGCTACTTTCCTTGTGCGTATAGCTCCTTTATTATTTTAACAAAATGCATAAGTCTTGTTCACACTGTTAATAGTGCACAGAGCAAGATAATGGCATTACTGGTATCAAACCACCCCCACCCCCCCGTTTACAGTGGTAGCCTGTAAGCAGTGGCCTATTTATCTACTTACACTGGTATGCTTTCTAACTGCTAGGTTGGCAGAAGCTGGGACAAAGCAACGAGAGCCCACCCCGTCGCATGGATTCGAACTGCCAAAAATATGACCGCTGTATATATGAGGAGAGGGATTGTACCTCGATCCTAAAAAGATATTCCTAAAAAGCTATTTAACAGAGATGGAATTGGGATCTAAGAACATCAAAGGAAGCAGGTTAGTCCCCATAAACCATTCATAGGTGAACACATGTGCATAATTAGTTTGCTTAAGAAAACAGATTATGGCAAGTAAAACAGATTATGGCAAGCTTGTTTGTAGTCTGAAACTGTTCCCTGTTCCTTTTTTTTTTTTTTTTTTTTTGCATCATTAACTCTCAGTGCCCCTTCAGCATAATGGTAGCATTTATGATGTAGTCCATTAAGCTACATTTTGGTATCTTGAAATTGTTTCAGGAGATTCTAGAACTTTCAGAAATCAGTCATAACTCTTCTCTTTTGATCAAATCTGATCAAATCTGGGATCCACAACTGGGATCATATTTCCTCCCACATCAAATGTGCTCTCAGATCCAGTTGCTTTCCTTTCAAACACAGACATAGATTTCCAAGACTGGAGCCTAACTTTTCAGATTAATTATGAATTGGCCTTTGGACTCCTTCATGCATCTGATGATTTAGATGCTTGAAAGAACTACAGGAACTTTTTATTGCCCAAATGTGGCCCATCCCGTCACCCCCAATTCCCATCAAAATGGGTGTACTGTAAGTTCTTGAAGGCCTTGCAGGCACTGGCCAATGACTAGCACTCCCATTATGACCAGCATAGAATAACTGTAGTTACTTGAACTCTCTGTGTTATGTTCTCTCCACCACCTACCACCTCCAATAAGCAAGTTTATTTTTCCTCTGGTTTGTTTTAAGTACATCCGAATATCACGGTACATATTTTAGCTGGGCTTTGCTTTTCATTTCAAGTTACAAATTGCTAGGAGCATTACTGAACAGATAGGATGTTTGCCATGACAAGTCACAGCACAATAAAGAAAAGTAAAACAGCAGAATAGATTGTGCAAAATAAGAGAAAATATGTAAATGCGCTCAGTTTGCAGAATTTATGAATCACAGAATTTGGCTCTGCTTGGTGCAGGATTTTAATTGCCTGGGTGCAAAATTTTAATTTGGGTTGTTGCTTTTATAGTACGGCCATGAATAAAATGAGGCAATCTGCCAACGGCAGAGGTTTGATGTGGCAGCAGACTACTCTGCTGCATTTTGAAGATGGTGGCAGAGAGTTGGATCATTCCAGATATTTCTGGGAAATATAGAAACTTGTTCCAAGCTACCATGGATTTCCCAGTATCTGAGCAATTTATAGCTGGAGGGTTGCTGCAGTTTTATAGCCCCTTTGGATTGTCAAAACTGTGCAAAGATATCAGATTGCAACCAAAAACACCCTCACAGAAATACAGCTCTGCCCAGATCTGAGTGTTGATGTTATTTATATTTGTTATTATCATTATGATTGTTCATAAGCAAATATGGCAAGATATTTTTTACAATCCACCCAAATAAGCTGGTCGTGCATAAAGAAAATCAGACTTAGTGCTCACTAAGCATCAAATGTTTATGAATGTCTTTTAGAGTTCCCTTAATTTTAACAGAGTTCCCTTAATGCATTTTTAGGCTCACATGGGAGATGAGAATTGGAAAAAAACCTGCATGGAGAGTCAGCATGAAAATATCTAGTATCTAAATTATTAAAGAAGTGCAGTAGATATATTTTAAACTTCAACTATAGGGCTATCTTCACAGAAGCTTAAATTAATTAAATTTGTAAACTTCCCTTCATCCAAAAATTTCAAGGCAGTTCACACAATAAAATACAGAATAAAACCACAAAGTACATAATAAAAACAAAAACAAAACAATAACACCCCCCTCCCACAAAGACATTTAAAAGGGCATAGATTATTATCCAGCCAAAGGTCTGGTTGAAGAGGAATGTTTTTGCCTGGCACTTAAAGATGTATACTGAAGGTGCCAGATGAACCTCCTTTGGTGGAGCATTTCACAAATGGCAAGCCACTGCAGAAAAGTCCCATTCTTGTGTTGCCACCATCTGGACTGCTCATGGAGGAGGCACATGAAGAAGAGCGTCAGATGATGATTGCAGTGTTTGGGTTGGTTTATATGTGGAGAGGTGTTCCTTGAGGTACTGTGGTTCTGAGCAGTTTAAGGATTTATAGGTCAAAACTAGCACTTTGAATTGGGCCTGGAAACTAATTGGGAACCAGTGTGGTCGTGCCAGGATCAGTGTAATATGCTCAAACTGTCTTGCCTCGGTGAGCAACCTGGCCACTGAATTCTGCACCAGCTAAAGTTTCTGAAATGTTTTCAGGAGCAGCCCTATGTATAACATGACAAGAGTCATGATGGCTGCATACTATTTCCAGGATCAGTGTCACTACACCTCTAAACATAAGAGCATCCCCGCTGGATCAAACCCAAAGCACATCTAGTCCAACATTCTGTTCTCACAGTGGGCAACCAATGCCTATGGGAAGTGCACAAGCAGCACATAAGTGTAATAACACCCCCCCACACTTCTAGCAACTGGTAACTGAATACATTTGAATACCAGTCACTGGGGAACAACAGTAGCAGAGGGCTACCAGAGCATGGACAACAGAAATTAGGCTGTCCCTGTCTGAGAGGTCAAGGATACATTTTCCCCATCTCTTTCCAGACAGAAGTCATCATTCAGGGCAACCAAAGCTGTTTCTGTGCTGAAACCAAGCCTAAACCCCAGTTGAAATGGATCATTTTCTGGTGCCCCATCTAAGCCATGCTTGGTTCAATAGGATTTTGTAATTCTAGAGAATGGTAGTGCTGAAGTTCTCTGAAAGTCCAGAGAATATAAATCAGAATATATATTGGGGGATAGATCTCTGATTGGAACAGTCTAGCCATCCTGTTCATGGCTTCCTTCAGATAATTATGGATGGTCGTAATCAGACATGATCTTAAACTATGGTTTGTGCTAACTTTGTAAACTCTGTGCCATGTTTTATGTTCTAGAAAATCAGGCAAAATACATGGTCAGTTATGCAGGTACTTGAGGCTCACAGGGAAAGCAGGCATTAAAGTCTGAATTGAGCAGAAAGCATGCAGGACCTTGGACAGCTCCAAAGTGTCCCTGCTTGCTAATGCACCTAAAAGAGAAATTGTCTCTACAGGAAGACAGAGACAACTGAAGCCTTATGCAGGCTATCCAGGGTTGATGGGGTAAGTCATGCCTGTCTGGAGGAGCCAGATGGCTGGTTAAAGGCCTTTGCATTGTTTTGTAGTCTTTGATATCTGTGAGGCTTGGGGAGACAGAGGTAATGCAGAAAAGTTGTTAGAGTACAGTTAGAGCACCAGAGGATGGAGGTAGGGTTGTGTCCTTTGGCTGAAGATCCCTCAATAAGTTACTATAGGTTATTCCCCTGAATAAGTGACCGGAACCTCATCTGGATTCTCCACCATGTACTGCATAAACCCAGGTTTGGGTTTATGATACAATGGAATGTGTAGTTTCTCCCCCCCCCCCTTGTTTCTCAGCTGCTATTCCAAACCATTCAGTATTGCTCAAAGTGTAGCCACTTGGGGTACACCAGGGGTAGTCAATATGGAACTCTCTAGATGTTGTTGGCGTAAAGCTCCCATCAGACCATCATTAATTGTTAAGCAACTATGAGTGGGTGATTTTAAATCTCCAAATATTAATGATCAATAACATTTGGAACATAGTGGGACCTGAGATGTAGATGTCATCTTTGTTTTGGGGTGTAGGCTTAAAAGAAAACCATAACAGATATTGAGTAAAAGAACAAATGCACTTGAATAAATTTCTGGGTCCCACTGAAGAACCTCTCTTCTGTTGGCATCTGTGTGTCTCAGGAGACAAATGAAGAGTGTGTCATTGAGGGTAAAGTCAAACTGTTGGAGAATTTCTTCTCTCTGTGCTACTCCCAGCTGTCATTGCTTCTCTGGTTACTGCTGTTGACACACAGCCTGACTGTCTCTCTCCAGGAACTGCGATCATCTGCAAGGAATTCCCACTTGGTGGGCTTAATGCTTCTAGCCTTCGTGTCATGCTTGCAGACATATTTGTAACACAGAGTTGGTTGGCCGACAGGAACAGGCCTAGTGCCAGCTCCCCGTTGAGCACATCCTTGAGGATCCTGCCATCTTCCATGCTGTGTACATGACCAAGTCAGTGTAGATGTCATGGAGATAGGAGCGCAAACAAGCTGTGGGAATGTAGGCTTGGGAGAATACATATTTGTTTGAGACTCTGTCCTGCCATGTGATGCCCCAAATCTTCCTGATGCAGTGCATATGGAAGGCATTGATTGTTAGCATCACATTTTCCCACACCCTTTTGGAGAGGTGAGTCATTGCCATAGTTGCTTTGCCAATATGCTCATCCAGCTCAGCATCGATAGAAAGGTTGCTGGTTATGGTGGAGTCCAGGTAGGCAAAATCTTCTATCACCTCAAGTGTGAGGTCACCAGTGCTGATGCATTGAGTGCTGGCAGTATCCTGACCCAGGATATTGGTCTTTATCAGGCTGATGACGAGGCCAAACTCCATGCAGGCATAGATAAAATGGTTTATGGGTCTCTGTAGAACTTCCTTGGAATGTGCTGTCCAGACTGTATCATCTGCAAACAACGTCTCTTGGATTAGAACCCCACACACTTTTGTCTTGGTGTGGAGAAGTACCAGGTAGAACAGACCCCCACCCACCCACATCGAACTGAAGGCACAGGAGAGCAATAAGTGGGCATCCTATCTTGTTGAGCACTTGAAGAGTCTTTTTCAGATGACCAGGTCAAAGGCCTTTGTATGGTCTATGAAGACAACGTACAAGGAGCACCTCTACTCTAGGCATTTCTTCTGCAGCTGACGCAGTGAGAAAATCATGTCAACTGCTGACCTCAGAACATTGTGGCTCAGGTTAAACTCTGTCAGTGAGTAATTCCAATCTGTTGAAAATTACATGGGCAAACACTTTCCTCGCAGTACTCTGCAGAGAGATTGCACAGTAGTTGTTACAGTCATGGCGGTCACCTTTGTTCTTGTAGAGGGTTCACAGTGCTGGGGTCACACATGTCTTGTGGCACTGATCCTTGTTCCCAATACTGCAAGAGGAGGCTGTGGAGGTGTGTCATGAGGGAGAAATTGAGGCCAGCTTTCAGCATTTCTATGGAGATTGCGTCCTATCCTGGGACTTTACCGCATGTCTGAGAGTTTAAGACAATCTTCAATGGGAGGGAGGGACATCTAGCTCTTCCAAGACAGGCAGAGTTTGGATTGATAACTGTTGATTACTGTATCAGAGACTGTGTTTCCCCACAAATGCAGTTCCTGATAGTGCTCTGCCCATCACTAGGCCCTCTCTCGTTTTTATATTAGTCTGTATATTGTAGCCTGTTGATTTTTCTGACTCCTTGAGTATTGAGTCCTTGATTAAGTCCAGCATTGAAAGCATTTTTCTGCTACTTTTTAAAAATAAAAAGATAGAATATATTTTCCAATTTCTAAACATATTTACATCAAGCAAATTACAGTGATTTCAAGATCATTTCAGAATATTCATGGAGTTCTCACATTATTCATGTTGAGGGGGGGATGCAAAACCAAACCAACAACAGAACACAGTGGCACTCAAAGCACTGTCAGGGTAATTTATGATATTTCACTGCTGGTATTAAAATCAGTGGAAGTATCTGGATCCAGTACTCAGTTTCAGTGGTATAAAGATAATAATCCAATGTGTAGTATCAGATTTTGAAAGGCTGGAGTTTTCAGTGATAGCAGCAGAAACAATAATTGCAAGAATTCTGTTAGATTAAATTCAACTCTTCATTCTTCTTACAATACACATTCATGACAACTGCCTTCCTATCAGACTAGCTATCTAATCTGCTGGATCTGTCTTTATCTACACATAGTCACCTTATTCTCTCCCAGCTAATACAATAGGAACAACCAGGGGTGCTGGAGGGAAAGTTGTTTGGAAATGTCAACTTCTTAAAGCAAAGTTGTTGGTTTCAATTCAGACATGTTTGTACATGTTTATAGATGGCAATGAAAGCTTTAGTTCCAACTCTGTTGACACAATAAGGATTCTAATACATACTGATCATGGACTACGTGTGTGATTCATTCAACAGGAAGATTCCACAGGTCTTCTCAAAATACTGTATTTCTAATCAGAAATGAAAAACTTGCAGAATGTATTTCTGGTTGATCAAATATTGGTATTTGTTAGTATACTAATATGCACGTGAGAAATAGACAGTGTGAGCACAAAATAGCAGAAACAACTAGGTGTCAACAACTTTTCCAATTTCCTAATTTGCAAAGCCCTTGAACTGTTACAGTAGACTTTTCTTCTTCCTAATCTATGCTTTTGTAATATCTTGTGAGCATGGAAGCATCTTACCTTGCTTCCATTTTCTTTTGCCTCTTGCTCCATCTTAAGATCAGATACTAGGATGTTCTTGTACTTGTTCTTTCCATCACTGCTTTGGTCATCTAACCTGTATTCTGACGTGAGCTGAGCAGAGAAGGGACTGTCACTCAGATTCAGCGGCTGTTCATCCGGTTCCAGAGGTGCTTTGCCATTACTGTTGGCTTCTGCCACTTCCCTGCAGTGTGTTCCCCCTGAAGCATTGGAACTGTGTCCTGCAGTCTCATTGCCGTTAAAACTCTCTGCAGCTGAATCATCTATGAAACACATGGATTTACAGTTTTTCAATGGCATGTCATCAACATTATCTTTATAACCAAACAACAAAAAATTACAAAAAAAACCTACAACCTGCTGCCACTCACACAACATTTCCAACAGTTCAGCTGAAAATATTTGTGTGATTACTAGTCACTATTAACAATCACAGAACAGTTAAGAAAATTTCAGCCAGAGCAGATTCTTTAATGACCTAGGCAGGTGGAAAAGGAAGGGCTTATCTTTCCACTTTATACGTGACATCATGACTCACTTGCTTAAGTTATATGGGGGGGGGGGGAATCTTTACATATCCCAATTATTATGAATTATAGTTCTTTAAACCAGCAAAATATACAGTATTGGAATAGAAAGTTCCCTTCCTCTGATGGAAGGAGACTTCCTCCAATAGAAAGACTGCTTCTATTAGAGGATAATGCTCATTCCATCAGTTGGAAGGAAGGAACTATTATATTCATCCTACTGGGAAAGTTTGGATGATCGTAGCTCAGCTTAATAGGCCAAAGCATGGATGAGCCTTTTGGCCACACACAAAGCCTCTTGGCTCCTCCCTTCATGGCAGGAATAAACCAGGAAGTCTTCCATTAACTATAGTCTCCTGTTTCATCCATACTGGGGAACCCAGGGTTAACAGCTTTGGAGCAAAGCAGACTACAGTATTTAAACCAACAGCAAATCATGACTTAATGCCCAGGCTTGTCACAAAGTTTTCCACTATAGTTTCCCTGTTTGGTTGAAATGGAAAACTATATTATCTTAAACAAAATTGTGTCCTTTAAACATTTTTTTTGTTCTGAAGACATTGCTGTAAATAAACATGGTATGAAAAGAAAGTGCAGGTTACTTCTGCCTCTCATGTCAATCCTTTCCCAGGTCAATCAAATAAAAAACCCCAGCCAGACCAGAAGTGTCAGGACAGCATTAGGATGGTTACAGCAATAATCATAGCAGCTGCATAAAAGGGGGATGCTAGAGGGTCAGACATGGAAATAGACTGAAGGACAGAACAGGGATTTACAAGTGAGGGAGAGGGTGAGAAAATAGTACAGAAAGGGGGGGATTTGCAAGGGAAGCCAGAGAGGTAAGAGAGAGTAAGAAAGGAATTCTGCGTTGGTAAGCCCAGTGATGAGCCAGTAAGAAAATGAAAGGGGGAGTAGTGGAGGAAGTGAATTACTATGTCACAGAAAATAGAATGGTCCAGTGATAAGATTGGATCCAAACCTTTAGTTCTGGGGCTATGAGGATTATTGTGAGCTTAACAGGGAATTCTGAGTTCTATCAATGTTTAATATGGTTTTCCTAACAATTAATGAATTGTTTGTGCTGCTGAAATAAAATGTAAAGTCAATATACCGGCCATTGTTAGCCTTCCAATATTTTTCACATTGCTTTGTAATATCAATAGTATTTATGTTATTAATTGTTTGGTTATTGACCAAAAAGCAAAAGTAGTTTACGAACTGTCCCGACATAAAATTAGGAACACTTTGTTGCTTTTAAAAGAATAGTGATGAAAATGCATTGGGATTGTTTTGACAAGGTTCTATCACAGAATTGGAAGGGATCTAGTCCAACCCCCTGCAATGCAAGAATCATTTGCCCAGCGTGGGGCTCAAACCCACAACTCTGAGATTAAGAGTCTCCGACTCCCTTTACCCTAACAGCAACATTAAAAAAATCCTAAAACTAAAAATCATGACTCAGTTTCTAACTACACAATATAGAAACATTTAAGGCTGTTTCTATAGGGACACCAGCAGATAGCAGTTATTGGGGATATGCTGGTTCCTAACATTCAGGTATAAAACGTCCTATATAGCCTGGATTATGTTAACATTACACTAATTATAACCTTCATATAGAAAACATGCACGTGAAATCTGGGTGGATTATACAAATGAATTAAAAAAGTTCTCCAAAGTCCTAAGCAACCAGGATAATGTGGAACAGAGTAGCAACAGAGAAAGAATGAGTGAGAAAAGACGGCACATGCACAGAATTCACACCACTTGATTTTAGGTTCTCTCATTTTATTGGTTTTAATTTGAAAAAGGAGGCTCTTGTTAAGATTCTGAAATCAAGCAATTATTCAAATCAGAACCGTACTTTTGCTGAGCTAACTTTGCTTCCTGTACTAATTTTAGTATACAGAATTACGTAATAAGAATAAAAATGAATCCCCAATTAAGAACATATGACATAGTCTGGCTTTTGCTTTGTTCTTATGAGACATTCTAAAGCTGTGCTTTCTCCCCCTCCCCCAGTTTGCAAAATACCTTTGCCTGCTCATGGAAGAGTGGTTTCTGTAGCTTTTATGTGCAGTGCATGAATTTCTAAGAAATTTTAGACGAGGCTGACTTACCCTACAGTTTTATGGAGAGGCTGATTGGTCTTTTCCCCATCTTTTTGTGTTAGTTTCCCCTCCCCAAAAAACTCATAGTTGCAGCAGGTGACAAGGATATCTCTCCAGCCTAGTTCTCAGAGAATATGAGCTAGTAAGAGGTTGGAAGGAGGGTTTGTTTTAATTGGGGATGGGGGGACTGCCAAAGGGGGGGAAATGGGGAAAGAAACCCTCAATCACAAGGTAAACCAATCCCTACCCCTATCTCATACTCACATTCTAGAAATTCACAGTTCCACCTATCCCTGTCCCCCAATTTGCTGAAACAGCTCTTGTTCATTCCATTCATTCCATTCAAACAATGCATATTTACCATTCATTGGCCTCAATTCAAAAATAGTCGTAGAACCTGTAGCTGCACGTTACAATCTATTTTATCTGACAAATGTGAATGTATATTTCACATGACAGTTTGGATTGAAAGCACAATTCACTATTTACTTCAAGTAAGTTTTGCCTGTTAATGTACCTGAGCTGCAACTGTTAAGTATGCTGTTGTGTAATATGTGACAACATAAATGATACTTTAATATGGTTAACAAATTTCTTGCTCATGTAGAGTAGAATCTTAATAGTGACTTTAAAAAAGAAATCTGAATAAGAATACCAAATAAAAGGTAGATGTGTTTGGCCAAGTTACAAAATATTGAACCAAACACTTTAGCTCTCAATAACACAAAAGTTTGTCTGTGGTGGCAATGTGAACAATGGGCACATTTGAGGATTGAGGAGAAGGAAGATAAGTGCATGCAAGTGTTTTGGCTATGTTCTGACCAATTGCTGTACAGCGGTACCTCAGGTTAAGAACTTAATTCGTTCCGGAGGTCCCTTCTTAACCTGAAACTGTTCTTAACCTGAAGCACCACTTTAGCTAATGGGGCCTCCTGCTGCTGCTGCGCTACCGGAGCACGATTTCTGTTCTCATCCTGAAGCAGAGTTCTTAACCCGAGGTAAGAACAGTTTCAGGTTAAGAACGGACCTCCAGAACGAATTAAGTACTTAACCCAAGGTAGCACTGTATAGGGAAGTTTTTTTTAAAAAAAATTAATGTTTTATTATGTTTTTATATATGTTGGAAGCTGCCCAGAGTGCTGGGGCAACCCAATAAGATGTGTAGGGTATAAATAGTAAAATTATCATTAAGGAATGTGACGTCCCTATATTCATCAGAGAAATGTTGGAGGGTATGCACCACAGCTGCAGTAGCATTTCTTGGGGGCTGGATCTGCTGTCCCCGTGGATCCCACTGGAGGTTGCCTCACCTTGCCTGATGAGTCAGCCAGCCCTGCCTCTTGGCAAAAGTACGCTGAGGGTCTCATGGAACCTTCCAGAACCTGGAACTGACATAGCAAATGCCAGCTCTCGAAATCACTTTGCCTTCAATTAAAAGAACCAGCAGATAGTCACAAGTATTTGCTTTACACAAGGAATATGTGTTCATTGCAGGCAAATTATTAAATTCACTTTTTCCCCCATTATAAGCCGCTATTCTAGATTCTTTCCACCTTGATGAAAGAACATTCCATTTAATAGAATACTAGCCTTGACAAGGTCATTTATTCAAAAACAACTATTGAATGGGCATGTGACTGCTGGTGGAAGGGGGAAAATGCTTCCTCCTATGTTTATCCATGTCATTTGTGTTCTGTGAATTACATAAGGCAGAAAAAAGAACATCTATTGGAACATATTGATGGCAGTGCCTAATTTCCTTTGAAAGAGTTCTTAAGCTTTTAAACATTCACCATTGGATCCTTTCTCTGCAAGGGTCAAACTGCATCTTGACAACGTATCACCAGAACACGTGCAATTTGTTTGCATGGAAATGGGATGTGTTTACTGCTTCAAAATATGTTTTAGAAATTTAAACTGGCATTCTAATTAACACTGCCAATATTAGCCTTTAATAGAAGGAATCTAATAAATATTGTAAATTATTCATAATGCATGTAAAAAGAAACATGCAATCTTGCCTAAATCTTCATTTACTATTATAGCAGAATTTAAATTCCATATAATGTACATTGCAACAATATAATTAGTGTTTTTCACTACAAACAAAAATCAGCTCATGATCCAGATGTTGTATTTTAAATCCTTCATGTCTCTCGTATTGCTCATAAATATTTCAATTCAAAATACACACACCCCATGATAATCCACAAAACATTTCTTTTTTCCAAGGCAGTTTGTGCCAAAACCTTGGATAATGCTTAGTGGTTTACACCCATCTTTTTTAGAAAAATAAGGGGGGGGGGTATTGATTTCAGAGCTTGCTATAAGGTTTATGGCAGAATGCCAAAATACTAAAACTGTTTCTGGGAATAGCAACAAAAACCAGATAAACATAAGGCACCTCTTTAGCCTAGACTGAGCTGAATATATTTTTAAAATGACATACCATGAAATTGTTAATGTGGGGACTAGTGGCTTTATTTGGTTTTTTAAACTAAAATGAAGGTTCTGTAACCTGCCCTGGGACCTTATGGTGAAGGGTGGATAAGAAATCCAACCAACCAACCAATCATTATTTTTTTTTAATGAACTATTAAAATATTTGCTTTTTATCCTACCACTAATATAATGGAGAGGTGCAGTAATGTTTACGTTATGTCACAAAAACATAACATAAGTCACACTGTCTTAATCTTATGGTACTTTTTTCTCCCTTTTTCATTTAAAAATGGCAAGGAAGATAATAAATCAATGCTAAAATAATGTATAAACTTGCATGTTCAAAATGAAATGTTCAGCACTTTGAGAAGTGGGAATTGCTTCAGTACACACAAATAGCTTTTCACACGCATTCTCACTTTCTTCTCAGCCTTCATGAACTTCAGGAATTTCCAAGTGTTCAAGAGATATATTGAAGCATTCAGTGTGTTGAATGCTCACTCCAGTTTGTAAAACATGCTCGCTGCAGCTACTAAGCATTGCTAAGGTTTTCAGGTATACACCTTATGCTTTCCCTTTGCTTGTTGATAAAATAAAGCTTTACATCGCTATTGAAAATGCCACTTTAACTAGTGGATATATTCGTATTTCAGATGCAGGTGCCTGGTGTCATTTTGTTTGAGCATGGTCATGGGACATTCTTCAACAAGACTTAGAAAACCTTGATTCAATATTCCACTCAGGAGGAGCTGACACTTACTGTGAATTCTGCTCTTCAACTTAAATACCAAAGTCTGTGGCAGGCCAATTCTATCATTGCAGATACAGCATCCCTCGGGCGAGGTCCAACCTTTTTCTTGCAGTGCACCCAGGGATTAGCTTGACTTCCCCTACATTCTCTCCACTGCACAGTAAGAGCTAATCTATCCTGCATGAAGCAAGAGATGGTGTTGCTATGACAACACATTCTAGCAGTGGGACTACTGGGATGAGCTGAAAAGATGACAGGGAGACATGCACTCAGCCTTCCTCCAGGGCTATGGGCTCCTTCCTCTAGGATTTAATTCTCCCATGTTTACTGACAGCTTGGGATGCTAATTATCTATGAATTTTGTCATTTGGAGATTAACTAGTTAAGACTATGGCTGAGTTATTAGAGAGTACTTCAGTGAAAATTGTTGTTTTTCAGTGTGTTATATACTGAGTAAGATGTGGCCACTTTATAAACCATTATACAGTTCTACATCTTATCCCCAAATTAAGGACTCTCTGTGTGAAAGAAAAATAAAGACACATGCCAAGCCCAGTCCTTCAGCATCTGCCTCCTCCATAATCTTCCTTTTTGAGTTTGCCTCTTACCAAGACCTTAATATAACAGCTATAACTGCAACATTTGAGCAACTAAATTTTTCAAGGCAGGGCCAGCAAATGCCTACAAATGCCTCATTTTTTACATGAGCTACTATAAGCCAAACCAAAAAAGGTTAAGAGAGCCTTCCAACAGCAAGGGTAAAAGAAATCCAGTCATTCACATATTGTATGTGTAACAGACACTTAACCTCCAGAGAAACAAACTGGTTCTGTATATATATTTTTCAAATAAAAAGAGCCTTTTAGACTATTTTACTACATTCACTGGTTTAATATTCAAAGCAGCTTAGCTGCTTTCTGGTGCTCCTGTCTCCCAGAGCACATTCCACAGAATTTTCATCTTCATTTGACTTGAATAGCCTTTAGCCATCTAAAGTATGGGTGACCATAGAGTTTGTTGCCTTTCTGGGTGGCTTTGGGCATTCACTGAAAGCAGTAATTAATGAAGCATGATGCTTCCTCTAAGATTGCTTCTGGGATTTGTGCCAGTGATGGAAGGAAACATGTTTATATCCACCTTGACAAGATAGCATGTTCTGTCTATGAAAGAGATTCTGCATGATCCTGCTTTGCATGAAATCAGGAAACAGATGTGTAAATCATGCACGATCCCTCTAGCACCTAGCTATCTCCTCATTTAATACTAAATGTTGAAATTGCCACTAAGTTTTCTTGCCTTCTAATGTGTGTTGCACGTGCTACTGTGATCATAATGGAAATAAAACAGCAAGTGTGTGTGGACCGCCATAGTTTAGCACTGAAACAGTTTGTGTTTCTTATTAATAAAAATAAGCTCCCAGCAATGTGGGGTTCCAAAAATCAAACATTGTATTTGATTCAGGTCCCTCTGTGACTTGTACTTGTTGCTGAACTTTATACCTTAAATGTTTTGTTATTTTGTGACTTTTTACCTTAAATGTTTTGTTATTTTGTATGAATACTTAGGGGTGTATGGAGTGTTGGAGGAGGGGTAGTACTTCAGGTGCGGGACACATCATCTCCTTCTGGGGTAGTTTGTCCACCTTTGGTTCCCACTTTGCACTTAGCTCTCACCTGTGGCTCCTAGAAGCTGTCAGCGTGCAACAGTGGTCACACTCTGGGAAATGTATTTGACTGGTTGGCTAAATCAGGTAAGAGTAGCCGATGGGTCTCAAACCCCCAGTGAGTTAGGGACTTTCCCTGCATGTGTAAACAGGGTCTGGCAGATTGAGTGGCCGAGACCAATAGTGTGTCCAAGGGTCAAGAAGGTGGTTACTGCATGTGCTGTTGAGGGAAATGAGGGACAGATGGGGCTAGTCAACCTGGGAAGGTAGCCCATTTGGGAGAAGGAACACTCTGATCCTAAACCTTCACTGCCTTGTGGCTATACTCATTCATGAGAAAGGCTTCCGGAATTAACCCCAAGGAAAAATCTGTACCCTGCACAAATCCAGAGTGGAGTACCTGAGATGGTTGTTTGGTGTCTTGTATGCCTCCTTCCAGCAACTCCTGCAGCCCAGCTGGTGCCAAATGGTATTGCTCTACTTTCCTTTGGACCACATCAAGGCTGAGAGTGTGGTCTTGTCATCTGGGCAACCCAGGACCTCCATACACACCACCCAGGCTTGCACCCCGGGGAAGTCACCTTGGTGCTGCTAGTGTAGCAAAAACAATGTGGGAGGCAGCAGTTATGAGGTATTGGTCTTTGTCGTCACAGCAGGTGCCACCACCACCAACAACAAATGAACACTTATCTATTGCTTGTTCACCATCCTAAACTCCAGAATGGAGGAAGGCAGAATCTTGAATGAATGAATAATTGACTTGCCAGGGAGCCTGCCAGATATATGGCCTAGTGTAAAACACACACACGCGCGCATGCACACACACACACACACACACACACACACACACGGAAATATCCCTCTGTCTTGGGATGCACTCCTTAGCTTGTCCTCTCAGAGCCTTGATAGATCATCAGTAAAATTATGCCAAACTCTTAGATTTGCCTTAATTTGAGAATTGACATGTCTGCACACTAGGCGTATACACAACATTAAAAAAAAAAATGGCTTTGATTGTATTCCCAGAGTTTGTCTCAAAGAGATTAGTATAATTCACAAAACAGCTATAGCACCTGCATTTGTTTTTTTTTATTTAATTAGCATAAGGAATTTTTTAAAGCATTTTTTTTCTACCCTTGTGCTCTGTAGTATTGGAAATAGGCCAAAACTTCAACCAACATATGATTCTGCAATTAGAACCAATGAACCAGAATTCAAAAGCATAGAGGAATTTATTTGCTAAATAGATTCCCCTCACAAGGCACTATTTTACACATAGGCTTCTAACTGGAAGCTCTGATGTAAAGTTCCAGATTTTTCCCGTCTTGGTGTTCGAGAATGCAATACAAGGAATATTACTGAGCACAGGTCAGAGCCTTCCGTAGAGTAGACTGAAGAGGCCATCTCAGGTGACCAATTTAGGGTGCCATTAAGGAATGTCCCAATACAGTGGTACCTCGGGTTAAGTACTTAATTCATTCCGGAGGTCCATTCTTAACCTGAAACTGTTCTTAACCTGAAGCACCACTTTAGCTAATGGGGCCTCCTGCTGTCGCCGCGCTGCCGGAGCACGATTTCTGTTCTCATCCTGAAGCAAAGTTATTAACCTGAGGCAGTATTTCTAGGTTAGCGGAGTATGTAACCTGAAGTGTATGTAACGGTTAAATGTTAATTGGGCTGTGTGCATCAGAAAACAATAAGCAAACAATTGAACCCATCCCTCACAAAATTTGGGCCTGACTTGTACTACAATGACTCACCCTGGTGCCAGTGCTCCTTGCCACTGCTGCAGGGTGTTTATTGATGCCAGTGATCCTGGGAAGTGAAGTTTTGAATGGCTTTCTGGTTAATAGATTCAACCAGCAGGCACTGAGATTTCCATTTTGCAGCCTTGACCACATCACCAACAATATACAGTGGTACTTCGGGTTAAGAACTTAATTCATTCTGGAGGACCGTTCTTAACCTGAAACTGTTCTTAACCTGAGGTATCACTTTAGCTAATGGGGCCTCCTGCTGCTGCCGTGCCGCTGTTGCGTGATTTCTGTTCTCATCCTGAAGCAAAGTTCTTAACCCGAGGTACTATTTCTGGGTTAGAGGAGTCTGTAACCTGAAGCGTCTGTAACCTGAAGTGTCTGTAACCATAGGTACCACTGTACCTGGCTTAAAGGTTTTTCTGTCACTACTGAATCTCTCCACACCTTCCCTCCCAACAACTAGGATAACGTTTCAGAAGGAGGGGCAGCAGGGAAGGCTGAGGGTGACCTCCACCGAACATTGCCCTTCCAGAAGTCATCTGTCAACTACTCAGCATTTCTGAAGACCTCTGCTTGTTCCCTCAAGGCTCAGTACAGTCTTGAGTCTCTTAATATCTCCTTATTGTTTACTCTGTCCTTTTCCACACAGTAGGGTCTCCTTTCTTCTCCCTGCCTCAACCAACACAGATACTGAACTCCCTCTTGGCCTGCTGGTTATAATTAGGTTATAGTTTGGCAGAAACACCACCTGCTTGCCCCTTTTGTATGTTAAACGGTACAGCAGTTTGAAGGGGGGAGAAACAGGAAAAGAGTGCCATGTAGTTTTTTGTAGCATCAGAATGTTTGTGCTGATGCTATCAGTTGAAAACCTTGTTGGAACTTAAGGCAGACAAAGAGAAAAACACTGGGAATCCATTTATAATACAAGCGCAAGGCCTATTGTGATTTTCCCTGATCTGGTATCCATGATTAATGGAAACAACTTTTCTGAGCTTTATTGTAGTCAAAAGTGGGAAAGCTGCTCCCTGTCTTATTGACAACATAAGGTGAACATTGTGAGCTTGGTTGTTGTTATGGCAACAAGAGTTGTTGTTATGTAACAATGAAACTGCTGAGCATGTGCAAACTGAAGCATCAGTTATCTTCACTGACCATGAGGTCAGTTAATTTTGATATAATGCTGTGCAACAAGGTCTGTAGAAAGCTTTTGGAACAGGTAAGAATTCTTCTGCTACAGATAGCAAACCCCATCAAGATTGCCAAGCCCCCTTGTCAGCACAGGAAAAGACACAGGGCTATTTAATAGTTTATTTGATGTATTTTACCCCACTGTTCTGAAATACCATATTCAAGGTGGCTAACAAAATACTGATTTATATTTCATGGGTTCAGGACAAACGCTAACATTTTAAACAGAATATTCCTCCTCCCTCTCCCCCTCCCGCCACCTGTCTCCACTGTCTAAATATTTAGTTTGGATGTCCTAAAAATACAAAGGAAAACAAAGTAAAAATAATGAAATCCATCCACTTCTTTGCATTTCTTGTTACTGTTACTTCATTTACCCCAAAACAAAGCTGACCTACAGCTCTCCACCTTCCTCTTTCAAAAAGGAAACGAAATAATAATCCTTTTTAAAAAATCAATTCAGTTCATAGCAAGTCCTTTTCCTATCAGGTTGCCTGTGTAATCAAGTTGTACTCTATATATTTGATCACTCACTTCTCTGTTTCTGATTTGTCTTTCAGATGGAAGGCAGAGATCAGGTCCTCCAGGACTCACAGCAAGGTGGTATCTGGTCTCTTTAGCAGCCTCACCTTTTTTGTGGATGGAGTGAGTCAGGGCCCCATTCCAGGCCAGGTGGAAATTGTCTGCAATTTCTGTGGCCTCTCTGCTTGGAGGACAGACCTGGGTAGACTTTGCAAACTGTCCTGGTCCCCTTAAACTAGCCTGCTGCTTCAGATGCAGCAAGGTTGCTACCCTGTTACTACTGTTGCCAGCTCTGCAACTGGAGTGGGGTGGTGGATGGGGTGGACATCTTACCATTTATCTCAGGCAGCAAAATGTATTGGACCAATACCCATGTAGTGGACCAATGGGTGAGTAAGTCCCACTGAAAATTACAGTGGTGACTGTGTAATACCATGCCTGTATTTTGAGGATACATGCTTAGGATTGAGCTGTGAGTGTAACTTTACTCTCTATTGTCCACTAAAATAAATTCATAGTGGAATGTATTATTTAGTGTTCTAGAAAGATAATGTTAAATTACAAACTGGGCAGAAAACAACTGCAAAGAAAATAGTAGCATTTTTCATTTGCATATCTCCCCCTTTAAATGAGGCTGCAGTTATCCCTCAAAGAATCCATTGATAAATATTTGCCAGGAAGTGATGCTAGTTTTCTGTGGCCAATATGTTTGTATATATGACTGATGAACAGAAGATTGTATTACTGCTGTGTTTACTGGCCATGTGTTGTGGATCAGTTAAGGACTTCAGAAATGCTGTCAGTGAAAGTGCATTCTCCATTAGCAAATTAGTTTATATGCAGCAACTTGTGACAGAGCAGTTGGAAAACTGTTACTGGTATCCCATGCCACAGGGCTGTCTCTGATGCAAAAGCATTTATAAGCAGCTTTGAAAGGCCAGAGACAATTCAAACAAAAATAACTCTTCCTTGATGGTGTGGGGTGAAAAATTTATGACAGAGAGCTGAAAAGAGAGAGACTTAAAGTCCTGAGAAAGATGCCAGAGCCTGCATTTGGTTTGCCTATTTGTCTAATGCTTGACATTTCAGGCTTGACTGTAGATAGCTGGGGGAAATAGATGGTTTTATTCAACTTGAGAGAAGATGAAATAACTTGAGTGAATCAAATCACTTGAGTGAATCTCCTAACTAACATTATCCATTGGATTAGATTATTTATCCCGATACGATACTGTATAATTAATATAAATCCAAAAGTTGCTTTTGTTTTCACAAATGATTAAATACCCAGAAAGAATATTGGCAAGATGGAGGCAACTATTAATCCTAGCTCAGCAAATCCTCAGAATGTAGCTACCTGGAACAGGAGGAAACATTTGCTGAGAGCTTCAATTTTGTATCCTATCTGAAACTTTGCAGTAAATTGCCTAGCCAGCATGAGAATACTTCAGAGACTTTCCCACTGAGTGAACAGGAAAATGGGAAGAAATATGGTGAAAATTTTAAGTGAGGGAAAAGTGCAGGCCTTGGAATAGCACAGCAGGTTTCTGAACACCTGGCTGTGTAAAAAAAAAAATCTGTGTGGTGTTAGAGGGCATAATAAGCAGAATTTAGCAAATGCACCTGCCAATCACCTGTTCTTGAGTATAAGTATATTAAAATAAGGATTTGAGGCAATAGTAATATTGGAATAAGGAAAGAGTTGGCAGTTTTTTTAAACTGTAAGAAAATCATTCCTGACCATTGGCCATGTTGGCTAGGACTGATGGGAGCTGGAAAACAACACGATGTGGAAAAACACTGGCTGCCCACTTCTGCTGACAACTGAACAAACAACACAGTTAAAGTTGTAGCATGCCCTCAGCTCCTTCAAATTTTTACTTCAGTACAATATCTATAGAAGAAAAATGTGTAAAGACTCTTTAAGAGCCAATCCTAAGAGTCCCCGGGTTGCTACAGGCCATGTGAGTGAACAGCAAGAAACAGTTTTATTTTTGTAGCATTATCCCCTCACGGGGCAAAAAAATCATGGGCCAAGATGGACTACTAGCCAGGGTCAGTTCTGCATTAAGCTGGAACCTTCAGCCAGGTATTCTGCTATGGGTTTTTATCAGTAAGTTGAAAGCAATAAATAGTTGAAATTATAGAAGAAGTCAGGTGTGGTGCTGTTTTCACAAATATAATAGAAAAAGACATAGCTAGATATAATCTGCTGGATATAGCTCACTTTCACTATGTTTTATAAAGTAACATCAGTGGAAGTGTTCCATCTGGCCTTTGCTTCAGATATAGAAAATTGTCATATGAAAGCTGAATGGCACCTCAAGCGGAACTAAAAGTGAGAAAATCAGTGCAATTTTGATTTATAGAAAATATGCTATCAATTATCCAAAATTTTACATCAAACTTGTCCAAAATTTTACATGAAAATTGCTATTTAATAGTATAGTAAAAGTATATAATAGTGTAATAGCTGGTGTTCTGAAGAATCTACATGAAAATACATTTAGGTAATATATCATTCTCTGAAATTGGCTTGACTGAAAATATTTCCTCTCTTCATTAACGTCCTGGAGGACAGTAATCATACCGTCTTAACCTTGCCATCCTTTAACATAATAGGAACAATATAATGTGGGGCACTCAATCAAGTTGGAATACTCCACAGTTCTGCAAACATGTTATTAGGTTATCATAGTCGTGGAGAAATGTTTTAAATAAAATTATGTTAATAGGCTATGGCCAATACTCAGTATTAAAGCAAAGTGTGATAACTGTGTTGTCACTTCTTTTATAGCCCTAATGTTTCTTTGTCTTGGTTTCTCGAGGAATTTAGTGCAAACAAAACCAACAGATTTCTGCATTACTGTATTCCTTGAGCCCTGCTAGCCTGCTAGAATCCAGGACCATTGGCTTTCTTCTTGAGTTCACAGGAGGCCATTGTATTTATGCTCCATTTGTTGACCCTGGGGCAAGTGGAAGACATTTGAGACTAAGGACACAATGGTGCCCTTTTACAGGTACAGAATGTGTCTGGGCTGACAGTTGTTGTTGTTTATATTCCTTACTGACCCTTCACTGTAACATATCAGGCTGGGCTACAAAAATGAAAAATCCAATATTAAAATCATTTAAAACCAGGTATAATCAGAAGAACAGAGTGGGTCCTAAATATATATTACAATTTGTGCTGGTAATAGGACAGGCATGCAACATACACAGTCCTCAAAAAGAATGCGTTCCAGAGTCCGTTCAACTCCTGGAACCATTTGAAAACCAAGGCACGGCTTCTGATTAGCTGCAGGAGCGTCCTGCAGCCAATCGGAGGCCACAGAAGCCGCACCAGATGTTCGGTTTCAAAAAATCGTTTGAAAACCGGAACACTCACTTCCAAGGCATTTGGCAACTAAGGTACGACTGTAGGAGGAAATGGAACAGTCAGAGCACTGCCATACCTGCCCCTTAGCACCTGCCACCTGTAGTGGTCACCTCATTTGTCTAATGAGAGAGCTGACCCCCCTTCCCTCTCCCTCTCCCTCTCCCTCTCCCTGTGTTTCACAATTATATAGGAGGGAGGGCTGCCTCAAAACCTACAAATCAAGGAAATGTAGATAATTACACTGGGCATGAATTTTTTGCTGCATGTATGTGCACATAAGGGGACGCAGGTGGTGCTGTGGTGTAAACCACTGAGCATTGGGCTTGCCGATCGGAAGGTCAGCGGTTCAAATCCCTGTGACGGGGTGAGCTCCTGTTGTTCGGTCCCAGCTCCTGCCAACCTAGGAGTTCGAAAGCATGTCAAAGTGCAAGTAAATAAATAGGTACTGCTCTGGCAGGAAGGTAAACAGCGTTTCTGTGCGCTGCTCTGGTTTCGCCACATGACCCAGAAAAACTGTCTGTGGACAAATGTTGGCTCCCTTGGCCAGTAAAGTGAGAGGAGCGCCGCAACCCCAGAGTCGTTCGTGACTGGACTTAACTGTCAGGGGTCCTTTACCTTTACCTTTTATGTGCACATAAAGCACAAGCACAAAGTGTCTCTAGTGTATCTAGCCTATGAAGTGTGCCTAGTGTAGAGACCTGTCAGATCTCTTTACAGGTTCATTCTAACACTTGCATAAAAGTAGAGATGCTGTTATAATAACTTCAGGGGCATGTAAAAACTGTCTCAAAGAAGAAATGAACTTTACAAACCCTGAAAATCCAAGCTGGAGAATTATCTCTCAAACACCTATTTGCAAACAGGGTTATAGCCACATGATCAGGAATTTTGAAAACACAGAATGGTGTGTGTGTTAGGAAAGAGTCCTATGCATGTGTACTTGTACACATGTAGGTTGTAGGCAGACATTAAACTGTATGTGTGAATGTCTGAAGCAGAAACAGCCTGTGCTATCTCTTCCACCCCCGTCTACACACACATTCATCATAATGTCTGCACAGGGCTTGTGTTTGAGGAGGCAAATTTTGAACCAAATCAAATAGCATTATAATGGCACCTAGTGATGGAATATAAGCATTGCCACAAACATCAGTGTGAGAAAGGGAAAGCACCCATATGTTCCAATTCACAGAGAAGCAAAAGTTGAAATAAAAGCCTACACCTTAAATTAGTCAACTTATCAAAAAAACACAAATCCTTGTTAACACCTCTGATTATGAGTAATGCTAAAGGCGGGGGAACAAAAATATGTATAAAATACTTTAGACAGAGTTCACTTTGCAGAAATAAATTCACATTGCCTACATTTTGATATCAGCAGACCTCTAGTGGCTATTAATATAAATGTTGATTTCTATCTTTTTACTATTTTATGTAGGAAAGGCTGCTAAGTTTACAAGGAAAAGGAACAACTCATTCAGAAATATCATATCGAAAGATCATTTCAATAATTACTCATGTTGATGTATCTTCTGAAATAGCTCTACACTAGCATTAGTTATCATAAAGTCATTTCCTAAGAACCGAATTTCTAGAACATCACCAAAGCTACAGATGTGAAAAATGAGAATTCAGAACTGACCCAAAATTTCTCAAAAGAGATTTTTCTGGAATGAAAATCTGAGAATATTTTTGCCCCTTTCTGAAATGGAGGACAATTGGGGGGGGGGCTATTATTTGAATAGTCTCTGCCTCTAATACACAATGCCTCTTAATAATGCAAGGCATTGTGAGGGGTGCAAAGTGGTGGCCAGGCTACTAAAGGAAAGAAGCTGTGCCATTGTTGTTGTGCTGCCCTTCCCCATTAAAATATTGAAGAATTCCTGCTCCCACACAGGCTAATGGAGAATATTTGGTGAAACGATACCCTCAATTTTTCAGCTTTGGCAGGAATAATAGCCTTCTGGAGTGGAGAATTAAATCAAGCTGTCTGGGATGAGCCCAAGCTGACATTGGCAAGAACTGGTAGGTGCGCACAGCACATACATAGTGCTGTGTGTGGATCAGGGGGCATGTTTCCCAGTTGTTTTGCAAGTGATTGTCCTGTTCCATAATTTTATATAAACATTAATATATCTGACCAAAGTAAAGTATACCTATTTCCCTGTGATATCATTGAACACAACTATCCCTCGGAGCTTTCAAAAAGCAAAAGCCTCACATCTGTTCTGAATGGTGTGTATTTGTTGTTGTTTTTCTGGGTTTCTACAGTAGAAAATGGCAGGTGAGTAACCGTCCTTCATACAGAGATGAAAACAAGAAGCAGATAGCTCCATGGAAACAACCTACAGAAGCCTCTTCCTACTCAAGACAAGTGCAGTCAACTTATTTTCTCACTTTCAATTTAGACAGATTTGAAATGTAATGATTGTGGATTGCATAGATCAGCGGTCAACATGCAGCCTGTCAGTTTGGGTCATACCCATCAAGTTTGCACAGTGGAAATACAACACAAGAGAGTTCAATTTTTAAAAAAATGACCTGTCGTTTCTAATAATGCTATTATAGCATTGTCTCCAGTGTGGTAGATAAAGCTGCATCAGCATTCCCATTATAGAATCCATAGTCAAGACAAAAAATTCTGTGGAATGTAGCACTGAACTATTTACTAGATCCATTTTGATGTCATCATTTAATTGTTTTTAAAAATCTATAGGTCATGATTATAGATGGGTTATCTATTTCTTAAAAGCTATCTAAGCTACTTGCTATTGCATTTTGTAGATTCTACTGCCAGCCACTTTCAGTAGGTGACTTTGAGTCAGTTCTGAAGAGGGTGGCTAGTGTCCCTGAATGTTGTGTGTGGTTCTTCATGAAGGAGATTCTTGCACCCATGTCAATCACATCCTTGATTTCAGTATTCTGTTGCTCTTTTCTGTGGAGGCAAACATGATTTCATCCTAGGTATGACTGTGAGTGGACATTACATATAGAGAATGAGACCTCTGATGTTGTTCTCATTTGCAAACCAGAGGAACTATCATGAGCACACACACCACAATGAAACACACATCACAACCTATTCTATTGGCTAAAATAGAGCACTTCTTTCAAGCTTAATTTCAGCAGGAGAAGGGAGAAAGGGATAGGACACTCCAGGCACTGGTGGAGGAAGAGGAGTGCGGAGGGAGCGCACTGTCCGCGGCAGTGTGATCCCGGTAGGGTGCCATCATGGCTGCCCCCCCCCGCCCATGCTGGGCACCATGCACCTGCGGGCTGCCCCGCCTGCTCTCCGCCCCTCGGTGCTGGAGCATGAAGCTCCGCCACTGACTCCAGGCACCAGGAAAGGTCCTTGCAGGAACATGTGCACCCATGAGTGAACTCCTCTGTAGAACATAGGGAAGTTTGTACAAGCTGTTCCGTACAAGATAAAAAACACCACAGTTGACTTGTGTATAATTTTTATACTTTGAAAATTTTGCAGCAGCAAGATGTACATTTAGATGTTTCATGGATAGTCAGTGAGATCACAGCTTATCACCTCCTGACACTCCTCTAGCATTGTGCAGAATATCCTCTCATTTCAATGTTCACCTCAAAAGTAGCGCATTCAAGAGTCCAGCAAGCTCTTCACAAAATACTCTTTTTAGCTAACATTTGTGCTATTTCAGTGCCATTTGCATTGTTTTGTTTTTAAAGCTGCTGAAGCTTGATGGTGCCACATTCCCCTTTTTGTTTTCCCTATAGCATCCTTGTTTGCATTAAACAGCTTGGGGCTTCTGCTAGCACAACAGGGTCCCTCCCCCTGCATGCCCCTGTGCCTCCCTGAAACCCACTCTGGTGGGCCAGATGAACTCTCAAAACTGCACAGGGGTAGGAGAGCGGGGCCATTCAGTCTGGCAAGTAGAAATGCTTATGCAGATGGAATGGTCAGAAGAGTGCAAGGTTGAATTCCTCCCTTTGAACTGGAGAAGTGTATTGCTAAAACTGTTCACAGCTCCTTAAACTTCAACTATAAGACAAGCAGGTGAGAGCTGCACTCAAACTGTGACTTGAGAATGGATTTTTATGACTTTACATTCCAGGGATATGGCTACAGTTGCTTAGAACAATCTGTATTTCTTATGGAAATGTCCTCTGCAGCCAAGGATATTCCCCAGCAACATGACAGAAGTTTGATGCACAGCTAGGACAAGATTTTTGGCTTGGTGGTGGTGGGTCACTGTGACTGCCTGCTATTTTTTCTTCAAAGGTAGGGGGCCTCTAAATATTAGGTAATTACGTTGTCTTAGATTTCTCCCCTCCCCAGTCTTCAGCCCTCTGTGTCTGCATGTGTTTAACAGGTTGCAGTCACAAATGGGTTAGACTAGTGAAGGTATCTTCCAAGCTCCTGGAGCCCTTGGCTCACCAACTGCTGGTTCTGGATCTGCAGTGAATGAAATTGATGAGAGTATGAACACAAATCCTTCTTTTAGCTGCATTTTGCTAGCTTTAGTAATACATGCTATTGCATTAGGTCTGGACATAGGGATAAAGACACTCATTTAAGCCTGGCTAATGTAAAAAGAGGAAAGTGATTGCGCTGAAGTGTCAAAAATATTTCTGTGTTGTTTACAGAGGGGAAGATAATTTTTATTCTGGGGTATTATTGGTTAAAATATTCACTTATGTAATTATGCAGTAATAACGAAGAAGTTGATTGTAACCAAACGTTGGTAGATTGTTGCTAACAAGTCAAACATGACAAACAATTTTGAAGCAATTATTGTCATTATAAGCCACATTCAATTGTTCAGGGCAGGAGTAATAGAAAGTGACAGTTGTGCAGCTGGGATAGCGGTGTGGAAAATGTGATTGTTCCCTCATCACGTTGGACCAGTCACAACTCAGCATTGCATTTGCTAAATACATAATTCATGTCTAATAACATTTTCATTTACTGAAAGCAAATTACAGAGGAAAGGAAAACATAAACAGGCACACCTCCCTCCTCCCCACCAAAAAAAACCCCAAACCAATTGGAAAAGGGATCAACAAGCATGTGCATTTAGAAAGTGTATGATTATTAGCTTTTTCTGTGTATGTTTTATTTATTTTTTATGACTTTTCAAACTGCTTGGAGCAGCAGCCAATCTAGGTATTAATATGTCAAGAAGATCATCTAAAAAAATTACCCTACATTTATTTGTTTTATTATACTTTTACACCACCATTTCTTCAAGAAGCTCAGGAGGGAAGGGCAGTGTTCCCTATGCCAATTGCAGCATCACAAAATCTCTGTGGGGCAGGCTAGACTGAAAGTGGATTCTCAATGGTCTGTCCGTAAGCTTCATGATCACTAGACCTTTGATCTCAGGTCTCTTCAATTTTTGTCCAAAACTCATTAGCTACTAGGATCTTAACACACGGTCTTCTGCTTTTCTATCTAGCTGATTTCCCCCCACATATCCTGATTGTATGGAGAGTGAATGGGCAGGTTCCCTGAGCCCCAAGGCTATGCACACTTGGCTTTGTAACCTCTGAGCAGAATCTAAGGGACTAGCAACTTGGGAGCTGTAACAGTAAGGGACCGGAAGCAGCACCAAAGCCTGCCCAAGAACAGAAATTTCCAGATCTGGGCAAGATAATGTGTAGACAAATGAAAATGTTAGAAATTAACATGATAACTGAATATCTGAGCGGTGTCGCATAATGCCATCTATCACAATACCCATTTTGGTAATTCACTTCCCACAACAGGCTAGGTGCAGGCTGAATTAAATCCCTATCCAGAGTATCTGACTCTGCTGTCTGTTTTTCTTAGGATATGTTCCAGGATATACTAGAACAAGCTAGAGCTGCCTGTTGACTCTACCAGTCTGCTTATGTGGTATCCACTTCTGATTTTGTTCTAGGGAAGTCAGTACTTTGTTAAAGAGGTAAAAACATCCAAGCAATTCTTCTTATACTTTATGTTTAGAGATTGCAAGGGACAGTTTTCTTGTGAATAGGAATTTCAACTTGCTGTTTCAAGTGGCAGTCAAAGTACTTGTTTGTAACTTATTTATTGGCCTTGAAAGTACCATCCTTGCAAACTTGGAAGAGCTGGGGAATGCAACCCTTGGCTCTTTCAGAAGAAAGTGCAGGATTTAAATTCCCTAAATAATAATTGGAAATAATGGCATAAAAGTAAAAAGGGAAGAAATGTAAGAAGGAACACATGTGAGCACAGTGTAAGAATATGGGAACCTGAAAATAAAGGAAGCATCCGCAGATCTCCTTTCTACCATAAGCTTTTCTGTTGAGGTTTGAGGTTGGAGTGAAATTTCTATATACTAAAGGCCAGAGGATAGCAAACTGCATCTCAGGAGTCCTACTTATCTCTAAGGACAAGCATCTATTTCTGCTATGGCAACTGACCTGATTCAAAGAGCAATTCACTCTTCCTTACAGACAATCCTTAGTGTTTTGTCTCCAGCTAGAAATGTTGCAGGTTATCCGATGACTTCAATATCTAATGCTTTATCAGTAATACTTTATCTGTCTTCAGCTGAACAATCATTCCACTGTCAGTGAAACTGCCTTATATTAGCCACAAAGAAATAGTTAAAGTGTCTGCAACATGTGCTACAATTGTGTTGGTAGGCGATAGTTATTTAATGTTTTCTTTTACAGTTGATATTAATTTGTGAAACTCACACTGCACCTCAGAAAGCTCAATGGACACTACTCATTTCTTTGAAGAAACTGAATATAATTTAAGTCAGTGAAGTAATGATATATGCCAGCTTCACTTAAATTATTCACAGGTGACAAAGGCATTAATTTTCTTCGACACAGTGATATTATTTACTCCCAGTATGAAGAAACTTTTGTGATGTTGCCATGAAAAAGATAACACTTCAATTAATTTTCAGTTCAGCCCTAAGGCTTATTCTGAAACATGCAGATGTAAATGTTCAATTTCTTTTTCTTTATTGACAAAAGAATTCAGTGCTTGTGAAAGGTGGCAGACTGACAATCATGGAGGCAGAGAATGTATTTTTATTCTCAGAGCTGGTGCTGCACAATAGAAGCAGGGAGATTCTCTACATTATTCTGCCAGCTTACTTTAGCCAAGGCACTTCATAAACTAGATTGTCTGGTCCGCAAATTTTAATGCAACAGAAGCAGCAGAAAGCCTAAGTAACTATCTTAAATTCTGACACACACCAAAGTTTGTTGTTAGCATAAGACATGTTATTTAGGTAGATTCCTCCCCCCACCTTCAATTTTTAGTGCTTGCACTACTTACGCAGTCACAAATACAACTGCAGCACATAATAGGAAATCTGAAATGTACCTGATTTGTATAGAACACTTGTGTAGATCTCAGGTTTTGAGAAGGTTTTCTTCAGTTCAATGGAGAAGAGTTTTTATCTGATGCATAAGAACCCCCAAAGCTGTGTAAAAATTGTGCTTTGTGCTGATCAAACTGTTCACAATTCATATGGCACTCATTCATTTATTACAATTGGATTACGTCCTAAAACTAGGTATTTAGGAACTGCATATACCAGCCTTAAACATGCTTTCATACATGTAATAGCATTTTCATGCTTAGATTTGGGGAATTAGTGGTTTTTTATAATGAGCAACACATGTTACCATTCTGCTCTAATCATAGGTGCATCACAGGTCTCATGCTACTGGTGACTTTGGTACTATTAGGATTTCTCATGAAAGGTCTAGAATCCAGTATGATCACTTTTCAATTTTATGGCTTTCTTTGAAATTCAGATAACAATAGGAACCTCTGACTGAATTTTCTACTTCTAGTTATTCTCAGGGCTACTGCCCTTCATCCATCCCCTAAATTTAAGAATCATCCCAACCTCTTTTGTGGGTTCCGAGGAGTTAATAAGCTGTGCCTGCCATAACAAGTAGTCAGAAGTTGGATAAGAGAATGGGCCAAATGGACAAAAAAAAATGGTGTTACAGTTAATGAACTGAAAGGGCAATTGAAGGATGTGAGTAAGCGGACACAGAATTTGGAAGAGGGGTTGAAAAAGACAAGATTGGAAATGAGGGAAGTGAAGAAGGAGGAAGAAAAAATAAGGACGGGAATGTCGGAAATTAATAAAACACAAGAGGAAGTCTGGGATGCGATTTCTATGAATGAACTCAGGCAGAGAGAAGTGAACTTAAGATTGAGGATGGTTCCAGAGGTGCAAGAAGAAAATATTAAAGAGAAGTTAATAAAAGAGATTGCACAATGGATGGAGATGAATGTAGATGAGGTGGCAAGATCGGTGCAAAGTACTTTTCGAATGAAGATAAGATTGGCTAAGGCAAGAAAATTTCCGGGGGATTGACTGATTACCTTTAAGGACAGAGAGATGAGAAATTTGATACTCCAGAAAAATAGAGAGAACAGGGTGAACATTGAAGGAAACTATATAATCATTTATATAGAGAGCGGAGGGCTCTCTATTTGTCCTGGCCCGAGAGCTGGGCCCCCATGGAGTTTCCCGAATTCCTGCACTGATTTGCCCAATGATAGCCTTTTTCGCATTTTGGGAATTTTTTGGAAGGTTTAGCCTTATTGGCATCACCATTCCTGCTTGCTCCCCCGCCAGGGGCTCTGCATTGTTTAGCAAAATGACCTGGGCGTTTGCAATTGAAGCAATTGCCCGTGGGCTTCTTGCCAGCCTGGATGGCACCCCAGATGGCAGTTCAAATTAAGTGGCAAGGAGAAAAAATAATAATTGTCGGGATCTATGCACCAAATGGAAACAAGACAGAATTTTTAAAAATTTAGAAGAAAGATTGTTCGAATATATGGATCAGAAACTTATAATAATGGGAGACCTGAATGGAGTGGTGTCAATGGAAATGGACAGACTGAGAACAACAGGGGTGAGCAAAGATGGGAAATTACCTAAGACTTTTTCTCAATGACTAAGAATTGTAATTTGATTGACATTTGGAGACTTAGACACCCACTGGAGAAACAATTCACGTTTTATTCAGAACCAAACCAATCCATGTCAAGAATAGACCAGGTGTGGGTCTCAAATGAATTAACCCCAAGAATCTCGAAAATTGAAATTCAACCAAGAGTGATTTCGGACCATAGTGCAATCAAATTTGAACTAAAAGATTTTGAAGAAAGAATGTTTAGATGGAGAATAAACGACTATCTTCTAGATGATCAGAAAGTAGTAGAAAATGCTCAAAAGAACCTGTCGGAATATTTTGTAAATAACTGTAATAAGGGAACAAAAATGACTCCGGTTTGGGACGCCAGCAAAGCTGTGATGAGGGGCTTTTTCCTTCAACAAAATGCCCTGAAAAATAAAAATAGGGAAAAGAATAAAAAGGAATCATTGAGACAAATAATGGAGAATGAACAAAAATTGATAAAAAAGCAAATAACGAAAAGATAAGACAAAACATAAAGACTCTACAAACAGTTTGCATAGATAATAAATAAGGAAGTAGAAGGGAATATAAAAAGAATGAAACAAAGAAATTTTGAATTTGCGAATAAATCAGGAAAATGGCTGGCGTGGCAGATAAAGAATAGAAAAGAGCAGTAAACAAAATCATCATTGAAGGTACGGAAATAGAAGACCCGAAAGTAATTAGAAAAGGATTCCTGGACTTTTATAGACAACTGTACAAAAACAAAGAAAAGAATAATATGAGGAAGATAGAAAGATTCTTAAAGGAAAAAGAAGTGCAGAAGATCCCGACTGAGAAAAAAGATAACTTGAATGCCCCAATTGAAATTGAAGAAATTAAAGAGGCGATAAGCGAATTGAAAAAGGGGAAAGCCCCAGGACCAGATGGATTCACAGCTAGATATTATAAGGAAATGAGAAGCACCCTACTTGTACCACTGAAAGAAGTTGTAAACAATATCTTGAAGAATAGGGAAATACCAGAAACTTGGAAAGAAGCCTTTATTACACTTATCCCAAAACAAGAATTGGACTTAATGCAAGTTAAAAATTATAGGCCTATTTCGCTGTTGAACACTGATTATAAAATCTTTGCAAGTATGCTGGCAAAGAGAATGAAAAAAGTACTGCAAGATCTTATACATAAGGATCAGGCGGGTTTCCTTCCTGGCAGACAGATGAAAGATAATATAAGAAATATAATAAATATAATAGAATATCTGAATGCCAGAAATGAGAAACAAGCTATGTTAATCTTTGTGGATGCGGAAAAGGCCTTTGACGATATATCATGGAACTTTATGTTAAAAAAATTGGAACATATGGACGTAGGTACGGAATTTTTTAATGGAATAAAGGCAATATATACAGAGCAAAAAGCGAAGTTGATAGTAAACAATTATACAACGGAAGATATTAAAATAACAAAGGGTACAAGACAAGGATGCCCATTATCACCATTATTATTCATCTTGGTGCTGGAGGTTTTGCTAAAATCAATAAGAAAAAATGAAGAAATAAAAGGGGTGTCTGTAGGGAAAAATGAGTATAAAGTCAAAGCATTTGCGGACGGTCTTGTAATGATGGTAGAAGAGCCAGCGGGAAGTGTTAAAAGAATCCTAGAAGAAATAGAACAATTTGGTCAAGTTGCAGGTTTTTATTTAAACAAAAGAAAGACTAAAATTATTGTGAAAAATATGGACCAAGAATTAATAGAGGAAATGCAACAAAGTACAGGGCTGGAAGTGGTGAACAAAGTGAAATATTTAGGAGTATGGTTAACCCCCAAGAATATCGATTTGTTTCAAAATAACTGTGTACCTGTTTGGAATGGGATAAAAAGGGATCTGGAGGTGTGGGGAAGATTGAAGCTATCTTTTTGGGGAAGGATATCTACGATAAAGATGAGTGTGCTGCCAAGGATGTTATTTCTATTCCAATCACTACCGATAATTAAAGGGGCATCAATTTTCAAAGAATGGCAAAAAAATAGTTTCAAGATACATCTGGCAGGGCAAGAAGCCAAGGATTCAGTTTAAGTTATTAACAGATGCGAGAGAAAGAGGTGGCTTCGCCCTGCCAGACTTGAAACTATATTATGAAGCATCATGCCTCTGTTGGTTAAAGGAATGGATTAAATTAGTGAATGGAGAGTTGTTAGATTTAGAAGGATTTGATAATAGATTCGGGTGGCATGCATATCTGTGGTATGAAAAGAAAAAAATTCATAAAGGCTTTGAAAACCACATCTTCCAAAGATCATTGATAGAGGTGTGGGAGAGGTACAAAAATTTGTTGGAACCAAGACTCCCCCATTGGCTTTCACCATTGGAAGTGCTGAGTGTGAAAAAGATAAACATGAGGGGGAGGTGGATAACTTATGGAGAATTGATAGTAAGAGAGGGGGGGGAATGGAAAATGAAGACTTATGAAGAGGTGAAAGAATTTGTTTATGATTGGTTGCACTACTACCAGATTAGTGAAATGTTTAAAAAAGACTGTAAAATGTGTGGATATGAAGGAAAAGAATCAAAATTTCAAATAAAGGTATTGAATAATGAGTATAAAAATTTGTCTAAAATGTATAGAATGTTGTTGGAATGGCATACAAAAGATGAAGAGGTGAAATCAGTAATGATACATTGGGCCAGAGACTTTGGTTATAATGTACAATATGACGATTGGACGAAATTATGGAATGAAAGGTTAAAATTTACGGTGTGTACCGCGTTGAAGGAAAATGTAATGAAAATGGTATATAGATGGTACATAATGCCAGTTAAATTAGCTAAAATGTATAAAACATGTAATAAGTGTTGGAAATGTAAAGAAAAAGAAGGAACTTTCTATCATATGTGGTGGGAATGCAAAAAGGTGAAAGGCTTCTGGGAAATGATATATAAGGAATTGAAAAAGATGTTGAGATATACATTTGTTAGAAAACCAGAAGCCTTCTTACTAGGATTGGTAGGTAATGAAATTAATAGAAAAGATTGTAAACTTTTCCAATACGCTGTAACAGCTGCAAGAATACTTCTGGCGCAAAGATGGAAGCAGGAAGAAATTCCAACTGTGGAAGAATGGAGAATGAAACTGACTGAATATGCGGAATTGGATAAATTGACTGGAAAGATTCGATATCAGAAAGACCAAAAGTTTATCAAGGACTGGGGGAAATTTACAGATTATCTGAAAAGCATATGTGATGCACAGACAACGCTTGTTGGTTTTGAAGAGTCTCTGTGAAAAATTAAGAATTATTGTAAAAAAGAAAGTAGGAGAAAGGAAGAGGAATGGTTAAAGGCAATAATAAGTTCAGAAATGCGTTAACAATAGAAATTTTAATGAAATATTGGCAGAGAAACTGAGGGAAGTCAAAAATTGATGAATGTGAGAGTTAATATGAGTTGATTGTATAAAAATGTTTGGAAAATGAATAAAAAATTATTATAAAAAAAACCAAGTAGTCAGAAGTAGGCCATAGACCAAGTGAGTCAACAAAAAAAAAATATCTCTGCATCACTAGGAAGAGATGCACAGTTGTTATTCTTGCAAGCACAGCTAGGTCCCACTTCTTAATCTTAACCCTCTCAGAAAGTGTTATATTTTCAGAAATGAGCCCTTGGATAGGGAATTGTCTTCTCAAAGCACAGTCTGTTTGTTTGTTTGTTTGTTTGTTTGTTTGTTTGTTTGTTTGTTTAAAAAAAACACCTTATATGGCAAGTCTAGTAACTTTCCATTTAAAAACAATATAGTAAAGAACTTTGTTTTCAGAAAAGGAATTTTACTGAACCTACTTTTAGCTTTTACTTTCAGGTAGCCCTAGTGGCTCTGACACACTAATATTGTGAGCTGGAATCCCCCAAGGTATAACAGAGAAAAGAGAAACAGAGCCTCAGCTGCTAGGCTGGGATGCAGCTTGTGAGTAAGTGACAGAATTCTAACAGAATGAATTAGTTTAGGGCAGCAGGATAGGAAGCCACAAGGAGAATATTCAAAGATTTAGGTAAGTAGATTCTTGAAGTGGGCATATTGTGTGCCTGCCACCTAGAGGGGCAGAAGTACAGAAGGGTGCACTGACAGAGCTATGACGCTGAAAAAAAATGATGACAGCTTTAAGTGAACACTAGGAAATGGAAGGAAGTATTCTAGTGGAGTGCATCTGTACACTGGTCTTAACAAATTGTGTTACACTATTCTCTGTACAACAGCAAAGAATTTAAACCTTCATACTTAGAGAAGAAGTCTTAGGCTTTATTACAAGGTTTCACTGCATCCTTGCATTTAATAGCCATTCCCATGCATTGCATTAAGTGCATTAAGTTGGGGAGTGGGATGGCACATGCTGTTATCCTTCCCAACCTTCATATATTCAGCTGAATTTCTACATGCATGCTACATTCATAAAACAGTTTGCATATAGGGCTTTCTTTGCATTACAGTCATACGCTTCGGGTTGAATGCGCTTCGGGTTGAATGCGCTTCGGGTTGAGTGAATGCACTTCGGGTTGAGCACATTCGAGTTGCGCTCCACGGCAACCTGGAAGTAACGGAGTACATTACTTCCGGGTTTCGCCGCTCACGCATGCACAGACGCTCAAAATGACGTCATGCGCATGCGCAGGAGCGGCAAAACGCAACCTGCACACGCGCAGACACGCCGTCGTGTTTTGCATTCCATTTGGCATGCGAACGGGGCTCCGGAACAGATCCCATTCGCAACCCGAGATACCACTGTACAGAGAACCTGAAACACAAATGACCTCACTTATTTCCTCCATACACATTCAATGTGACATGTGAAGGGGGCACAAGCTTCCCATTCATTCATATAGTTCTCAGGTCTTGGCCTGTCTCTGATATGGGATGTTGCTAGGATGCAGGATAAATAATGTTCAAAAGGGTAATAGATGTAGTCAAGGGCACATGGCAGTCAGACACTGGACTGCTATATTTTAGTACTGTGGGGACAAGATCTTGCCTCCAGTTGGACACTCATCTCCCTTAGATCACAGACTTGGAACCACAATTGCTTCCATTTACTTAAAATGAACCCTAATCCACTCCATGCCAACCTCAATTTTACACGAAAACGACTAATAAAATTGTTGTCAGTATATTGTGGATACCATCTCTACTAAAGCAGACTCTATGTCAAAAGCAAGACTGAAAATCCTTTTTCTGACATCTCTGCTACTACAAGCCTTTTTTTTCTTTTTTGTCCTGCTTCTTTATTTTTCGCTATATTTTCCCCTATATTTTTTAGGGATCTTGAGGACTCACGGGTATATGCAACAGGCTGTGGGGAATCTGTGGCCCTCATTATTTTGTTGGACCATCACTCCCATCACCCCTGACCATTGGCCGTGCTGGTTGGGGCTGACAGGTGTTGTAGTTTAACAACATCTGGAAAACCACAGATTCCTTGATGTACATTCAGTGCCTCTACGTATGGCTAGTTTTGCCTCCGTGTACTGCAATGTCTCCATGTGCAATACTTCATATTTTCCCATAAAAATGAATGGTAGTTTACTTTTGTGAAAGAAACTAGAGGCGTGCACATTTGGAAATGCCACTGTCTCTTCATAATATATGTTATATATAAGGCTGAATATTTTTGCATCTTTGGGAAGTGGCACAAAAGTGAGCCAAGTAAATCATTTAGACACAAAACAGTACTTAAGGTTGTCTACTGACACAATAAATGTGCACAGATCAGAAGCATCATAATGAATGAATAGTAGCAAAAATGGCTTTGTTTACTACCCTATACCCCACAGCATTGACAATGAACAAAAGAAAAAAGGAACTGATCAACAAAACTCAGCTTCATTTGCCGAAAAGTTAGCTTACCATCTTGCTGGCCCTGGAGATTCTGCGGACTTTGAATTCTTTCTTCAAGATTTGAACTGAGGTCAGAGTTCACAGCAGACATCCTGGTGGAGTCACTCAGATCAAATTCATCACTTTCTATAGAGCTTTCATCCTGAAAATATAAAATTCTGTATCACAAGCATATTAACAAATGTCAAGATAATTTTCAGGCACTGTGTTCATATAGATTAGGGCTTACCAAGCAATTACTTGGTGTTGTTCAGCCTAGAACTGACAACCTAGAATGCTTTGATTCTTTGTCATTTAACTAAAAGATCTATACAAGAGTAATTAACTGACTGTTGTGCCCAGTTACTGTTGGTTTCTGCTTTCCTTCACTGTGCAGCTCTGCTTGTCACGAGACAGGTGTTTACATTCCACAGTCTGTACTGTTGGAGTTTCTCACGGGAAAGGGAGACTGGATGTGACGCACACTGGTTTCCTGTGTTTTTCACTGTGTGATTCTCTCCGAGCTGTCGAGGAGAGAGGATGCATTTTCTGCTCCGGCAGAGGCAAGATGTCTTTCTGTAATATACCAGCTTTGAACTGTAAATAAAAGCAATATAGAGTATGCAGCACATTTTCCTCATCCTTCCGCTGGGCACGAGACTCTGCTTAAATCAACACGTGGTTATGGACTCCAGAAGTCGAATCGGAGTGCCGGCAAAGGATCGGAATGCAGAGGGACGGATCGGAAAGGAATCTGCTCTGCGCGTAGAAGTGATTGATGAGGTATGTGCTACTGCTCCGGGCAGCCTGCCAGCTTCAAGTTAATGGCTTTATGGCTGGACTTTGAACTTTTAAAGCCGGTTTTGCCGGGAATAGGCAAAAGGCTCCCAGGCACAAGTCACTATGCTGGGGAAATCGAAAGTAACTTTTAAGTGCGCCTTTGGAGTAAGGCAGCTGCAGCAGTGACGCAGCAAGAATTAAAGCAGCATATATATGATGCTGAAGGCTAATGCCAGAGTCATGATGGCCCTTCAGGATGCTTGTGGGATTCCTAAGCTCAACAAGAAAAATTACAGCGACTGGGTTCAGTATGCAGAGGCAATTCTGCGGAAAGAGGGTTTGTTTGAGGTGATTACAGGAACCCCCAGTTCCAGTTACAGATGCATGGGAAGCTAAGGATTCCAAAGCAAGGGGAACTCTTACATTGATAGTATCCCCAGAAGAGCTCTGTCTATTGCGTGATAAGACCTCAGCCAGAGAAATTTGGGACGCTCTGAGAGAGGCTCACTTAAGGACAGAAGCTGGATCCACTATGTTTTACTTTAACAAGCTGCACAATATGGCTCTTGCTGAAGGTGGAGATGTGCGTTTACATCTGATGGAGATGCAAAATCTGAGACATGAGCTGCAACAGAGAGGACTCAACTTTCCAGAGGCTGTGTATTCTTTCATGATACTACAATCTTTGGGTTCAGGTTGGGAGTCTGTTGCAACCCAGATTGCTGTGCAACCAACTGCTCAGCTGACAGTGGACTTTGTTACTGCCGTGATTTTAAATGAAGCAGATCGCCGGGGTGCTAGCTGCATGGGCAAGGGGGAGTCTTCACAGACGTCATCCCATAGTGCAGTGGAACCACCAGATGGCGCCAAAGCTTTGAAGGCAGTGAAATGCTACTCGTGTGGACGTCTAGGCCATATGAAGAGGGAATGCAGACATCCCAGGGCCAAGACAGAGCAGCGCAGCGAAAGCTCATCGCGCGGAAAAGGCCGAGGCAAAGGCAAAGGTCCGGTGTCTAGGACAACGCAGCACAAGGCTATGGTTTCACGCTTCACTCCAAAGGTTGCAGAGGTCCAGAAGACGTCTAGATCTTTCTTCGTTGTTGATTCAGCGGCCACCCACCACATGTGCAACGATAAGAAACTGTTTGTGTCTTTTACACCGCAGGAAGGTGCGATTCACCAGGCGGATGACCACACTATTCCCAGTAAAGGCTACGGAACTGTTGTTCTTCACAGTTTGGGCTTATCGATACAGAATGTGCTTTACGTGCCAGACGCCAAACATAATCTGCTCAGCGTTGGACAGCTGAATGAGCGGAACATTGACGTTTCCTTCAAGAACAAGAAGTGCATCATCACAAAGAAAAATGATTATGTATTGCATGCAGAATATGTTGATCGTTTGTTTGTTTTGTATTATGATGATGTGGTGCAGGATGACACTTGTTGCATTGCAGGTTCTAACAAAAGTTTGCATGCAGAATGTATTCACGATTTTCATAGAAAATTTGGTCATTTGCATTTTGAGGCAGTATCTAAAATGCCTGCCTTGGTTGAAGGTATGACTATTAAACCCTGCAGGTACCACATGAAGTGCAAAGCATGCGCAGCAAACAAGGTGAAAATGGCTGCGAAAGGTAAGGTGTCTAGTAGGAAAGCTACAGAACCATACCAGGTTGTTCATGCTGATTTGGTTGGACCACTAGCGCCCTCTTTGGGTGGAAATAGATACTTCATGGTTCTCATTGATGCATTTTCTAGATATATTTTTGTGTACAATCTCAAGCAGAAATCGGAGGCTTTTCCTAGGTTCAAGGAATTCTGTGCTTGGTTGGAAAATGTGCATGGTAAGAAGATAAAGACTCTTTTCAGTGATCGCGGGGGGGAATTCACTTCTCAGCAGTTTGAAGCTTTTCTGACTGAGAAAGGAATTCAACACGATTTGTCTAGTCCTCGCTCGCCATGGCAGAATGGACTTGCGGAACGGGCAAATCAAACATTGCTTCAAGGATTAAAAACCTTGCTGCATGATGCCAATCTTCCAGAGAGTTATTGGGCCGAATCTCTCTCGTGTTTTGTTTACAGTTACAATCGCAGGTTATCTTCAGCGATTGGTTGTACCTCTATGAGAAGATGTTTGGCAAGAAGCCATACATTAAACACATGAAGATTTTTGGTTCTGACATGTGGGTTCGCTCACCACAAAACTCCAAGTTAGACAAGCGTGGATTGCATGGTATCTTTCTAGGTTATCAGAAAGGGTCTTACAGAATAATGATGACTGACTCTAAGACAATTAAGCTCACGAGAAGTGTTGAGTACAATGCAAAGGGGGGAGAATGTGGGAATTTTCCAATGTTATCCTGATGACGGTGATGAGACTGAGGATAGTCAAAAGCAACCACAACAGCCCACACCCACTGATGAAAGTTCTGAGTCTGAATCTGAAACTGAATCGGGTGATTCAGAGGATTTCAAGAGTGCGAAAGCCTCTATGCGACCCTCTGAAAGCTCTGATCAAGAATTGGAGGAACCATTGTTCACAATAGGTCGTTTTTCTCCTAGAAGGAAGAGGAGAGTGTTGAAGACTTAAGGCTAATTCGTAGGTCACAGAGAGCCACAAAAGGCAAACCTCCAAAGAGATTTGCTGATGAGTTTGCTAAGATAGCAGTAACAGCTGTTAAAAGCTCCAAGAAGGTATTTGAACCTTCAAGTTTCCAAGAAATCCAGGGTTTGGATTCAAAGGAAGCTGAGCCATGGTTAAATGCCATGAAGGCTGAGCTTGATTCCTTAGAAAGGAACAAAACATGGGAGCTAGTTCCAGTAGTTCCAGGAATGAAACTGCTTGGAAGCAAATGGGTCTTCAAAGCGAAGACAGATCAAAATGGCAAGATAGTCAGACACAAAGCCAGATTGGTAGCCAGAGGTTTTGCACAGGTACCAGGTGAAGACTATCACGAGACCTATTCACCCACAGTGAGATATGAAAGCATTAGGCTTATGCTTAAGCTAGCTGCAGAGGAAAATCTACACATTAGTCACCATGATATTAATACAGCTTTTCTGTACGGATCTCTAGATGAATCACTTTATATGCTTCCACCTGATGGCGTACAGGTAAAACAGGGATTTGTTTGTGCTCTGAAGAAATCCCTTTATGGTCTCAAACAAAGTGCACGGTGTTGGCACACAAAACTCACTGAAGTATTGTTTTCTCTAGGTTTTCAGCAAGGGAAAGCTGATCCATGTGTATTTGTCAAAGAGGAGGGGCAAAAGAAACTGTACTGTTTGTTTTATGTTGATGATTTATTATTCTTTTGGAAAGATGTTGCAATGTACAATAGCGCCCTAGCTCAACTGAAAGAGCACTTTGACATGAAAGATCTTGGTGAGGTAAACAACTACCTATCTCTGGAAATAGAGAGAGATCAAGATGGTAACATTCTAGTACACCAGTCACGGAAAATTGCTGATGTGTTAAGCAAACTAAATCTGATGGATGCTAACCCTGTAGACACACCGATGACAACAGGTTATCAGGTAGATGACACTGAAGAAGCATTTTCTGACACTACACTGTACAGGAGTGTGCTAGGCAAGCTAAACTTCATTGCCAGATGTTCAAGACCAGACATTGCTGTTAGCTGTAATTTGCTAAGCAGACAAGTCAACAATCCTAGTGTCAAGGATTGGAAAGCTCTGAAACGCATAGCGCGGTATTTGAAAGGCACTATGCATTACAGACTGAGATTTAACAATCAGAAGTCTGGTGGTCTTGAGATATTTGCAGATGCAAGTTTTGGAAGTGACGCTACAGACAGGAAAGGTACGTCTGGAGTTTGCTACATGTACAATCAGAGTCTGTTTGATTGGTCATGCAAGAAGCAAACAACAGTTAGCTTAAGTACTTGTGAAGCCGAACTGAATGCACTGTCTTATTCACTTAAGGATTGTGAATGGTTAGTACAATTGTGCAAAGATATGAAAATTCCTGTCAAATGTCCAATCCAGGTTTACCAGGACAACAAAGCATGTTTGGCTTTGCTGAAGTCTGAAGGTTGTAAGCAAAGCACAAAGCACTTGCAATTAAAGTTGCAGCATGCTAGGGAATGTATTCAGAAGGGACTCGTAACGGTGTCCTATATGCCAGGTAATGAAATTCCTGCTGATGTATTGTCCAAGATTGTATCGAGGGATCAACACTGTACCTATGTGCAGAAGTTGGGTTTGTACTGATATTGTGCAAACACGCTGCCCAGTGATGTTCACAGAAAGGGGAGGATGTTGGTTTCTGCTTTCCTTCACTGTGCAGCTCTGCTTGTCACGAGACAGGTGTTTACATTCCACAGTCTGTACTGTTGGAGTTTCTCACGGGAAAGGGAGACTGGATGTGACGCACACTGGTTTCCTGTTTTTTCACTGTGTGATTCTCTCCGAGCTGTCGAGGAGAGAGGATGCATTTTCTGCTCCGGCAGAGGCAAGATGTCTTTCTGTAATATACCAGCTTTGAACTGTAAATAAAAGCAATATAGAGTATGCAGCACATTTTCCTCATCCTTCCGCTGGGCACGAGACTCTGCTTAAATCAACAGTTACATGTGCTTAAATCCAACTGATGAGTGTAAATAGACTCAGGATTACAGCTACTGCGGAGAAGGGCATGGGAATTTGAGTGAAGAGAAGCAGGATTTCTATAAGTAACTGAGATACTAGGACTGATAATCGCTGATTTAAAAAAGGCAAAATAGAACAGTTCCAGATAGCTGAGGTACTCTCACCACAGCTCCCCCCCCCCCATTTCATAATATGAAACAAGACAGTCTAAAGGTTTAGTGTCTCTGTACTGAACAACTCTCTTTGCACTGTGTAATGATATGTTGCACTCTTTCAGTATATGAGCTTCCAAGAGGAATTCTGCTTCCCCATGTGAAATAAGTTCCTTCCAGCAGCACAGGGAAATGTTCTGGGCCCAAGAAAACTGGTGTCCAAAAACATGTTCAACAAGATTCCTGGAGGCCAAAGTTTATTTAAGCTAATGACTCCTTACTAGGGACCCAGAAACCCCAGGAAGGTGTTACTCCAGGGATCATGGAGCCAACAATACTATTGCCACAATCAAGGTCACAAAAGTAGACCTTTGTTGCATCTACCAAGTAAATCATGGTGGGTGGGGAAGAAAGGGAGGGAGTGGATTGGGACTCATCTGGAGCTTGTGGAGGCCTGCAGTCCTTGCTATATTCCTCTGGGGTGTGAAGGCCTTGTCAATCCCCAATAACGCTATTGGGAGCATGCCAAACCCAGAGCCCCCCAATTCAAAGGAACAATTTTGAGTCCAATTTGAACCAAGACAAATTTATTCATTTTAAGTATGCCCTTTCTGAATCAAGCCCAACTCATTCATCAGTAGCAGTATTTTACACCATTACAGATGTTTGCAACCTGGCAAAGGGGACAAAATTCCTAAAAATTAGCCTAATTTACACTGAGCTGTAAATAGGCTCTATATGCACAAAGGCCTTCTGGGCCAGTGTGCACATTTGGGAGGGGGGAATGGCTGCTATTGGGGCATGGCATGACACAAAATGACTACTTTGGGGGCTGGTGTAATGGCTGCCACATCTAAAGAGCAGAAAAAAGAGAAAGGATCACAAAATGGTGTGGCCATGCTCCACCCACCAACCACTCCATCAATGGAAAAAGACACCTACATCGGCCACTACTATACTCACTCACAGAGGGAAGCGGCTTATAGCTGTTTTCAGGTAAGCCCATATCAGGAGACCCACTAATATTGGAGGCAACCTACCAGAGCACAGTTTACCAGAGGCTCCTTCAAACCTGAAGCTAGCCTTGTTAAGAATGGTGGCATATTTTTAAATAAAGAGTTGACTTTTTTTCTCTTCACATAGATTGCTCCTGCTAGACAGTGAGTAAGGTCAGAAGCTCTTGCATAAAACAGCTACTGGCTACTGATGTCCAGTCAACTGTATTCTACTCAGAGTCACATTTCTCTGATACTCCCCTCTTCCACCAGCAGTATTCAGTTGTTAGATGTGCTCTATGATGATAGGATGCAGGAGCAAAGCCAGTAGAATTGATAAATAGGACCTGCAGCTAACAGTGGCAGTATGGAGTCTTGTTATCATTATTTTGTTCCTGTTTACTGGTCCAGTTAGTCAGCACTCCTCCACAGTGATCTGCCCTAGGGGTCGCCAACAGGGTGCTCTCTCTGATGAATCACTATGCTTGCTTTGGCTGATGAGACCTGGAGTCCAGCATCTGGAGGGCATCACATTATCTGCTACTGGTAGGAAGGGAAGGAAATAGAGCAGGGGTAGCCAGTATGGTTGACCTGTGCTGCTCACCTGACCTCCCTCTGGCTGAGTTCGAAGATGGATTCCAGGATGGAGAATTCCAGCATTCAAGGATGGAGAGGAGTGTGGGGCAAGGTACTGCAAAGTCAGTGTGGATCAATCCACCTAGGTTTCTGACCATCAGTATTTTGTGGTTATTCTTGAGATCTCCTATTCAGGTTTTTACTTCAGATATTTTTGTTTACTTCTGCCCTTCTCCCACACCCTGGAAGCTGCTGATACCTGCCTGTTTTCTGTGAAAGGTGCCATTTTAACTACATAAGCAATGGCACTCAAAGCCTGAACATATTAAATAAAAGGAATGGTGGTGGTATTAGAAGATGCCAGTCTACCTTGCCTTTCTTTCACATGTAGCAAAATCCTAGACACATCTACACTGAAGCTGGTCTTATTAAGTTCAATGGGACATTCTTAGGTAAGCAGGTACAGGATTTCAGCTTAAGCCTTTCATCAACTAGCTTGCAAACATGAAACTGAACGGAAAATATTACATAATTCAATATGATCTTAATAACTGCAAATATCTTACATGACCTTTGAGACCCTGTCTAAGCTGCAAGTGACCCTATCCATCTAATTATTCTACTAAATTGTCAGATGGTGTAAAGTAAAACAGAGAAAAGGCAAAAATACTAGATCAGTTTTCCTTTAATTCTCCCAGATAATCAGATCAACTCTTCGTTATATTTCTTCTGCTTATCCCACTCAGAAAACCCCTACTCAGAAAAGCTTTAAGCATATCCTGAAATCCCACTTGCATAAACCCAGACTCAAGGGTTTTGCTGTAAATTTAAGTAGCGACTCACTTTTGAAGCTGCGCTAAGTGTTTTATTTGGCAGAGATCATTTAAACACATGCACACTAACATACACACTAACAAACCATGTGAATTGAACAAACTAGGTTCCAAGACCTAAGCATGCTAATTCTTAAGACATCTACAGAAGTTTCTGATGGACTTGGTTGATAATAAGTCACAAATGTACATGCTCTCTCATACCCTTCCCAGGCTTCAGTACTGCCTCTGGCAATAGCTTTTACAGTTTCACTATGCATAATATTAAGCCAAACCATGACTTAGCATGAATGAGCATGCCTGGAGAGGAGGTCACAGCTGCTTTGGATCTGTTCTAGTTCTACTGCTGCACTGTGCTGAGTTAAGTCGTGGTTTGGCTAGTTGGTCATCTGAACGTGGGCTTGTGGTTTAGCTCTCCCAGAAATGCCAAAGTAGGACAAATATTGGCTAGAGGTCATGGTTTGTCTGGAGAGAGCTAAGCCCCATGTTCAGAAGACATGCTGAGAATCCCAAGGATCAGATGGAGAGTCCAGAAGGGCCACAATTGCCTTTCTGACCTCCCACTTCTGCCTTAAAATGGAACTCTTGAAAATCTGCCATCTAAAATATTTGAAGAATAAACATTAACATGAGCCAACAAAACAGCTCTTCCATACTTGAGTATTGTTAAGAAAAAGCAGGTCAAGTCAAGCCCAAGGAGTGAAGTGAACAATCCAGAAGAATGTCCTTCCCAAGTACCTTTCCCCTTCTCTCTCATTATTTGAACATGAGGAAACAGAACCATAGAAAACCCCATATGATCAGCTCTCAAGATTGAATATGTTGCATACTCTATGTAGAATCATAAACTATAAATAGCAAGGTATGATTTCAAACCTATGATTATGTGAATGTTTTCCATTTCTTCTGTGTCATTAGAGCAAATGAAGTTGTAGTTTTAAAAATTACTCTTAATAGTAGACTAAACAAATTGCTAATGTGATAGATGAACGTAGTCCACCACTACTGTTATTATGAATTAGTCTTAGATATTTACCTCATCTTGCTGGGAATTTAATAACTGTAGCTTCATGTGCTTCATGTAGGCCATTGTGATTGGCATGTTGTAATCAATCATGCTGGTAACCAAAGTTGGGGGCTTCCCATTATCTGTAAGAATAAACAAAGATTAAAAAAGGTATGATTATGGAGTTTTCTATAAACAAAATAATTACAAATAAATGGTATATAGTACTTCCTACTATGGGTGTGTTTCATCATGAAACACTGCTTTACAGCCGTCATGATGTGTGAACTGAGTCCCCTGAAAAAGTCCTATGTGACAATGTTTTGGTGGATTTTAGCACTTTCTTGTTATATTTATATTCCCCCTTTCTTCCATGATGACACTCAAAGCAGCAAGCACAGGGTTTTCAGGCATTATTTCATTCAGCTACAAGTCAATCCTGATACCTTTAGCATCTGCAAGGTCACCATATTATGTGCCAGAATAATAGAATGGCCTGATTTAACTAGCATTCTAACTGTGCTAGAGAGTAAGTCCAGCAAGGAGTAAGACTGGATGGAATGGATAGGGGCAAGGAATGCTTCCTGTGTCGTTCAAGGATGAGAAAAGACTTCTGAGAAAATTTGCTCATTTTTCAAATCTCTTTGGGCTTCCCTCAAAATTTCTCCTGAGGAGGAATCGCCTCATTGCTCTAAAATGTTAACTTTAGTTGGAATTCTAATGGCAGTAGTACTATGTATAGGTTTGTGTGTGCATAATAATAATAATAATAATAATAATAATAATAATAATTTATTTATATAAAAGACTAAGAAGGGGGTATTGTCCTTTGTCTCAAAATATATATTCAGTATAGGGCTCCTTGGTACCTTAAATGAGCCCTTATTTTTACTTTTATTTATTTGTTTATTAAAATAATTTCTAACTTGCCTTCCTGAACATTCCACACACACACGCCCCACAAGTTGCTTCACAAAAAAATGTCCATGAAGTCGTATAAACAATTTATGGAACAATCCCCTTTAAATGAGCAGCAGCAAATAAAAATGAGTAAGAAACTACATTAGTCTGATCTTCACCCTGCTGAGGGCATCAACATTCATGAGAGCACGTGAAGGCCTTTACATTAGGGGCGATACAAGCTTCATTTGCTGGCATCTCAGGTTCCTGTAGTCCTTATTATCTTTGGTATTTTAAGTTGCTCCATCGTGCTACCCTGACAGAAGGTTGTTGTTGTTGTTTAGTCGTTTAGTCGTGTCTGACTCTTCGTGACCCCCTGGACCAGAGCACGCCAGGCACTTCTGTCTTCCACTGCCTCCCGCAGTTTGGTCAAACTCATGCTGGTAGCTTCGAGAACACTGTCCAACCATCTCATCCTCTGTTGTCCCCTTCTCCTTGTGCCCTCAATCTTTCCCAACATCAGGGCCTTTTCCAGGGAGTCTTCTCTTCTCATGAGGTGGCCAAAGTACTGGAGCCTCAGCTTCACGATCTGTCCTTCCAGTGAGCACTCAGGGCTGATTTCCTTAAGAATGGATACGTTTGATCTTCTTGCAGTCCATGGGACTCTCAAGAGTCTCCTCCAGCACCATAATTCAAAAGCATCAATTCTTTGGCGATCAGCCTTCTTTATGGTCCAGCTTTCACTTCCATACACCACTACTGGGAAACCCATAGCTTTAACTATACAGACCTTTGATGTCTCTGCTTTTTAAGATGGTGTCTAGGTTTGCCATCGCCTTTCTCCCAAGGAGCAGGCGTCTTTTAATTTTGTGACTGCTGTCGCCATCTGCAGTGATCAGGGAGCCCAAGAAAGTAAAATCTCGCACTGCCTCCATTTCTTCCCCTTCTATTTGCCAGGAGGTGATGGGCCCAGTGGCCATGATCTTCGTTTTTTTGATGTTGAGCTTCAGACCATATTTTACGCTCTCCTCTTTCACCCTCATTAAAAGGTTCTTTAATTAAGGGACGGGGTTTTGAGAATGGGATTGAGGCGATATATTCAGAACAGAAAGCTAAATTGATAGTTAATAATGTGGTCACAGAAGAGTTCAAAATTGAAAAAGGGACACGACAAGGTTGCCCTATCTCCCCTTTGTTATTCATTTCGGTTCTGGAAGTGCTATTGAACATGATTAGAGGGGATCGGTTGGTGGAAGGAATTCAGGTTGGTCAGAAACAATATAAACTAAAAGCTTTTGCAGATGACCTGGTTTTGACCCTGCAGAAGCCAGAGCCCAGTACGAAAAGAGTATTACAATTGATTAATGACTTTGGTCGGGTGGCTGGATTTAAATTAAATAAACAGAAAACTAAGGTTTTGGGGAAAAATTTAACTGATACAGAGTCAGAACGGTTTCAGAATGAGACGGAACTCAATGTGGTTAAAAAAGTAAAATACCTAGGGGTAAATATAACAGCAAAAAACCTAAGTCTATTTAAGGACAATTATGAAAAATGCTGGACAGAAATTAAAAGAGACTTAGATAGTTGGTCAAAACTGAAACTTTCTTTGGTAGGCCGAATCGCTGCTATTAAGATGAATGTATTGCCAAGGATGTTGTTTTTATTTCAGACACTTCAGGTTTTGGACAAAATGGAGTGCTTTCAGAAGTGGCAGAGAGACATTTCTAAGTTTGTCTGGCAGGGCAAAAGGCCCAGAATTAAGTTTAAGATATTAACTGATGCAAAACAAAGAGGGGGCTTTGCCCTGCCAGACTTAAAGTTGTATTATGAAGCCGCAGCGTTCTGCTGGCTAAAAGACTGGCTACTTCTTGAAGACACTGATGTGTTAGATCTGGAAGGGTTTAACAATGTTTTTGGATGGCATGCATATTTATGGTATGACAAAGTTAAAGCAAATAAGGCCTTCAAGAACCATATTGTCAGAAAATCACTGTTTAATGTCTGGACAAAATATAAAGACTTGCTGGAAAACAAAACACCAAGGTGGCTTTCACCTTTGGAAGCTAAGGCGCGAAAAAGACCCAATATGGAGGCTAAATGGCCAAAATATTGGGAAATATTAGAAAAGGATGGAGACAATTGGAAATTGCAGAGTTTGGAGAAAATGAAAGACAAAGTGCGAGATTGGTTACATTACGCTCAGATTAAAGAAGTTTTTAAAAATGATAAGAAATTAGGGTTCCAGGTGGAGAAATCGAAACTAGAAACAGAATTGTTAGAACCAAAGATTAAGGTACTTTCAAGGATGTATAACTTGCTGTTGGAATGGAATACACAAGATGAAACGGTTAAATCGGCTATGATAAGGTGGGCACAGGACATTGGGTATAATATTATGTTTGAGGACTGGGAAAGGTTGTGGAGTAATGGATTGAAGTTTACCGCATGTAACGCTCTGAAAGAAAATGTAATGAAAATGATTTATAGATGGTATATGACCCCAGTCAAACTTGCAAAAATTTACCACCTGTCTGATAATAAGTGTTGGAAATGTAAAGAGTCTGAGGGAACGTTCTTCCACCTCTGGTGGACTTGCCCTAAAGTGAAGGCGTTCTGGGAGATGATTTATAACGAACTGAAAAAGGTATTTAAATATACCTTCACTAAGAAACCAGAGGCTTTCCTTTTGGGTATTGTCGGCCAAGGGGTGGCAAGGAAGGATCAGACATTTTTATGTATGCAACAACAGCAGCAAGGATACTTCTTGCAAAACATTGGAAAACTCAAGATCTACCCACACTGGAAGAATGGCAGATGCAACTGATAGACTACATGGAACTGGCTGAAATGACCGGCAGAATCCGTGACCTGGGAGAAGAAAGGATTGAGGAGGATTGGAAGAAATTTAAGAACTATTTACAAAAATATTGCAACTTGAGTGAATGCTAAATAAGATGCTAGACTAAAATAACTGAGCACCACTAAATTTAGAAGTTTTCTATGAAAATAAGTAAGACTGTGAAAATTTAATTCCCTTTGAAAATTATAAGATTATGAAATATAGAAGCGATATAAGAATTTAAATAAGATGATAAATTGCTGACAAAATGTTATAACGATGAAAGTGGGAGCGGGAGATGTGAGGAAGTCCAAAGAAAATGTGAAATTATGTCAAGACAAAGGTCATATTGTTTAATATGTTTATTTTTATTGTAAAACCCAATAAATTGCTTTAAAAAAAAAAATAATAATAAAAGGTTCTTTAATTCCTCCTCACTTTCTGCCATCAAGGTTGTATCATCTGCATATCTGAGGTTGTTGATATTTCTTCCGGCGATCTTAATTCCGGCTTGGGATTCATCCAGCCCAGCCTTTCGCATGATGAATTCTGCATATAAGTTAAATAAGCAGGGAGACAATATACAGCCTTGCCGTACTCCTTTCCCAATTTTGAACCAGTCAGTTGTTCCATATCCAGTTCTAACTGTAGCTTCTTATCCCACATAGAGATTTCTCAGGAGACAGATGAGGTGATCAGGCACTCCCATTTCTTTAAGAACTTGCCATAGTTTGCTGTGGTCGACACAGTCAAAGGCTTTTGCATAGTCAATGAAGCAGAAGTAGATGTCTTTCTGGAACTCTCTAGCTTTCTCCATAATCCAGCGCATGTTTGCAATTTGGTCTCTGGTTCCTCTGCCTCTTCTAAATCCAGCTTGCACTTCTGGGAGTTCTCGGTCCACATACTGCTTAAGCCTGCCTTGTAGAATTTTAAGCATAACCTTGCTAGCGTGTGAAATGAGTGCAATTGTGCGGTAGTTGGAGCATTCTTTGGCACTGCCCTTCTTTGGGATTGGGATGTAGACTGATCTTCTCCAATCCTCTGGCCACTGCTGAGTTTTCCAAATTTGCTGGCATATTGAGTGTAGCACTTTAACAGCATCAACTTTTAAAATTTTAAATAGTTCAGCTGGAATATCATCACTTCCACTGGGCTTGTTATTAGCAGTGCTTTCTAAGGCCCATTTGACTTCACTCTCCAGGATGTCTGGCTCAATGTCAGCAACCACACTACCTGGGGTATACGAGACATCCATTTCTTTCTGGTATAGTTCCTCTGTGTATTCTTGCCACCTCTTCTTGACAGAAGGTACATGCATCTTTTTAGATAAATATTTTGAGTTTATAAATCCAAAACATTGTGACTATTCATGCACGCTATCTCCTCCTTGGACACACAAAAGTGGACACACAAAAAGGAAGAGGGGGGAGAATGTTTCCCTCAGGTAAAATTACTATTTTAGCAGGAACATGGTATTACACATAATCCTTTGAGAGAATGTAGAAGACTACTATATTCTGACTTAAGTGAATGAGACAATATGACTTGTTGAACCGTTCTAGTGTACAATGTTTTATGAGTCTTCATTTAAACCAAGGAAATATAAATGGGCATTATGAATAAAATTACTTTACATCCCACTATTTGGCACTAAAGTTACCTTTGTGATCTGCTCCATCTGGGTTTAAATGCATTCTTTTCTGGCACTCTGAGCAGCTCATTAGAAATCGTGTCACTGCTTCTCTTGGTAGAAAGGCATAGGTCTCTGAAATCTGAAATGAATAACAAAATATAGGCATCATGTAAGTTGATTGAACTCATCATTGTATTTCTGAATAAAATGTACATATCATAATTGCTGGAAGTAAAAAGCATGCGCTACACAATATATATTTTTTAAAAAACAGCAATTTAATGTCTGCTTATCAAATAAGGATATGTTTATAAATTGGCTGTTCACAAAGCCTTCAGTTTTGGTTGAATTATTTCAATTTAATAGGTGGCTTTCTGGAAGCTACCCTTAGAAAACCACTAGGGATACCTTGGACCCTTTCCAGACATCCTCTTTAGTGAGCATTTTTGGTGATCTGTGGTCATGATGCTAAGGGGACAGGGTGCCATATATTTTCAATACTGTCTGCACCTGTAAAGGTTTTTGGGGTGGTCACACTGCTGCTTTTTCATTTATTGCATATCCCGTAACTTTCTGCTGAAATCCTGTAACTTTTAATAGCACAAACGTTCCACTTTAATTTTCTCCCACTTTTGTGCTATAGCCCCTCCAGACAGCAATAATGTAGTGTCCCTGGGGATATTAATAACTAATAAAGCAGAATAAGTCCACCAATGATGCACTATTATTGTGGCAAGAGCATGTGGCACAATATACCTGCAATAAAACACCAATCTGCAAGGGCCCCTTGTTCAGATCTTGGGGGAATGAGTTGCTAGTGATATCATTCTTCAGGCTTCAGAACAAGAACAAACACACACACACACACACACACACACACACAAGTTTCTAAAGTTAAAACTCCTGTGTGGGAGTCTCTAGCACACATTCATTTAAATGGATTTGGATGAACACTTAGGTGCCATCATGAATGCACAGTGTGATTTCACACAGCATATTTTGAACTTTTAATAACATAATGCCGGGCAATTATGTTTTATAGCCTAATGTGGATCGTCAAAAGAATATTGGCATGTGGAGTACTCCTGTTCAGAATTACAGCCAGCTGTGCCTTCTTCTAGCATAGGCCAGTCCATTCCCCCTTCCTACCATTTTGCACCCCGATAATCAGCATTATTTGTGCTCATTCCTCATGGGGCCACCTTTGGAGTTGATACCTTTAAGAGTTTTGTTTTCCTAAAGATTTTTTTTGTACTTAAGCAAATTTTGGGGTTCTTCCTAGCCTTCAGATACCTTTGTCTTGTGAGTGGATGGTGTTGTTCAGTTATATCCATGGTTGCAGAATCAGTTCATAGTTAGTAAGTTGACTCTTTAACAAAGGGAACCCTCACCCCCATGGCTTCTAAAGCAATGAGATGGACAGTTTGATAAAGAATATAGCAGGTGAACTACAGATTTTCACCGTGTGTAATGGGGGAAGGTGTGGGGCATGCAAAGTGATCTTTGGTATGAGAATAGTGTGTGAATAGGGTGCATAGATTTTCACCTGTGAAATCCTGGAGGGTAGGGGCATTGTTAGAGGATGACCTAGTGGGCCCCAGGCCTGCATCTTTAGTGCCAGCCCCCAGAACTCCTGGCCCTTGCCCTCTTTTTAAAATTTATGCTTAAAATGATTCTTTAAAAAACATTATAACTGAGCATGTCACAACATACTACCACTGAAATCCCACACCCACCCATCATCTTAATTTTCCCAGAAGCCTTTATTTTACTTTTAATATATTCAAAAGCAGTAGTTGTTGTCAACTGTGTTTCAGGTGGAGGGCTCAATAAACATACAGTGTACCAGAACCAGAAAGTAATGTTGGTACACCATAGCTCAAAGTAGGGCTTGAATAGCAATGGGCAAAGATGTCAATTTCAGATTCTCTTGGTTTCTTATTTTTCCAATCTAGGATTCTCCACATTTCCACATTTGTTTGTCAATAATAATAATAATAATAATAATAATAATAATAATATCCTCATGAAGAATAATCTGCATTTTAGTGTGAATTTCTTGTAACAGACTTGTTTTTTTGCATTTTTTTCTGATATACACATTTTTGCAAAGCTTTTTGCCCAATGTAATGCATTTTTGTGTGCTGTTTTAGCTAACACGTACATTTAAATGCATAACATATAAATTTACCCTAGTATATTCATTTTTGTACACATTAGTTGATCAGAAAGCTGCATTGCAAAATTCAGAGAAATGTGAATTTCAAAGAAAGGCTATGTTTCAGTTTCCATATTGTTCCAGAAAGTATGAATTAAGTAGGCTTGGCTTTAAATATTAACTGAGTCAAATTTCTCCCTCATCTCTATCCTTTTTTTCCTTTCTGAAAGCCAGCCTAAATTTTCATCTAGACATATAATTTAAACTATGCAAATATTATGCAAACTCATGCAGTGTCTTTTTAAGTACCTTACAATGCCCCTGTTGGAGGGAATGCTTTTTCCTCATAAAATAAGAGTGTTACACAAACCTCTCTTTATATATTCCACTGTAAAAGTTCAAAACTGGAGACTGTCACTTTTCACCCAGCAACATTGACAATTTCATTCGCCATTCTTGAAGCTGCTGTTGACATAGCAATGGGGAGATAGCAGCCAAGTAGGCACCCATCCACCATGGTTGGACCCCACTCCAGCAGAGAACCCCCCTGCCCCTGCCACCCATCAAGCAAGCAATTTTCATCTTGATGCTGTGGCCGTCAGATGGAAGGAAGGCAGGTAGAAGTCACGCACCCATTCACTCTGCCAGTTCCACACTTTGCAACAAGGAACAATTGCACTAGATGCTGCCAAGCTGCTGCCAGGAAGACTAAATGAGTGAATATTTAAAATAGAGATTGAAAATAATTAGAACCCTTATACATTCTTTAGCAGCACTTTTCAGAATTTGGCTGCACCGAAATTAATGGAGCATACCTTTGGATTCATTAACCGTCTTGGATTTTGAGAGAGAACGTTTCGTTTATTTTAATGGAACATTCCTGTTGGGTTCTCAATCTACACAAGTAGGATAGCAATATTGCATGGGAAACAATAGAACTAAGTCTCTGAATTGATACTCGTCCAATTCATTGAAATGTGATCTGACATTTCACAAATGCACATTAAATTTGCCTCCATGGCAGAACAATTACACCTGATTCTCTGAGAATGGTACAAAGAGAGACTGTTTTGCTATCCTTCACTAACTACTCTCTCCATAGCATAGCATATTCGCTTGCTACAGAGGCAGCCAGTGGAATTTGAATATGTCTTCAGTACTGTCTGGCCATAACCTGCTTTGTTTCAACCAACCTAACAAACCCTGGATCATTCTGCTATGGATACATAACAAGAAGAATTGAAGTGACATTTCTCAACTCTCCACCCACACTCAACACAGCAGGTACAGTTGTACAAGATGTGCTTGTTGAGTCTTGCTAGCAGTACTAGTCACCAGATAAGAGAGTGGTGGGAAGAAAATGGGAGCAGAGGCAAGGTCATGCCTGCATCCATCTCTCTCTCCAAGCATACAGGGACTCCACTGCAGGAGGCTAGCATGCCACGGAAGTGGATGCCTATAAGGACATGTTGTGCTTTTCCTTAGAAAAGCATGATGCTTCCCTGAATGCATTCTGTAGTTTACAACTGTACAACTGTATTAAGAACAGCAGTGTCCTTTGTGTCCTCAACTGGCTTCCACAACTTCAAGTGGTTTATTTGGGTACGTTGTAGACTGCACTAACATACTTTCAAACTAAGCCTTTTCTTATCCATAACCAAGGCTGCTACAATACAGTGGTACCTCAGGTTACATACGCTTCAGGTTACACACGCTCCAGGTTACAGACTCTGCTAACCCAGAAATAGTGTTTCAGGTTAAGAACTTTGCTTTAGGATGAGAACAGAAATCAGGCTCTGGCAGTGCGGCAGCAGCGGGAGGCCTCATTAGCTAAAGTGGTGCTTCAGGTTAAGAATAGTTTCAGGTTAAGTACGGACCTCCGGAACAAATTAAGTACTTAACCTGAGGTACCACTGTATTTTATTTATAATACTGTTGACCTGAAGAAAATAAGAGGGTATATATCTCTCATGGTGTTCTGAAAGAGGTATGTATGTTGTACATATAAAGGACAATCATGCTGAAAATGTTTTCATTTGATTCAGCAACCAAAAAGAACTAAGAAGGAGGAAAGAAACTCCACAGCTCCACAAGGCAACTTGAACCACTATCAAGCCATTATAAAAATTGGACTTATAGCTGCTTTAAATTTGCTCTGCTGCAACTTGAACCAATTGCTTATTGTCCTACTACTCATACTGCCTTTAGTAAAGTTGTATTTGCCTATCTTCTATAGTGTGGTGTTTAAAGCATGTACACTCTTTTTATTCTATTCTTCTGTGCCATGCTTCTCAGTTCCGGTGTCATTTTTACTGCTGTCTTCAAAATCCTCTGCAGTCTGACTATATCCCTTCATACAGGCATGCAACCCTCAAGATGTTTGGTTTTTAGCATATATACAATCTTCACTCATTGCTGGATGATACAGTGGTTTATTTACAGCACTGGGGAAATGATATTATGGCAGAAATTATGCAAGACCCGCGGAAATGCATTTGGATGGCTAAGCCTTCTAATTCTTTTTGTCTAAACTTTAGAGAACTGTCATTAAAAGGTGTGAGCAGGTGGCATTTTGTAACCTACAGACTCTCATACATATTGCAAAAGGGCTCAGACCAAGGTTGAAAAGGAGGTGGCTAAAGAGATATGTACTGTATGTAGGAATGTGAGAAAGTACATCTGAAAACTTATTTTGACTGAAGTTTATAAAACTGTGGGTCATCCTATCCCAGAAGATCTGATAGGGGTCTTATTGCATAAATTTGAAAATGTTTTTTGCACTGCAGGCAGCATGTTTCTTGGTATATATTTATTAGCAGCAGTGAAAACAGTTTTTGCCAGTGAGTGGCAAGATAATGAGCTCCCTACTGAAGATCATGGTCTGGCTGAAGTATAGAACATATCCCCCCCCCCCCCATGACAATTGAACCAACAAAGGATTGACAACCATGAGCAAGAGAAAGCCAGAGGCCTTCATGGGAGGTTGGTCCAATTGGTTACTCTGTTGATTATACAATCTCAATACAGTATCTTTTGTTTGGTTTTTTAAACTACCTATGTACTGTTAACTTTGTATTTCTTAATTACTGGCATGATCTTTATCAGATAAGGCCTTCCTTTGTTCTTTCACTCTGGGCTATGAATAGTGACTATTTCTTATTTCTTAATTTCTTAATTTCTTAATTTGAGGAAATCTTATACTGAAATTAAGGACTCAAGAGAACACGTGTTGTTTTATTTTCTGTTTCTTTTATTCTTGGTTTTCTAGGAATGTTACCCTTTTCATTTTGTATATTGGGTAAAACCTAGAGATCAATGATTATGTTCCTGCTCACAATAGGAAGGAAACAATTAGCTGTATGTGCATATTCAGAACAGTTGCAAGTGTCAATGCCTTCAACAGGGAAAGTCAAAATTTGCAAAAAAATTAAAAAACCCCTACAATTTAATGCAGTTTTCACAAAAAGAAATATAGAACCTAGTCTTAGGTCATCAAGCTAATATGTTGTATCAATTCACGGGGAGCACAAGAAACTAAATAAAGACAGTATTATTTTCCCAAACCCACAATTATTTCAATTTAGGAAGGTTTATAAACTGCTTAATCAAAACACTCTCTAAACAGCATACATAGTAAAATTATAGACAAAATACAGTTAAATGCACAAACCTATTAAAATATATAAATAAAATAATTATAATTAAAACACAGAAAAATTAGTAACACTTTTCAAGGCATCTTGAAAATCTTGGTGGCTAAGTTACATGTCTGAGTAGGTTTGCTGAAATAAAAAAGTTTTCAGTAAGCATCTAAAACAATATAGTGATGGCATATGCCAGTGTCAATAAGTAGGGCATTCCAAAGCACAGGTGTTGCTACACTAAAAGATAAACTCTTCACAAATGTGGTACAGACATTCTGTGGCACTTGTAGAAGTGCAAGTTCTGCAGATTGAAGTGGTTGAATACACACATATGGGGCAAGGTGATCCCTTAAGGAAACTGGTCCCAGAATAAGGGTATACCTTTCCTTATCTTTAAAATTCTTCTGCCACTTTAAAGTGGTACATATGGTAATTGCTATTGCATGGTAAAGCTGACCATAAGAAGCAGCTCATCTTGCAGTTGGAGTTATTTCTCCATACCAGAGCAAGATATTATCTTGAAACATTTGTGTTCATTTGGAGAACATGTCCCCAATATGCAGTGAGCGACACCATATAAACAGCTTAGCATATGATAACAGCCAACTGCAGCAATTTAGAACAGTTTCCATTCAACAGCCATAGCTAAGGTGCAAATACCTTTAGCTTCAGCACCACACGTTTACAGGAAAGGCACTGTGGTTTTTGAATGCACTGTGTATTCTCAAAAACTTTTTTTTAAAAAAGAGTTCCTTCAAAAATGTGCACACTGGTCCTCATTTTCACCTTGCAGCAACCGCACAAATATATTGAAAGGAGTCGACTCTTCTTAGGAGGAGCAACTAAATGACAGAAGTTTAATACTAGTAGATTTCAAAATCTGCAGTTAGCAGGTAACCAGAATAAAGCATGTAGGTTTATATTAAACAAGGGTTTAGCTTTGCATGACTCTTTAAGGATTATGCAGAAGACTGTATCCACAAAACTGAAGCTTTTTTGTTTTCTTAAGAACTGGGCTTTCATATGAAGCAATTTTGAACCTGTCAAATACAAATTTTACAAAAGTGCTTTAGATGGTATTGTGAGAAAGAAGACAGGTTATTCATACTTTGGCTGCACAAACAGAAAAACTATGCTGTTGAATAGAGCAGGTAAATTTCTAGATGCAAGGAAAGATGGCATACAACAACTTCATCTACTATGAATCATCTATTTGACCACAAACTGCCCTACATGTACTGTACTCTTGTGACATATAAATTCCTGTCCCAAGTAGTTTCCCTATTTTACACAATAGTTGTAAGCACAGAATCACATCAGACGGTACTGAGGGGCTGAGACTAAAGGCCAGAACCTATATTGGTATCCATGGGCAGGAAAGTGTGTACAACATAATGTGGAACAACTGCTCTATTTGCCTTGTGACACTTATAGGAGAACTAGAATTCATGCTGAGCTTGTTCACAACTGAAACCAAATCATGGTGTGGCATTACATGAGCATGTCTGAGGCTTATGCACTCAATCATCACCAGGTCTTGTGAAGTGCTATGCATGGGGCTTCCCAAGTACCATTGATGAGCTGATCATTGGGTCTTGAAAAGTCCCATGTATCCACAAGTCTCCACAAGACATGGTGATCAGCACATCATTACTGGGGAGCTCCAGTTCAGGTGGTTAAGATTAAAAAGGCTACTCTCTAACTTGCTTCATGGCTCTGTCTCCCTCTGCTCTTCTGGATTCAGGTCTTCTGACCAATTCCTGCCTGTTCCTCTCCAGCACAACTGCTGCCATATTGTTCTGCTGCTGGTTGCTGTTCCTCCTTTGTTTGTTTGACAGCTGATGATGGGGAATTGGGGAGGATTTATGTTCAGAGCCTAGCATTTTGCCTAAGCAGTCAGCTTGTTTGGCCTCAGGCTGGTCAGACTCTAGACAGCTTTTAAGCCAACAGTAGCCAAAGCCAAAGGAGAGCCTATTATTCACCCCTGCCTACAAAGCCCCATTGTGATGTAACAGTACATCATTCAGAGGCATCAGAGTGTGGGGGTAAGGTAGGTAGGGAGAACAGAGTTCAAGAAGATTGGGAAGAGGAAAGCTGAAGCATTAAAGCTAGACCATCAGGAATGAAGTTCAGTAAGGGTCACAGGCCTCCTTCTGAACAGGTCCTTTGCTAGTTGGAAAATGAAAGAACCATGCACTGAAAATGTAACCCCATTATCCTAACTTAAGATTGTTTTCCTCTATATTATTTAAAACAAGGGAAATTATTTGAGAGAGTAGTTCATCAGTAAAGGAGAAGGGATTTTGCCATATATATTCTTGGTTAACTGCTACCACAAATAAGTTTTGTTTCAAAAACTTCAATAAAAATAAAGTTTAAAACCTATAGGAATCAGTTAGATGTGAGCACATAAGTTTGTATGAGCATCATATATATTTATTTCTCAATCACTTATACAGACATGACATATAATGCCTTCCTGAACACATGAGAATGTATAAGAAACAAAACTGAAATATATTTAGCTAATGATTTTTAATCTGCTTTGATCCTGGTATGTCCTCATAATTTCCACCACAGAAATGAAGTCAAGCAACTCACACACTATTTGGGCATAACATAATGTAACCTATATAATTTCCCCTTAAAATTGGTAAGTAGGTAAAGGTAAAGGACCCCTGGATGGCTAAGTCCAGTCAAAGGTGACTATGGGTTGCAGCGCTCATCTCACTTCAGGCCGACGGAACCGGCGTTTGTCCACAAACAACACAGATTGGTAAGTACGTAGCCACAGATATTAGAGCATATCTACAGCTTTTGTAAAATGTTTTAATAGAAACATATGTTATTAGGAATACATGGTTTGCTAAGAGTAGAAGACAAATTACAGTTCTAGCAAGGTATTCTTGATAAAAGATTAGAGTTGCACATGTGCTTTTGTTTTGTAAGGTTGTTTACTTACTGCTTTATAAGTTCTTTTTTGTCCTGCATGTTTTCTGATTTGTTCTCCATTGGGCCCCGTTTCCACATGCATGGAGTAGATTATGTCAAAGAAATCTTCAACAACTGCTACCCGTCTTAAAGACAGTTTCTCATCTACGCCAACTCCATCCTAGGGGAAAAAATGATAGGGAGCACAAGATGAATAGATAAAACTACCAGGAAAACACATCCTGTTACTTAGAGTTGATTAGATAAAGACCCTTGGCACTGACATCTAAAGATCCCTATCCAAGAGTAATACTTAGCAGCTCAATCAATGACAGCAACATTATAATTGCACAATAAATAAAGAATTCTCTGAATAAGATTCTAAGTGGGGAGGAAAGCCTTCAAAAATGGATAATTTGGGTTATCTTAGCTTTTCACTGATGGTGATTTCCATGTTATTTAAAGCACTTCAAACTTACATGAAGTTGATGCAAAATCAAAAAAGCATTTTTAAAACTATGTTATAAACATGTTCACTAATTCTTAAGTGGAAAAATAATTGCTTCAGTTACAATGAGGTCTGGCCACAAATTTGTAAAAAACAACAGTACCCTATTTGTAATATCATTCTGGTTATGAAAAGATATAGTTAAAGAAAAGAGATTGCATCTTAACTTCTGACCAAAATAAATATAAAGTATGCCTATGTATAACCACAGTCTCACAAGGAAGAGGAGTTAGAAGGTTTCATCTAGCATTTGTTTGCAGAAATGCTGCACATATATTTATGTCTGAAATAATAATAAATCATTCTGTGGTCTCATACCCTCCAACATTCGTCAGATGAAAATAGGGACATTTCTCACTCCCCCCACAACTGACCCTTCTCAACCCCCCATTTTTTTTGTCCCCTACTGGAAGAGGATTTCCTATCAGAAGAAGGGAGAGTGTCACCACCACTCCACTAATGGAACACAGCACGCACACACCCCACTGTCTTGAGAAAAACCCCTTAATCTCAATTTGATTTGATTTCTTTGATAGATTTACAAAAAGAAAAACACACACCAATAATGTTGTTTTTTTAGAATATCAATATTCCTTGTACTCCGTTCTGCTCCCCTTTTCTTCCTGCCCAGGACAACCCAGCCCTCTGCCTGCCTCTCAAAGCTGGTACGTCATGTGGGGCTGGGCCTCAGTGGCAGCAGCCTCCCCTGCTTGCCTGCTCTCCAGCAGCCACTATGAGCTGCCCAAGGGAGGAGGCTGGTAGCAGCAGCCACAGAGAGGCTCATCCTCCTCCCCAAGCTTGGCAGTGGCAAGGGTGGCAGGGGAAATATTCCCAAGACATTCTGGGATCAAAGCAGAAGCCAGGATGGCTTTTGTAATTCTGGGCCTGTCCCTGATTGGTTGGAGGTTCCAGTCAATTGGGAGTTGACTGTCAGTGAGAGGAAGGCAGCTGGGATTTTGATGGCTGAGGGGTTGGAGGGAGAAAGTTGTGAGGAACAGCTGAGGGAAATAATTGAGGTATAGCCGTTTGTTGAGCTTTTTTCAGTTTTGCCCAGAATTGTTGAGCTTTTTGGGCACAATTGCACTGCCAGCACAGGCTGCCATACATCCGGATATTCCCTGACATTTTCTACATTTCTATCTGGACACTACTGTTGACTGCGGTATTCCAGATATATCCAGGAAAATCCAGATGTATGGCAACCCTAGCTTTGGGGGTACAGAGACAGATTGTCTGCTGTAGCAGGACTGGGTTGTGGGATGGAAGTTTAGGGAATTAGGCTTGAGATGAAAGCCACTTAGAGGCTGCTGTCAGCAACAATGTCTCTTGAATCTTCAGAAACGGTCAACAAGCACCTTTTAAGATCCCAGTGTATCAGTATTTTCTTATGTACATGGTATCCCTCTAATAAACCAGTAATCTTCATCCTGTCTATTTTATGCCTATGCCTGAAATTCATGTTACTAGGTTTTGAAAGCATTCTGAGTTGATGGCAGAGGAAAGTTAAAGTACAGATACATGAATCTGTGTTTATACAAAATGAGCCAGATGGAACCTAGAATCCCAGATAGATAACTCTCAGGTAGATACTGGAGTTCAGATCTATATAGAAACACCACCTTCTGATCTGGAAGCCCTCTTCCCAAATCCTTGGTGTGGGGGGACTCTTTGTCATTAATCACAAATTAAGCCCTGGCTTAATCTTCCTTAAAAATCAAGTTCATAAATGAATAAACACAATGTTCAGCACACCTGCTTCACTTACTCTCATTTTGAACAGACTGTTGATGTACATTTACAGTACCCATCTAGCCTACTTTTTCCACTGAGTAGTGTCACTAAAGCAGTGTTTATAAGTATCCACTAGTTGCTTTTACTGTGTGAGAGAATTTGACTTTATAGATTCCATAGTTAACAGTGCCACCTACATCTCAAAACCTTGCAACTGATGTTCACATCATTGCTAACCAACTAGCAAAGACACCTCTGAATCAACTTGTTTTTCTGTGATTTGAGTACTCTTGTGCAGCTCCCATCCATATTTCACAGCACTGGCTAACATGCAAGGATGAAGGTGCATACCTTCAAACAATGGTCCCATTTGACAATATACTTTGTGGATGCTCTCTTATTCAGTCTTTCCTTACGCATATATGCTAAATTCTAGCTGTCCAGCCCTCTGGACTGTTCCAGATAAGGAATTTTTTTATGTGTTTGGCTGCTAATACATGTACAGAAGGTGAGCAAAGTTTGTGCTCCCTGCCCCCCCCCCCCCAAATACATGTACTTACTTCATTAAAGAAATGGAATAAGTATCTTTTCCAAACCATTGTCCTTTATCCAGTGCTTTTTTTCTTTAAAAAAAATGTTTAAGGGTACTTTCATTTTCCTACTCATATTGAAATACTACCCCTCAATGAGGCCAAACTTAGATTCACAAAATGTTTAGGGGTATGCGTACCCCTAGGAAAAGAGCACTGCCTTTATCTAATCCATGATCAGTGCCTGGATGTAATCATGGGCTAGATAAGGGCTAATGAACTGCAACTGAATCTTTACAATACAGACACTCTATGAATCAGTGATTCCTAGGTAGAGGAATTGGGTTGCATACTTGCCCTGTATGGCATTGCACGCTTTCCAAAGGAGCAAGTGTATGGTTTGGTGTTGTTCCTAGATCAACCACTATCACTGGAGACCCAGGTGACTTCAGTGGCTAGGAGTGCCCATTGCTAACTGGCTGGTGTGACAACTTTGACTGTTCCTAGACAGGGATAGCCTTGCTGTAGGGGTCCATACATCAATAACCTCCTAATTAGACTACTGTATGTGGCTGGTATGGTTTATGTACTACAAAATATGATCCATCAAAGTCCGTTGGATTTACTTCAAAGCATATGAATTTAAAATCGGGCCACTGGGTCTCGTAAACCTCGTAAACCTATATAAACATTTGCTGAACTGATTAATATGCTGGACTAAAATTAATTTAAAAATCCATTCATATACTACAAAGAGAAGATAACATCTATTGATAATACACAATGGCTGTGTATACCCTTAAACCTTGTTGTTGGCATCCTTCTGTCTCAAGAGACAATGGCGTGCACCTCCAGTGAAGTCAAACTGCTGCATTAGCAGCACCAAAGTGACGTCCCCAGGGTGCAAGCCTGGGCAGTGTGTATGGAGGTCCTGGGCTGCCCAGACAATAGCCTTGCTGATGGGGTACAAAGGAAAGCAGTGAAATACGTTTGGTGCCAGCCTGGCTGCGGGAGTTGCCAGAAGGGGGTGTACAAGGCATCAGCTAACCACTTTAGCAATCCACTCCAGATTTGAGTAGGGTTTACTCCTTAGCCTTTTCTTATCCTGAAGATGTCCTGCAAGGTAGTAGAGGTTTAGGGCCAGAGTTTTCCTTCTCTTTGATGGGCTACCTTTCCAGGTTGCTGAGCCCCATCTGCGCCTCACTTCCCTCTGCAGCACATGCAGAAACCGCCATCTTGGCCAGTGGACCCACTCTGGGTCTTGTCTGCTCAATCTACTGGAGCCTGTCTGCATGCAGCGGAAGTTCCTAACTCCCTAAGAGTTTGAGACCCATCAACTACTCTTGCCTAGTTTAGCCATCCAGTCAAATCCATTTCCCAGTGTGTGGCCACTGTCACATGCTGGCAGCTTCTAGGAGCCACAGCTGAGAGCTCAGTGCAGCATGGGAACCAAAGGTGGACAAACTACCCCAGAAGGAGAATGACATACCCCTCCCCTAACACCCCATACACCCCATTAAACATTAACTATAGATTAGCTTGAGGTGTGAAGCAGGCCAGTTTAAACATCTTAATAATAATAATAATAATAATAATAATAATAGAACTATTCAGTAGACAGTCCTTAACTACC